CTGAAAGCTGCAGTGAGAGAAGCCATAGGTGGGGAGCTCGGGGATTACCCAGATCGCCAAGGATCAGCGGTAAGTTACTGTCCTTTGTTTATATTCTAGTACGGTTACAAGTCTTTTGAACGTTTGTGTGTGAAAAGATGAGCACTTTTCTGTGATTGAAATTAATAGAAACGACGTTCTTTTTTTTCTAACCAGGTGTATCATGTCACGTTGAGAGATCTACACGAGGCAAAATGGCCAGGAGCCAAACCAAAGTAATTTACTGAAGAGTTCTCTTGTTTATGAACATTAATTTTCTTTTGTGTGAACTAAAAGATGACAATTAATCTTCTGAACACGTCTTTGGTACAAACCAAAATATATTTTTCTGCAGTTATCTCCAACAAATTATCAACATATGACTTGTAATAATTATAAATCAATATTTGTAAGCAACACTTTTTCACTTCCAATATAATTTTTGAAGATATTCTTGACTTTTTCGTCAATCCAGAACATACTAATAAAAATAATAATAGTTATAATAAGAAGAAACTAATTAGAAAGTTTGTTTTGATAAAAAGCCTTTTTGGCGAAATCCATATTGGTAATGACACTTTCCATATGTTGTAACTGAAAAGTTTTGGAAGAGAAAAAGAAAACAGAATCTGTACAGAAAACAGCGAGATGTAAATTCCAGAGAATGAAATATTAAATTATGTTTTTGTTAAAAAAATGTATCTCACTTCATTCCTTTCCTTTTTCTACAAAATACACAAAACCCTCTAAGTACAGCAGGACAGAAATAACGTGTAGATCATGACACACTATTATAATAATAATTATGATTATCTGGGGCCGGTTCCTGAAAGGTGGAATAACTCTATTCCAGGGATAAAACTGTCTTGTTCAAGTCAAAACGTTATCCTGGGATAAAGTTATGATTGGAATAAGGCAGACTTATCCCTGGAATGGAGTTATTCCACCTTTTAGGAACCGGCCCCTGGAAAATATATATATATATATATATATATGATAGAAAAGAAAATGTGTAAAGTGGAAGGTTGAGTCCTTTATTTCATCTTATTTCCACAAACTTTAAAATACTTTCCTGTCCATACAAAAGGGAAACCTCCTTGACTTTTTCACCTAAAAGAGTGGCATCTATAAGACCATGGGTACCACTATTTATGTGGGAAAACCTAAAATTCTTCTTAGGAAATCAAATGGTTTGCAGCATTCTGTTTGGGAAGTTTCAACAAACATTGAATGTGATTTGAGGCAAAGCAACCACTTTAGTCTATTTCCATGGTTCCGCTTATTTGGATATACTTTGCAGACTAGTGGAAATTTATTCCACCATGTCAGATGTTATAGTTAAATGTTTACACACAAGATTTCCAACCGAGTGGTTTGTGTAAATGGTAAGTACCTCATATCTCAGTTAATTTGTTTCTTAGATCACAGAACAACAACTTTTCTATCAAGGATCAAAGGGCCTTTTAGGCAAATTCTCCTCACTTGAATGAAAGGAAACGTATGGAGAACATAATTTATCCTGACACTACTATTTTTAAAGAGAAGTTTTGATGTTGTAGAGGATGTGATTACCGAATGACATCATGACAATATGGAAAAGATGACAGATAAAATCCAACAAAGCCAACCTTATTCTAAAGATAACTCTGCAAAAAAAAAGAAAGAAAAAAAAACCTGCATGGCATAGTCCAGAAATTGGAACTTTGAACTTGAGCATTGAATACTCTGAATACTATTGAAAAACTGTTATTGAGAAAATGACCTATTGTTTCTGAGTATGCAATAGTTATAAACTAATTTTATTCAAACAGCTTTTATGGACTCAGAAGGCATTAGAACAATATAATGTACACAAACTCTCTCTGTCGATAGGAACTATGCTCTCTTATTGTAAGGACAGTCTTTATGGCTCTTTTGAAGATGTGTCTTGCTGCCACACCAATTACACGACTTTCCTCCAACTTCCACATTAGCTCCTTCAGGTGCAGGAACTGGTGCTAACACAGGAGAACATCTTGCGCTTCCATTAGCGATCGCTCTTTCTGTTATCATCAAGGCATCATCTTCATTGTACCCCTCTTCCTCGTGTTCATCCTCCCCATATGTGTGTCTTATTTGGCAGTTCTTGATATATTTTTTTCTAAAAAATAACATCCACAAATAGTTGGTCAAAAGTGTAAGTAGGTATTGTTTCATGATTTTTGTTATATTGTTTTACGTCATCTGTGTCTTCTACACGAAGTAAGAGCCTGCTTTCCTGACCAGTTGAAAAAAAAAAGGAAAATAATAAAAACCAAGAGAAAAATCAACAAGCATCAACAATTTGGGATAAATCAAGTTTCAGTCTGTCCCTGATTGAGGAAATATACCGGTACTCATCAATGGAGTGAAACCGACAGAGATTTTTTACTGTAAATGTGAAAAGGAAAAAAAAGCATACCATTTCTTGGATACCATCAAGGAGTGGCAGGTCCAGTCTGGAATATAGATCTTCAATCCAGTGGTATTCTGGGCCCTTCTTCTTATAGCACCATGTCATATTTGCCTGTATTAGGCCCAAATTTGTTGATGCTGCATAGTGCTTTTGATGCAGATTTACATCCTTATAGCCCTGAACTTAGTAAGGACACTAAATGTTGCTTCTGGGAGGTTTGAATGGCCCTTTCCCAACCCAGGATCAATAACTTTTTCTGCATCAGCAGCCCTTCCAGAACATTCTATTTCATAACAAAGAGCATGAAACTCACACTTTAAAACATGGGACGAATGGTATGGTTCCCCAGGGCATTTTAATTCTTGGCAAAATCCCTCTTCATCGACTTGACATTCCTTACAACTACATTTTTTTAAGGGATGAAATTTACAATAACCACCCTCCCATTCATGTCTGGAAGGCCAATCGTGGCGCGTACTCAAATCTGGGTACAGAGCTGGAAGTCCAGAACAAGGATTTCGGCGCTGTTTCGCAGACGGAGTTAACCAGAGTTTAATTTCGTCTGCGCGCAGGCTACTTATGAGGCAGTTTCCAAAAATTTGGTGTCGAACCAATCCCAAATCACATGACTTTTTCTTTCGATAGTTTGGGAAGTCCCCCACTTTTGTTTTCTTTTTAGACAATTTTCACAACGATGTTTCAAGATGTCAACCACTTTTCCTGAGGCCTTCTCCGTGCTAGCCCTTTGGAGTCGTTTTGATCTGGGACAGTCACTGCATGTAGCTGCTATAAAATAAATAAAATAACGTGAAAGTACTACAGATTTTGAAGGGAATTTTAGCTTACACCCATCATGTCTAATTTCTAGGTTTTAGGCATTCTTTCAAAATCTGTGTGGTTGCCATGCCAACGAGGTATGCACTAAACGTGATTGTAGTAATTCGGTATTTCATAATTAATTGCATCATGCTAGACTTTCATTTTCGAATTCCGGTTTCTATTTCCGTGTTTTAAAGTTTGTAGCAACGCATATACACATTGCAGTAAGGTTGCATCAGCTCTTTCTTTGTGCTTGGAATAGAAGCTTTCATATTTCTTTATTTTACCAATAATTTTTCCTTGAAATCAACCAGCCCTGGTAGTTTTCCTCCCATGCGTGTTCCTCGCGCACGTAGCACACGCGTCGAAAATATCCTTGCTTTAGCTCACTATTTTAAATCTCCCTTATTTATGCGAGAAAAACAGGCCATTCAGTTTCTCTCTTTGTTATTCCACATGAGCAGCGATCAGCTTTCTGCATGAATGAAAGTCTCTGATAGCCTACGTAGCCGGCGGGATTGTTATTTAGCGCGAGCAAAACTGAGAATCCGTGCGGATCCGTGCCTCTCACACGCGTAAAAACACACGCAAAAACAATTCGGCCTGCTACACGCTAAGTCTGTGATTGCCTTGGAAGCCAACGTCGCGCAAATTCCAGTGCCTTCAGAGTTTGCTAGAATGAGCTATTTTTCCCTGAACTTTAAAGTGAAACACTTATGCGTAAGTGAAATAGCTCGGCGACCCACTGAAGCAACAAATTTAACGAAAGATTCCAATTTCAAGATGTTCTTGAAACACTTTCAGTGGGTACGTACTAAATTTGCTACGGGTCGTATGTTGAAAATGCGGCGAAGGAGCTTTGCTTTCCCCTCATTTATTCGGCTGCACTCTTAGCTATTGACACCAACTCCCATGGGAGCTTACAGCAAGTGTATTTTACGTAAAAATCATTTACTGGGCGATGAAAAGCGGAGTGGATTATAGATATCAATGTAGAAAAGCAATTTCGATTTATCGTCAACTGGTAAGGGGTTGGATCAGGTTTAAGGTAAAAATTCTTAAGCCTGTCTCCTTTCCTAAATCGGGATAAATTTTATTGAATATTTTGCGTTTTCTCTTAAATACAGTCATGTTAGAAAGCGCAGGTAGTATATACATTATATGTAGCAAAACATCCTGGTTATTCTTGGTTATTCAACAAGTCACGCTTTATCACTTTACAGCAGTGGAAGATGTGTAAAAGACAATGTAGCCGTTACTATAGACCCTTTTTAACAACCTTAAAACTATTTCGTGGTGGTTGTTAATTCAAATGGCGGATATTAAAATGAAATGGAACTTAAAAACTTGGCCAAGCTTTTCAAGTTCATCTGTTCTTCACAACTCACAGTCCCCTCTTCTAAACTACAATCTAATCCTCTAGTCTTGCATGAGCATTTTTTTGAACGAGTACTGACTTACCCAGTTTAGAATGGACATATGCATTAGTAAAATCAAGCTTGTGTTTTTGTTTGGGAATCAATCGGCTTTTTTATATCCAGACCTATTATTGGAAATTTGATTAAGCCTCAGCTCTAAAAGATTTACGTTCTCTGATGCAAAACATCGATGTTATTGACCGTGAAGAAAGCTCTCTACCCAAACAATGGCTGACGATCACGTATTTACAGCTTATCTGCTTTTGGGTCGAAGTAGTCGGATTAGAAACTGGAAGAGAAAACAAAAACGTTTAGCGACAAGGCAGCATCACTGAAGTTTCCATTCTTCTCTTGTAAGCGTTCAAAGCTTGTTGGGCTTGCAAATACTTTTTTTTGTACTCCTCCTTCTCGTTCAGCACTTTAAGTAACTTCCTTTTTCCCTCTTCCAACTCCTTTTTCAACGAAGTGTTCTCGTTTATGAGCGTTTCATGTTCGTGCTGTTTCCTTTGACGGCATGTTAAGGCGTAACCTCGATTTTTCAAATTTCGTCGTCGTCTTCGTATCTTGGCTGCCTCGTCCAACGGGATGTTTCGCAACAACTTATTGAGTTCTTTTACCCGCAGGTTTTTTATTTCTTCATCGCTGATTTCTTTGGATTTACGGGGACTCCACATCTCGCTCTCGGATTCCAAAGACGTATCATCATCGTCGTCATCGTTGTTTTCTGTTTCCGGGTTGACTTCGCCATTGAAAAGAGCTTGAATATCTTCCGCATCGTCACCGACGGCCATGTTGTCGCCGTAAGAACCTCTCGTCCACGTAGAACAGAAAAGAACATTTCGTGTTTCTTCAGTGAAAAATTCGTCCCACGTATTGAAACAATCTTCTTCCATTTTTAGAAAGCTAGGCTGAAGGCTAAAACTTGCGTTAAAATTGCTCTAGAGACACAGCAGATCAACGAAACAAGCAATGACTTTGCATTTCAGTAAACGGTCCTGAAATATAATTTTCCCTTCCCTTGACCCAATCAAGAACCTGAATATAGTGGGGAATCCCCAGCTATTTTTTCTTAGAATTCACAAGCCGCCTACTTCGCACTGCTTTATGGGTTTTAGAACTAATTATATAACAGAAATTTATCGCAATTAGAATTAAGGCACAATATATGCCACAAGATAGACTTGCTAAGAAACGTTACAACATGAGCTTAAAGGTTATACTTTCTGTTTTTGAATTTAGTTCTGAGATGTTACTGAGAAGAAGTGCTGTAAGATCAGCGGAATCTGCTCCAGGCTTGACCATTTGTAAGGTGGGGCTGGTTTATAACAAGCTATTAATATTAGAGTTATTTAACACCCGGGGGGGCACTCGCTTATTTTTCTCAAACGGGTAGGTGCGGTTGCCACCCAAAAAAAGTGTGGTTTTCAGCCGGGTTTGTTTCTTTCAACAAGGTAAACAATTTCACCATGTAGCGTCTTAAAAAGGGCGGGTTTCTGTGTTTGGACTGGATCGTGATTACTCTCGATGAGCGCTCTACATCTGTGATATCATCCCCCCCCCCCGGGTTAACACCTCCATGTCACTGGGCGATTAACTTTAGTGTGAACCTACTTAAAGTTTACCACATTCACATATATTATTCTTTCGGGCTAGGAAAACCGTAAACACTATAATTACCTCTGGAATGTTAGGGCAACGTTGGCGGAAAAACAAAAGAGCCAATCACAAAGGACATAAAACCACCGAGAATGTAGTTTGTGGTGTGTTTAGTGCGTGTAAACAGTATCTAAAGCTGCAATTGGATTGGTCAAGACAGAATCGAAGTATTCGTAGTTCGAAAGTACAGATGGCGTCGTGATTTTTCAGAACCAACATTCGAACCCATTCCGCAAAGCTTGATTCAGTTCCCCAGTCCAACAATGTAATAATAATAATAATAATAATAATAATAATAATAATAACATATTTAACCAAGGTAAACCCGTCAGCTGAAGCAGTAGCGATAATTTTCGCCAAATTTTTTATAACTCATTATAATTTCACTTTGTCACCAGAAGGTTCGAAAATTCACATGGGGAAAACCCCCAGCAAGTAAAAACAAAAAATATGCTTAATTATGCACCATTTTTGAATATAACCTGATCTGAGAGTATAAATGACATCTGGTTTCTCTTACATCGAGGGTGTATTGGACGGTGCCTAAAAGGACAGATGCCGTCAAACGCATAGGCGAATCTTCTTTTACAGCAGTCTCGTCATTAACATATGCCCCTTAGTCCAGTATCATTTCCTACTCAAGTTACGAGAAACATAGCAATTTATTACCTTTCACTACCAATTTCAGCCTCAGCAGTACAGCCACAGTCATGCACAGGGGACCCAAACTAGTATCTTTAGCTGGTCGATAATTCCAGAGCGACCAGTCAGAGATCAGTGGAACTTACGAACGAAAATGGAACTAAATTACTTGATCCAAAAAAAGCGAAAGACAAACGATCCAAAGCGTGGTATTAAAAGTTTGTTTATTTTAACTACTTTTCACGGACATTTTCCCGAAATTTCATATCGTTAAATGCTTGCTCAGCATTTCCGAGTAAAGAATCCGATTTACTTGGGACTTTCTGAAGGGTAAATTTCGTTTTCACTGTTGGAACGCCCCGAAAGGAAAATTGTGTGCCATTTACGAGACACTCCTACTAGCTGCAGCCCGTTCTGGCTTTCACGACCATTCCTTATCTGCTGTATCGTCACTAAAAACACGTGAAATCTAATTTTTGCATGATATATTATTGTTCCCTGTTGTTCACAGCAAATCATGGCATTTTTTGTAGTCGTAGCGCTAGAAAACTGTCCGAACAACTTTCGTTCACTTTAGTTTTAACCCGCGAGTCCGTGAACATTGTAGGTTGCTTTTGTCCTTGTTGCCTTGTTATGGATGTTGAACAGTGAATTTCTCTCTGCTTAAGAAATATTTCGACAAGAATTTTTTTCCCGCCTTGTCCCATAACAAACATTTTTTTATAAAGGTGACACTCGATTTATTGTACAGGGGTTTTTCCCATTTCGACTAAGCAAATCGCCTAACATTGGTATTACCAGAAACATTAAACAGAAGATAGCGGTGAATGAGTTAATAAGAATGATTATTTCCCCTTATTCACTCCACTTGACTTTAAAGTGAATTAAGAGAATAAGATGAGATGATTGTCACTTTATACGATCATTACTAGATTCCATAAAAAATGTTTTCCAATATTTTATACCCTATACAAATGGCCCGGCACAGTCACATGACCATGTTAGTACTGATAAAAATAATACAGTATTTTGATTGTAATTTTACGTGCCGACGGAATCTTTGCTAAAAAAATTTTGTTTTGAAGTTCAGCAGCATTAACTTTCCTTGCGATTGCTGATAAAGGTCACTCACCATAGCTTGCAGCGATTAACTCTTGTTCATCTCAGTGGCGTGATCGATGGTTCGGAATTCAAAAGGATGATACATGCTTGTTTTGTATGAGATGACGTTAAAACTTTCTCGTAATGTCGGAGTGGTCGTGTGACCGGCGTTTCGCTTCGAATGAACTACTTCATTTTCCTTTATTTGCGGAAATCCTTAAAAATAAAATCATGCAAGTCAGTCTCTTTGGTATCCAAAAAACCGACAAATACTTTTCTAAACTATCTCGTGATAAAGCATTCCTGAAATTTACAATCTTTGACCTCTGGCCTAATACTTCACTGTAAACACGCCACAAATTTGTTCGGCGTTCTTTTAGAAAGTTTGAACAAAAAATATCTTGCGGTGGAGAGTAATTCCTCCTGTATGTAGCCACGATCGCCGTGTTATTAAAAAACTGTTTTATCATGCTTTATAAATATGCAAATCTAAACTCCATATTGCGTGCCATGCACACTGAGGTTGTCAACAAACTATGTTCAAACTTGCCCGAATAATATATCGTCTTGACCTTTTGTTTGTTCGACGCCATTGTCAAGGTTTTGGAGCCACCAAGGTTGAAGAAATCTTTTATGTTTCGTTTCTGATTTACGTTTAGTAAGTATCTTTCGCACAGAATATACTATATTTTGTTTTGTATTAGCCCGCCATGACATTTGCATCAATGACTTCTGAGAAAATCGGGAATGAATTCCACGAAAACCTCGTGCTCGAAAGGGTGGAAAGATTGGCACACCCATCCATTTCACCTTTCTCGCTCGCAATAAATTGGAAGCCTCTGAGAGAAAAACACACTTCCTTGTGGTGAAAAAGTACGAAATGGGTAACATCGAAGAAAAGCCTGCTTGACATCTCTCCATCGCCGACTTCGTGAGCTCATTAAGGTTAACCAGAATGGATTGTGTGTGTGTAGCAATAACAACCGCGCTGAAGAAAGACTGCAGATGAATGCCACAGGAAAATAATGTATAACAGGATTTTACTTTCACAGAAGTTTAGAGTAACACTTCATCATTTCCTAAAGCTTCAGCCAGATGCAAACCGCATATATTAAATCACACAAAACACTTTGAACGATAAAGCTTGAAACGAAGACAGTGAAATGTTGTTAATAAAAATATCTCTCCTTTTAATTACATCAATGTACTTAAGCGCTGGCCAAAACCCTTACATCAACCACATACCTAAAAGCGATGGTCTCAGCCCTACATCCAAAAATAACCTAACTCTAAAATAGCCCCGAGACTCACCATCTAGTTCAGTAGCGCTCCTAACTCCATCACGAGCAACGCCTAAACATTCAGAGAAATAATTCACCCTTGGCCCTACTTAGCGAGTTTTCAATAAAACGATTCACCCGTCCCGTGTGTATCTATTGCTCTATTTTCCGTTACGAAAACATGAGAAAATAACTTCATGCTACACCCATCAGCAGCATGCTAGGGTTAACATTATTTTAATATAGGATCTGATAACCATATCTCGCGCGATTGAAACTGCCGCGCTTTCATTATAATTCTTTCTCGACTAAATCTTTATACATTACACCGATAAATTGCCTGTACGCTAAGTTCAATTAAATTAGATATTAAATGGCTGTGGATTTGACTTAGAGAGCAGGAAACAGACGAATCAAGGAATCAATATAAACCAACAATAACATTATACATGAATTTCAAGGTGAAAATATAAACCATCGTTTTGAAATGTAAAGTAAAATCTTGAAAAATACAAAATCCTGAGGTGTATCATTTTAATAACAGTGCCGAAACGAGCTTGAAGGTTTCTTCCTTTTGAAAAATTTACAGTTAAATAACTTATAATATTATGTACGTGAATGTGTACAACTCTCCATAAGGGGAGACCAATTTTTTTCTTCAGTTCTACGCCATGCACAGAAATAACATCATAATAAAGTCATCTTAAATGTCATAATTATCTTTAATCACCGATCCTATTGGTGTCGTCAATACGATTTTCATAGCAATTCAATATTTGTCCTTAGCGGCGTTATGTCTTGCAAAATATTTCCTTTCTCGTCCAGAAGTTTGGCCTACTTCATCGTGTACAAACAGCTTGACGTAACACTTGTTAAGAATGTGGCATGCACCGTACTTTCAACAAAATGTCTTGTAATTGTCCACATTTTGCCTTGTATATGTCTCTGTCCTTTATTGCAATGTTAAGTTTTTCCTTTGCCTCACGAAGTTGCGCCTTCAAGCGTTGGTTTTGTGTCTCCAGAGAATCCTTTAACGCCACACGTCGCTGTCGACAGCTAGTGGCGTAACCACGATTCTTAAGACTCCTGCGACGTTTTCGAATGTTCTTCACCTCCTCTTTCGGTAGATGTCGGATCCGTTTGTTCAGCTCTCTTATAGGTAGCTTGATAAGGTCATCGTCGCTTATATGCTCGTTGGAATCAGGCAATAATTGTGGGCTTTCAGGCCCGCTGCTGACCGGAGAACAAGCCTCGAGGTCGAGATCCAGGCGAGTCTGTGACATAGCGAGTATATTTTCCAGGTCTTGATAATCTGCTTCGCTGGCGAGATCATCAGAAAGATGACATTTATCAGACCACGTTGAGGTGTACGGTTCCTCGGGAAAATGCGTCTGCAGTAGTTCGTCCATGGGAGAAAGATCAAGAAGAGTCCCCGCGCTAAAATAGCTCATCTTCACTTCAAACGCGCTCGAAAATTATCACCTGACTGTAGTGCAAGGGAATTAAATTTTCAAGTCTGTTGGGGGTCGTAACTGTTCGACCAATCGCTGTTGGACCTGAAAACGGGGAATCCCCTAGAAAAGCCTTTCTCCTTAAACATTCACCAACGACGAACATCGACTGGCACGTACGTTTTATAAAGCAAAAACTTTTGCCTTTTAAGTCTATTTACGACCAGATTAAAACTTCAGAGTAGTAGAACTGGTACGAATCATATAATTTCTCCGCGTTTCATGACATTAAAGTTCAACTCGTGCGGTATTACGTCATTGATAATAATTTCACAATCTGTAAAATTTTTTCTGCTAAATGCATATAAAGCAAACCTCTGAGTTCTTATGACTAAAAAGAGCATTTTTCTCTAACAAGTTCTTTGTTCTCTGCCTCCGTGGTATGTGCTAGAAAAGTGGTGGATCTAAAACGCAAGGGGTCGTCAAGAAATGTGAAGGGAAATTCCCTTTTAACTCAGTTGCCAACACAAATACCGAGTGTGAAATTAGAAATGCAAAATACCTGAAAAATATGTAAAATATATTTTGCCTTAGAAAATGCAAGACGAATAGAAATATCGTCATTTCACTCGAAAAAAACCACCTTTGAACCGAGAAATAATTTTAAAAAAATTATGGTGTGTAGTATGAAAGTATGAAATTGGAAGTAGGTCGTAACGTTTAAGCTGGTGTCACGCTCACCGGAAAAAGGGAAAAACCCCTTCGGAAGCGAAACAAAAGAGGAATGTAATTTCAGATGCAAGTTTCACTTTCGAAAGTAGTAATTAAAAAAGCGTCGATGTAAACGTTAAAAAAATTTTTTCGCAGTTTTACCCAGTTTTATCTTTTCAGCTTTCTGGGTATAATTTTCGTTAAATTTGCCCCCACATTTTCACCCTGGAAATTACACGTTAGAAAGTTCGACAGGGTTTTCAACAGGGTATCTTCGTGCAAATGAGTGACGTGACGATTGTGAAGGGAAAATTCCCTTAACCTTTGAAGGACAAGAATTAAATTACTGACGTCTTTGTGAGTCTCATGCTTTGCATAACGTTGCTATTATTCGTAAATATATTTGAAAATTTTTCTGCCCAAGAAATTTAACTTCGCAAGGATCCTTTCAGTCTGGGGGTCAAGGGCGGAGGGGTTTTTTGTCTTTTTGCAAATATAACAAAAAATACTGGAAAACATGATTGACGCAAAAGTTAGATATTATTGATAATAATAACGATGATGATTACAATGTTGAAGATGATCCTTAAGAATTATGAATGATGGAACTTCCCTGAGAAAAACTTCGAAAAGAAGACCTTGTCTGCAAAGAATGCATTTAAAGTTTGAAGGTGAAACGCAAATTCTTTCTTAATACTTTTTTATTATCAGAATGGTCTCATACCCTTGAAGGGCTTACATGTATCCGGAAAACTGGTATTAACGCCCACATTTCCCTCAGGAAACTAAACTTGAAACTGGTAAAGTTGCCAAGAAAAGTTAGTATTCTTTCCTTCCAAAAGAACACTAATTTTGTAAACGAATAACTTTGGTAGTTCTTATTACTCAATATAACTAAGTCCAAAACCAAACGATCTAAAACTTGTGCAAATTTTATGTGACGAATTTATGATCTATCTTTATTGCTGGCGAATGTAGTTGTAAGCAGAGTAAAATACATTCAAGAATGTACTTTAGTTAACTGCCTGTGTATTCTGCAAAACGACAGTGGCTGTAAAATCGACCCCTCTATGTCTATCAGTCAGTACTGATAAGCCCATCCACTTTGGTAACCAAATAAAGCCCTTCAGTTTGATGACAAAACTATTAGCGATAAAGGATGATAAAGCTGTGCTGCTCGAGCCAAAGTTTTTGGTAGGTTCTTTCTACAAAATCTCAAAGTTGTTGCCATAACCTAGTTCCCGTGGAATTGATTGCTACATACTGAAACGTAAATCTGGTAACTGCAGACTTTTTTGCATTAAAAACTATGGAATAACACAAGCAGAAGGAAACTCATGGCATGATTTCAAAACTTACCAGTTATAGATATCCTAAAGTCACCCAAAGCTGAAACCAGGAAAGGAATGTGTACTTTAATTTCTTCCTGAGAAAATATGTGCTCAAAATGATTTTCCATTCTTTCATTAGTTTGTCAAACAGTATACGTGTTTTACATAAGCCAGTCAGAGCTAGCCAGCCGGTCAGCTTCCTAAGGCTGAGGCAAATGTTGTTTTGAAAGAGAAGGTATATTTATTGATTTGGGTCAGAATGGTTAGAGATATAGGTTTGATTTTGAAAGTTTGATTCTGATAGCAAGTGGTGACGTGCAAGAGTAACCTCTACCAAAGAGGATTCAGTTACCTAAAGATTTTCTTTCACAGGCTCAAAAGTTAGAAACTGCATTCTAAAGAATGGTGCCTTGTAAAATTACTGCAACGTTTTATTTAAATGTTCACACCAAGAGATTTCATCTATAAACTCAAAACTTAGAACTACTTCAAATAAGTGAATACCACGTGAAATTACTGCTAAAGGTCACACCACAGGATTTCTCAAACGTTAGAACTACATACTCAATAAATAGTACCATGTGAAAGTACTGCTGAAGAGGTTTCATTTGAATGGTAACACCGCAGGATTCGTCCACAGACTCAAAAGTTAGAACTTACGTACTAAATAAATAGTAACATGTGAAAGCCTACTGCAGAAGAGGTTTCACTTGAATGGTAACAACACAGTATTTCGTCCACAGACTCAAAAGTTAGAACAACATACTCAATAAATAGTACCGTGTGAAAGTACTGCTAAAGAGATTTCATTTGAATGGTAACACAATAGGATTTCATCCACCGACTCAAAAGTTAGAACTACATACAAAATAAATAGTACCATGTGAAAGTACTGCTGAAGAGGTTCCATTCAAATGGTCACCACATAGAATTTTGTCCACAGAGTTAAAAGTCAGAACAACACTTAAACAAATGGCACCATCAGGTATGGCGTGAATAGGTTTCTTGTGAATGGTTGTACCATAGGATTTTATCCTCAGACACAAAAGGTTAGGACACCACATTACTGTAATCATAACATAGTTGCACCATAGAATTTCTTCCGTAGACGACACAAAGGTTAGGACCACTCTAAACAAATAGCACCATGAGATATGCTGAATAGGTTTCGTTTAGATGGTTGCTCCATAGGATTTCATCTACAGGCACAAAAGTTAGAACAATGTTGGGAGTTGTGATTTATCATTATGTAAAGCCTGTCTTAATCGAAAAAAATGGGGAATTTCCCAGCCAGCCATGCATATATGGTGACAATATTTTATGAAGTATTCGGCCATCGGTCGATAGCACTCAGTGTTTAAAAGAGTAATTATTTACTAGAAGGACGTATTTGCTCTGGAGCATGCAAGAGAAGTAAAAAGTCACCCATGATATTGCGATATTTTGTCTATCCGCCAGCCGATCTTGTGCCAGCGTGATGTCTTAATAGCCAAGGGACTTTCCCAAACCATCTAGTTGATTTGTTTATAAGTACTTGAAAGGGATTTTTCCCGTCTTAAATTATTGTCCCTTTCAAAACAGTTTCGGATTCCAGCGCCAGTCTTTCGAAACTTTCAGTGGATAAACAAGATGGAATCAAGCGAGGACGACGTATATTCTCTTTATCCACTCGATTTCTCTTCCGATGAAGAGAGGTTTGCGTTCACTGACGTAAAAGACACGGATGAGGAGACGTTGATTGGCAAAGGCCTATTCGAAGATGATCACATGCATGTAGTCCCTGTAAACACGGCGCGTCAGAAAGAAACAACAAAGTGTAATCATGATGGGAAGAAAGCGGTTTCTGGCGTGTTTCTGGCAACGTTAAGCGATGAGGAACTCGAAAAAATGTCAATTCAAGACTTCAACAAACATCTTCGCCTGTTACCTGCCGATTTCATAAAGAAATTTAGAAAGAAAAGACGAGTTTTGAAAAATCGTAAGTATTCGAAAACGTTTCGCCAGAGGGGCTCCGAGAAGAAAAACAATATCGATGCTGAAAATAGAGCTCTTGAATTTGCGATATTTCAAGCGAAGGAAGAGCTTAGGAAAGTCGTCAAAGAGAGAGATGAATTTAAACAGAAGTATACTGCCTTGAAGCGAACTGTTTCTGTGTTACGTTAATCGCCCCAGTGTTAAAACCAAGACTTTACTGATCAGTGATCTATTAATATCTCATGTTATGGTGCATTCATGTAGTGAGCTAGGAATCCTTGGATCAAGGACTTTTATTCTTGCAAAGCAGATTATTGCTAGTGTCGGTGGTTCAATGCTCAGAACTTCCTTTGCGTGCTCATTGATTTAACATTGCACCATTGCTCGACTGGTTTGGTTTCTAAGCCTTTTTTTTACTCGAAGTGTATATAATATCATAAGTTTTAAAGAAATGTTCACTCTAAAACATGTTCTTTGGATTTCATGGCGACATACTTGGTGTACATACATGTACAGTGGACTAGGGGTTTCCCCGTTACGTAAGCTTTTGGTTGGGCGGAGTATGCAGTAAAGCTGTCAGATCTTTGTATGTTCATTGGTTAAGACAACAGGGCCTTTATAACATCGCTCTCCTGATCTCTTCCAGAATGCTTGGTACAACGTTCAAGTTACCGAGCCATGTGTTTTCGCTAATTCTAGAAATAAATTTATTAATACATTGATAGTGGCATAAACCATGGAATATCCGTCACTGTTTCCTGATATTTCTCCAATCGAAGAACTCTTGGACATTTATTTCTCCCAAGATGAGCAGAGTAATCTCAGTTGCATTCAGAACCACCAACTGGAAGAGACTACAGGAGAGAGAGGTGACACGGAGTCCTTTCCCGATGGGTCGCAGCCTCACCTTAGTAACGAGGTCTACTCCTCTTCCACCAGCCCACAAAGACAAGCAGAAGTGCAAAAATCCATCGAAAACATCACAGAAGAGGATTTAGCGAATTTACCGATTCGGGAATTAAACAAACGCTTGCGAAATCTGCGCAGTGATGAGGCGCAGAAGATCAGAAAACGGCGGAGAAGCTTGAAGAACCGTGAATACGCTACAAGCGCTCGGCGGAAGCGTAGTGCGATAAAAATGAGCCTCACAACGCAAAACCAACGCTTGTCAGCTCAGTTACGTCAGACCAAGGAAATTCTCAGCGAAACAGTGAAAGAGAGAGACTCTTACAAGAACAAATACGAAAACTTGAAGAAAGTTTATGCAGCACTATCTACAACTTCGCCTATGATGCAATCACGAAACACTAACAGTTTGTCATAGCATGCACTTGATTCTAGAACAAGTAGCTCTGATTGACTAAACTGTTGGCTTCTAGTAGTTATCAGGTTAGATCAGAAATGAGAATGAAACCTTGACTCTAAAACCTAACACCGCTATTTTCTCCTCATTGTCGAATTGAGATTCTAAGTGTGAAACATGACTTTCATTTTTAATCAAAGGTAGATTGCAAAATGTATGGCCCTTTCCATTTTACTGATAACGTGAAAAAAGGCCTCAACTTGAAGTTACTCTGGTTGGGCTACTGAATTACAAGATTTGGCGCTCCATACTACCGGTAATTTTTGCGACCTAATAATAAATCACTTACACATCCCAATCTGTGCACAGATCTATTCTATTTCAAACCACTCTTATCAGAATGTGAATTATATGAAAAGTATCATAATATTTTTATAAAGATTCGAATCAAAATTGTACAAAGTTCAAGTTTTCTACATGTATCCGTTAGTTGTCAAAAACAGGGAAATAGTGATCTGACATTGACTCGCCTTCTCCCAGCGATTTTAATACCTTATACTAATTGACTTTCGATGGACAATGTTAATGCCATAGATTGTACAGGGTAGATTTCGGATTTTGTTTTTAATCCAGTGTACATATCATTACTCAAAACCGATCTTAAAGTTTTACTCTGGGTTTGTTGTATAATTGTGTAAATAAATGTTACTCTTTAATGCAATTTCATTGACATTATTGCCGTTTTAATTATAGAAGGTATATTGCACTTTTATTGTCATATTGAGCGCCGTAAAACCGAAGCAGCTGATTTTATAACATTTGAAGACATGTACAAGGCTCATTGAAAATCATTCCTATTTGAAACTGTTTTTTCTTTTTAATTGCCTGCTCAATATTTGTGTGCATGGTTATTAAGGACCCACATATTTCTCAAAACAAAAATTTCAATAGGAAATAACTCGTACCTAAGTACAGTAATATGCATGTGGAACGTAACAAAACTTAATTGAGGTCGTGTTAGAAATTCTCTGGTGACACCGAAATATGTTTGCTCATGTAATTTGTTCTCTTTCCTTTAAATTACTTGTTACATTGCTGATTTAGTGCAACTGTATTTGTAGTAACTACTTTTTTCCTTCCGTGATTGCAGCTATTCAGGGTATTCAACCTTTCAATGAGCCTTTTTGTATGCAAATAGTTTCACCACAAATCATTCCTTATTTCCGTGATCACGAAGTGCGCGGTCGGACTATTCGACTGCATGCATTTTTTTACATTATTGTTACCTGTCGCTGTTGCTGCCTCGTAAAAGTTTTGTATTCCATTGTTTGACAAAGATGCCGAAAGAAAATGGAACTTGCAAATTTAAGGGCTGTGCAAACATCTTGGAAACTATATACTACCAGGAGCCCTGATACTACATATATGTCGACGGGCCATAATTTGCTTATTTTTTAACTTGTCATTAAAACAAATATCGTAACCCTTAGTGTTTCCTGCAAATTTCAATGCATGATGTTTGTAAACCATTGAAAAATATAAGCTAGATGTTTTTCTGTACACGTCATTTTTTTTGGCGGAAGTTGAAGGATAGGACGAATTTTACATTCATGCGCAGAAGTCACGAATGTTCGATGTAATCAAATATGCATACGCGTGGGGCTCACTCGTGTCATGTCCGTGGCTGCCTCTAGCGCGCGCGTGTTTCGCTTAATCTCTGTGCTTGCCACCAGCCAGCCAGGGTTTTCAGCACTCCCCAGTCTACATGCTTTTCTCTCAGTCTGCAGTTGCTCGCTTGGTACCAAAGCCCATTTCGCGTCGTTGAAATCGAAAGACCGATAACCGAACGTTTTCAGACTCTCTCACCAGCTCTACACTGCCTATATACTGGTAATTCCTGAGCTATACTGCAAAAACAGTAGCCTAAACTCTTTCATTTCCAGGATTGTCAGACGTTAAAATAAAAAAATCCTAAATTTCGTATATTTAAGTTCTGAAACTAATGGTTTTCATTCGAAATTTCCACCGAAGAAGTCTCATTTCAATCATGACAGATAGAATTTTATCCACACACTCAAAAACCTGCCTCTTTGCCTGCGTAGCAGGCGCTTGGAAGTAGTGGGCGGAAGAAAGAACAGACGTGCGAGGAAGACTCGCGTGTCTCGCTCTCGCGCGCCCGTTCTTTCTTCGCGCCTACTACTTCCAAGCGCCTGCCACGCAGGCTACTTGCCTCTGGAAATCTTCTACCGCTGGCATAGCGATCAGCTTCCATTTTAACTGGATTCTCTATTTTCTTTCCTTTTTTTTACAGATTCCTACTGTCTCAACTGTCTTATGTGCTGATTCTTCTGGAAGAAAGGACCCGTATGTTTTGGTGTACAGGTTGTCTTGGTTTTTCTCCTAAGTTATTTTATCGTAATGAATATTTCATCGACAGATATAGTCAGCGAAGTTAGTTTCATTTGATCTCTACTCGTTGATTATTCCTTTGTCTAGTAAAATTGTTGCGGGTCTTGGGTTACGTCCTTTGGTAACTCGAGTTTCCCCTGAGAATCTGAGATCCTTACTACACTACACCACGCTTTCAATTGGAACAGAACAGCAGCCAAATCAACAAGTTTAAAGTTTGGACTTAAATGACAGGTAGGAAAGAGAGGTCGAGAGAATCAAAAGTAAGGTTAATTAAGTATACATTTCCGTTGCTATCGCGTTCTCTACCCTTAGATTATCATTCAGTTCCAGTTTTACTAGTCGCTAGTTATACTTCACTAGAGACTCTTTCTATTGCCTTTTAACCCTTCAAGCCCTAAGAGTGATCAGCATCAAATTTCTCCTTGTAATATCAATGCTTTGTAAAACAAAGTGGTCATGAGAATTACGGACAAGATCACACAAGATGAATTTGCTTGATACTTTATCAACTTCTCCCCACTACTTCTGTAGGAAATGAATGGGGGCAACAAATGAGAATTCAAATTTTGAACTTAGGATTTAAAGGGTTAATGACGCATCATTATCTCCTCCTTCAGCTGATCTGGTTTAATGATATTTTCCCTAATATGCTTGAAACGATGACCTTCTTCAGTTAAAGATAAAAACGAAGCGATTGTGCCAATTAAAGTATAAACTGTAATCAAAAGCCTTGAACATATATTAGTAAGGGTCAAAGGAAACTTGACACGTTTGGCTTACCAATTATAGCACAAACCAATCCAGTCGTTTGGTTAAATGCGATTGTATTCTGGTGCATTGTTCCGCTCTCCTATTTCCGTTTTGTGTAAGGAACTTTTTTGCTGGAAAGGCACTGCTCCAAAGATTTTCAGGACAATTGTTATTTTGCCTCGTACAGGGTGAAGCCGAGGTATAAAAAGCTATGCGAGATACAACCGGCATTACTTTGCTGGTGTTGTTAGCGTCTTGTGCCACCTGTCAAGGTTGGTTAATTTTGCATTATTATTTCCTATTACTCCCTTGAAGTCTTATTCATCGTACCACTAACCAACAAGCAGGAATTCTGTTACATTTTACATGTTTCCAGTTCTATTTCTCGTCCCTCGTCCCCCCACCTCCCTCCCTCCCCTCCGGGTATGGGGTGGATTATCCTGAGAATCATGCAAATCAGTGCCGGGTTACTATGGAGACATAGAAGACACTTGCTCGCAATCAAAAGCGTCAACTTATACATGTGCGTTCAAAATTACGTCTGGTTATACACAAGAGAGAATTAGCTCATTCTCTCTTGTTAAACAGATTAGCTTCCTTCACAGTCATGCGCCTCGCCCTACGGTTACTTCCCTACACGCGGTTTTGCATTTTTTATTCGCACAACAGCAGAATTTTTGCAACAGCATAGAGGGCAAGCCTTCCTTCTCACTGCAGAGAGAGACGTTGAACCAGACAGCTATTTACACCAACCTTTTCTCCGCGACTGAGGCAGCCGCTTAGAAATTTTAGGGTGTATAGTGGGACACGTTCTGCTCTCCTTGGACATCATGAATGGAAATTGAAGACCACTCCTCCCCTTAAAATGGCACTTTAGGTTTGACCTTCGTGCAGGGTCAGTCTCCGGCCGTGGGTGTCTCGATGCGCCCGCGGTACTCCCGACCGAGGGAGGAGAGTCGGGTCGGGAGTACCGTGGGCACATCGAGACAACCACGGCTGGAGAATGAGCTTAGCCCTCGTCCAACGCCATCCTTAATTTCAGGTGAACGGGGGGTTACTAATTTCTTTTTGTTCAGTCCAAGACTGCAGCTTCATCACCGCTTGCAGGCTAGCAGTCATTCGGACAACTTTTTAGTACTGACTTGGTGTTCAACAGAATATGTAGGTTGCTATAAAGACTCCGATCCCCGTGACCTACCACAGCGATTGCACGACCGGGAAGTGACAGTCAGCTCTTGTGTGAAGAACTGCAAGGACTTGTTTTACAGATACGCTGGTATACAGTTCTCGTATCTCTGTTTCTGTGGCAACAAACGTGGAAGGTATGGTCAACTGCCGGAATGGAAGTGTTCTAGTGAGTGCGCAAGCAAAAAGGATGAACATTGTGGCGGATACTGGAGCAACTCAATCTATAAAACAGGTGCGGTAGGGAAACTAAACTCAATTTTTTTTTGCATGCCAAACAATCGCTAGCCTGAATTTCAGCCGTCTCCTCTAGTCGCAAGCTTCCGAGAGAGACTCTCTCCTGGGTTTGCGACTCGATTCAGGTAAAACATTCGCCGAATTTGAAAGGCAGCCATCTTGTTTTTATCAGTGGAGAACGAAAACTGCGGAGTTGCAAATTGATTGTAGAGAATTTACTTTGAGGCGGGGATCTCGACTATCGAAAAGGAATATAGGGGCGTGAAATCCATACGGCAATGATTTGACTTATGAAACAAAGTGTAATACTAAAGAATTTGTACTCTGTAAAAGTAGGAAAACTATTGTAGTAAGCCTTGAAATAACTACGTCCTATACGTTTCTTCACATGTTACTAAGCTAATAACGTTAAGAAGACGCGCACACTGTATTTGTATATTGTTCCTCTTTTCTAATATTGGATAAATGGTTCCGCTAAGCCAAACTATTTTGCCCTTTCCAAAATCACAGCAGAGTTTAGTTAGAGCCTGTATGATGTGCTCCGCAGGCGAGCCCTAGCGACTGTGGCATATAATTACATCCTGCAGTTGATTCTTCTTGAATTTTTCTCTTTGAAAATTCACGTTATAAACTCACTGAGAGTATTGATTTCTTTTTTTTCTTTTATCTACAGGCTATGATCCACCAGGTGGAGTAAAGATTACTCCTTTATTAAAAGCAGCTCTGAATGACCTAAAACCACGAGCTAACGCTACTAAACACAAGGTAGCTCTAAAGCTATTACTAAAAAGTTGTACACAGGAGTTGTTGTCTCATTTCTTCTCTAATTGTATTAAACGCATATTGCTAACTGAAGGAGATCATGGGTAATGAGGACAACTACTTTGATCGTTGTTTAAAAGCTTTTGTCTTAGACCTCAAACTGGCGGAAAACGTCGTTTCGCCAATATAATTTTATCGACTGGAATAGATTTGGCCGTACGGGGGCGCAAGTGCTAGCTAAAGAAAATTGAGTTTTGGTCCTCTTGTTCTTATTGCGCAGCATCCGCGCCCGGCCAAAACTTCATTAAACTAAAATATATTCAATAACAGAGGAATGCCAGCCTCCTTTCCAGGCCAATTCGCGTTGTCCAAGTGAACGTAGGAGGCTTGGAACCGGGCGCGATAGCACGAATTGTTCTTGACGTGCAAAGTCACATCGGAACTGGCCGAGGAGGCTGGAAACGAGGCTGAAAGACGGCTGTCAGAATAAAGTCAACTCTCGCTCTCTCTGTTAACTACACTGTTGCTTTTCTGCCATTTTCATTGACTATGATAATTTCTATCATTCGTTTATTTTGTGCTTTGCAGGGACATAAAGCGTTGAAAAAGGACCATTAATTAGGGCACACAGTGTACTCCATCAACGTAGAATATAATCCAACTGGACTCGAGATTTCATCAGTCACCACTGAAAACTGTACGAATTTGAAGAATATGTACATCGGTTAAATATGGGAAGAAAGGTTGAATAAAACGAGCTTTTTTTGTTTTTGGAAAGTTTGTTTATTTTAGTTGTTGTGTTTATAATTATATGAACCTCGTCCCCCGGGGGCCCCTGGCTTTTCCCTTAGAATATTGGCAATAACCCAGGTGACAAGGTTGTTTATATCCCCCTTTAACGTTATGGCGAGGGGGGAGGGCAAATGATGGTTATTGAACTTCAAATAAAACTAGAAGATCTATACTCGAAAGTTATTTCCATTCGCTCCTGGTACAAATTTGACAAGAACGCATTGTATTAAATCAAAAGACTAGACACTGTTACTTCGTCCTTTTCAGCCCTCTTGCTGCCCGCATTGCTTTCCCTAAGCTTGCATCCCTCATACTCTCTCCTCCATGGAAGCTAATGCTGGGTATACCAATGAAAATAGTAAGAATCGAAAAATAGCAAGAAAGCGGGTCTCTTTCCCCTTCCCATCGTCGGCCCGCACGATTTCTTTTTTTCCTCTCCCCAGCCTCCTTACGACACAAAGAGGCCTCGGCTGTGGAGGGAGTCCCTCAAAACAAATAAGTAGAGACTGGGAACCAATCTTCTTCGTTAAGACAGCTGAAAGGCGCGCGCGTGCGACAGCAGGCAGACAACACAAGCCTCTGAATTTCTGAAAACTCTCCTCTTGGGTCGCAACGTAGAAATTCAAATTTACTTGATACAGGGGAATCTTGTTAGGTAGTGAATTCCATGGCAACCATTCAGCGCCAACAATAACGAGGTTGTCTCCGTTTACATTAAAGACCGAGGTTTTAATAGTTTTGCATCTAACACGATAAAACTGTCACTTAATGAAACAAAATGGAGTAGTTTGCTAGCCAGGACCCGCGCTCTTATTCTTTATATTTCGATTTGAATAATTGATTTCGGGCCCGTAAAGTTACCGGGACTTTCGAGAAACGGGCCCCAGGTCTCCTTCGTTTTCTAGTGTACGACTTTGTGTAAAGAAAGAAAAAGGGAATGACCTAAATCCCCCTTACCCTCTCCCCCACCATGCATCCCTCCAGGGTGAGGAGTGCTGTTTATTCATAAAATAGATTTAACCTATTGTTAAATTGGCAAAATCCTTGAATAAATGACATTGAAACTATTTGCAAGGAAGAATACATGAAATCATGTTTAAAACTGATTATGTGGCAAACATCAATGATAAAAAACAAAGTGCTGCAGTTTATGTTCAAAACGTGAAATGCACAATCCTTTGTTTTCTGTTGGCAAATTGTTACGGAATAAATTAATGACATCAATACAATCAAAAAAACTCTTTTTGAACGTTGGAAGGTCCACAAAAACATATAACAAAGGAGTCTGACGGGTTTCATAACCATTCCACTCAATTAACTATGATGAAATTCATATATTCAACATTTGTTCTGTAAATTATTTGCCTGGGCCTAAAAGTCAAAGGGAGGAAGCCAAGAAAACAGGGGCTGGAAAAATGAATGAAAGGGTACGAGAGGCGAGAGGATTGTACCCCCTGTCTCTTCCGAGCCTCGATCGTTCTCTCTATGGATGTTTAGATTCGAGACTGTCAATATGCGCTTACCGTTGTTGTTTTTTCTTTTCATTGTATGATTTAACGGTTGATTTGCGTGTCAATTTAAGTCGAACTCAATCAAAAGCATGTAATAAAAATGTCATGAACAACAATAGATGTGCCAACCTTAATTAACCTACAAACAAAGAAGTTATTCAACTATTACGTGCTAATCGAAGTGTTGGTTCAATGATTTGTAAACTTTTAAAAAATGTTCAGAGAACCATTTCGCCATCTTGAGTTGACTAGATTTTATTTTGTTTAATTATTTTGACTCACCCTTTTCAATCGGTAAACTTTGAGTAAAAATAAAAAGATCAAAGGACAAATTAGTGATAGTTTAATCGTTTTCTTATGCTTTTTACGAGTAAGAAACGCGTCGACCCATTAAGTACCCAAACTGTATAGCAATGACCCATGTTAACTTGTAAACTGTAAATGACATTACGTTTTCATATTCATTCTTTAAACAATTGTTTTATTTTTTTGTTTTATTTTCTTTGTTTTCAATAAAAATTATAAGGCAAGGTCGGTGGAAGCAGGTCTTTCTTACATGACCGCAAAGATTTCACTGGTCCGAAGTATAAATGTTTAATAGCCCTGCCTCAAGATGGCAACCAAAACTCTTCGAAGATATCATTAATATTGAATTTCTTTTGTTGTCAGGAAAAAAACGCTAAGAAACGCAAGTTCTTTAATCGAGGGACCAAAACAGGAAATTATAGCTGATTTCAAATGACTTGAAAATACATTGTGTGGAAGAGTTGCGTTCCAAAACCTGGGATTTCGTTAGGACAGAAGTCAGTGCTTTTGCAAAAAAAGGTAAGATACAATTCAAGCTGTTTAGTTATCTATTGTCTAATAAATTAGAGCCAAAGGCTTTCCGGTCCTATCTTGAAGGGGTTAGAGCCTAAAATCTCTTAAAAATTTTTCAGTGACGCTTTTCCCCTTCACATTGAGTTTCACATGATAAATCAAATGAGAGATAAAAGATTTCCGAAGGGTAAAGTGAAAAATAAAGAAAACTGAAGTTATACTTGAAAGTATTTTGTCAACAATTCAATTCTCGAAACGAATTCGAAGATTCTTCTCTTTTAAAGTGATGAATAAGTAACGCTATGAGTAGTTCATCCAAATAAGGCTTCCTTTTAAACTGAGTTTAAGGAATCAAGTACTTAGTCAAGTTAATTGAACGAATTTCCGACATAAAAACAGTTCAATCCGGGTTTTAAATTTTATGAATTTTGACTCTTGACTTTAACCTGCCGCTGTTTAAATTTCCGCCGCCATCTTGATGGCTTGGCCACAACGGCTTACTCTGATTAAAATAGTGCCTTATTTAGATGAGAAATGGTATCTTGCAATTTTCAGAACACGTTTTAGAGATATAGGTATGTTCCTCTCCATCAGATTTATTAAGAGATTTCTTGGTTTTGTACAAAGTTGAGCTCAAATTGCACTTGCGCAGAACGCCCAAAACATCATTTTCGCGCGGAATTTTTTTAAATGCCGCTACTTGGATATTTGTGTAGTATTCATTTGCAGCAATTCTAGGTCCTATCATCGAGATCAAATCTCGAAAATTCAAAATATTGAAGAAGTAGTACACCTTTCAATTTCGGTTTTAAATCAGTCCAGGTTCAGTGATCACCAACATAGTAAGGGAGCGGTCATTAACTATTGGGGGGGGAGGGTCGGTATTATTTCAAAGGTTAGAGCCCAAAAATGTTAGCCCCTCTCAGGTTAACAGCCCAAAAATCTTGGCCCCCTTTAAAATGTGAGCCCAAAAAATTGTAACCCTCCCCTGTGAAAAACTTTTGATTTTTTTACGAACGTTATTTTGAGACAATTATTTCACTGGAATAAGAAAAAAGTGTTACTATTTTAATACACTATTTACAAAACCCAATGGTTCACCAAGTAAAGGGAACCCGTACATTAAACAGCCCCGTTGTTACTCATTGAATTCCTGTTTTGTAGTCAATTTCAAGAGTGAACAAATTGTGCGTATTTAATAACGGATCAGCGAGAGCTGTCTCTATTCAAGGGAAGTCCGCAGCTCTTGCTTGACCCCTCCAGGTCCTGCAAGTTCGGCCATATCGTGTGGTGTGCAAAAGATTTTCAAAGTTATTTTCCTGCTGGACCGATTCGTCTTCCTCCTGGTCCTCATCAGAATCCTCACTGATGTCATCATCGCTATCATCCTCTCCGATTTCGTCCAAGACACCATCATCATTGCCATCATCAATGTCATCATCAACATCATCGTCACAATCGCTGTCATCGAGATTTTCGCTACCTTCAATTATCTTCTTAGCAATGTCTATGGTTATGAGGTCTATTTTTTCTTGCTTCAGTGCTCCTTTGGAATGCTTTAGCTTCCTTTCCATGACATACAGGTCTAAGATCTTAACTTTCAGTTTCTTTAGCGTTCCTTCTCGATACATTGCTTCAATGAGAAGGCGGTAAAAAAAATTAGAGAGCAATTAGCGCAACTGAAATCTGTAAAGGATCCTTCTAAGGCTGGATTTCTTCTAAGAGAAAACCACATTCTCAAGCCACATGATTCAACGACCATAACGCAGAACATGTTACACATAAAGAGGGTCGAAACTTCAATCGAAACTTTACAAAAAAACCTAAAGGAACACTTAGAAAGAACAATCCATTCATCAGGTAGAGTTTTAACAGGACATAAAACTGCACATGACTTTGATGAGCAAAAGCTAACCGAATTGCAGGGTTTTAGAAATGAATTACACAGTTTAATAACTAGTCTAAGTCAGCTCCAAGAAACCTGCAAAGCAGCATTTAAGCACCCCTTTTCTGCAATGAAAAGAAAATCAAGAAAAAGGAAACAAAATACCCAAAAAGAGTGTGAAGCGGAAAAAAGGCGAGGCATGTGGCCAGGACGACTGAGGTTCTCAAGAAGATTGCGCCTGATTGGTCGGAGGGTAAGATTTGTGAGAAGGAGGATTTGTGCGGAGACATCGTAAAAGAACTTGGAAAAGAGAGCAGAAATGGGCGGTAGCTTTGATGTTTGATCAGTGCGAACTTTTGAATGACAGCGCGAAATCAGAGCTTAGAACAATGTTAGGGTTTTCTGAAAGTGAGAGTAGCTCTAATGCAAGTGACGGCGATGAAAGTAGCGACCAAGACAACCTAAGTAGCATCAATGACAGCAAAGACAGTGAAAGAAATAGCGATGACGGGGCCGATGATAGTGATGTAACTGAACAATGTCAGGAGAAGGATTCGGGAAGTGTCTTTACTGCAGTGGAAGCATACGACAGCAGCAGTGCAGAAGACATTGGCCCCTACTGGAACACAATGGAATGCACTCCTTACTATGAGCCCATTGAGTAGTCGTTTATACATCTTCACTGGACATTGGCAATATGTTTGATACCGTTACTGTTTAAGACTGATTGAGTTTTATAGCATACCAGAATTTGTTGATTTTTTAAAATAACAATAAATCAAGTGATGTTTATAAAATTGTTCTGGGTGTGAGCTTTTTCACTGTGCAATTAAGCTTTGAGTATACGATTCTATGAAGATTCTCTTGCCATGCTAAAGTCAATAGCACAAAACCCATTTGTGCACATCGCCCAAAGTTTTAATAAAAGGCGCCCAGAAATTGTAACCCTCCCCTATAAAACGTGGGCCCATAAAATTATGGCCCACCCCAAATGGGCGCCCAAAAAAACACAGCCCTCCCCCAAAATTTACCAGCCCTCCCCCCCCAATAGTTAATGACTGCTCCCTAAGCAAATTAAAAGCGAAATTTCAGGTCTCCTTGTCTCATGCAACATAAACACCCAATCTATCGGTGTTTCAACAGTGTATTTGTAATGGGGGAGTTCTGAGGGACTCCTGTACTGAATAAGGATTTCTACATAACTGTTTTCTGGACGCAGCTCGGTATAAGTCAAAATACCACACAAGAGAGCCGGGAGAGGAGAATCAAGTTGATTTAGAAACAGGTAGCACCAAGAATAGAGAACCTGCCAAGTCAGTGTTCTCTTGCATGTCATTAATTCGTAAAGAGTTCCAGATCATTGTATAGCGGCCTTCGATGGCAAAGCCTTTGGGTTTCTGGGATAAATTTGCCATCACTGAAATGTATTAACAAACGATTCGGCGCCATTTTGAGTTCAGGACTTTTGACTGGTTATTTAAAAATCCGGATTTTACAAGGTTTGTAGCTGTCTTTGTTCTTTGTCGAGAAAATGGGAATCGAATCAGTGTGGAGTTACAAGGATTTCTACCCTTTGTCGTAACGTATTAACTTATATATTTTTGTAAATGACTAGTGAGGCATTAGCAAGCTTATATGGCTAAAAAAAAAATTGTGGTGTTTACGGAAATTCATTTTAAATAGTTTTAAATAAATTTAAGAACTCCGCGGCTAGCTCTTTTCTATGATTGTAAAGTCAACTTTAAATAGATGTTACTGAGTGGCTAACACTACTGACGTTACTTCTACCAGTAATATGGAGAAAACTATTCTGCCTTTCCAGAAAGCAAAATGGTTTCCATTTGATTCCTAGAATGATTGTTTCTGTTACATGTTCGCTCACATGTAAAATAATACAAGATAACTGATAGACAGGGGATGTCTGGTCGCATAAAAAGTTTTCTTGGTCTTATGTGACCACGATTTTTCAACAAACTACCTGTAGTTAAAGCCCTCCCTAATGATGTTAAACTATTGTATTAAATTTGTATCGATCCGTGATTTTTTAATATCTAGAAATTTCATAACTTTCCGGACTTTTGGAGAGCAAATTTGTTTATTTCGCGGGCGAATGCATTTTGTAATATAAGTACACTCAGTTGTTTAAGCGCTCCATTAATCACAACTCAACAATGAAACAGGAACTTCATTGGAGCGTACACTAGCATGCAGGGGGTCTTTTTGGAACTACTTCTACTTGATATTTTACAGTTCTATGATCTGAATTTCAGACAATTTTGACTAGGACATTAAAGCCTCATGGAATTTTCACACTTGGCGGATAAACAATTTTATTTTTCTTTAGTAATAACAATATAGATTTCTGAATTAAAAAAGGCAATATACTGCTCTGAAGAAATAGGAGATTCTTTTACCGTAGGTTGATCATAACTACACAGTGACGTTCTAACAGCTCTTATCTTGCAGTTTTTATCAATACTTTTTTACAGCTAGTAGGGCCCGCTGCTAACCAACGCTCTAAGTTTGATATCATGAGAAAAACGCGTGCGCGTGATCAATGTATGAATTCTCCGTGAGCTTGGTCCTAAACGTTTTAAAAGTCAGACTACTGACAGTGGTTCACTTTATTAAGAAACGTCAGTAAACGGCTGGGATTCATACCCGGTGATCGAAAAAACGCGCGCATTATCACCCCTCACTCTTAACTGCTTGATCTGGATCATGCATGCGTGCATTCTTTTTAGAAACTTATATTTTTATTCATCTGGATCATAAAACGTCAGTTCACCGATAGGATAGTCGTGCTTTGCGCCTAATATCCAGTGTAAACTTTAATAAGCTTTACAACTTCTTTACCTTGAATGTGAGGTTTTATGCACTTTTCGGTTACTTTGCTTATAATCTTAGTTTAAGTCAGTTTACCACATTTGTCTCTTCTCCTTATCGAATGGGAAGATGATACAATCATAGCTTTGAAACCTATGTGCAATGTCCTGCAGTACCTGCTTAGGTGTCACTTAAAACTTAACTGACGTCTTAGTACCTTCTCTACGCAGGAAGTAAAGAGGAAATAACGAAGAAAAGAAGGACGAGTACACAGTAATGGGGCTCTCTTGGGTCCTTCTTCTCTTGACAATCCTCCCATGGATGGCTAAAACAAAAGGTAAAATATTTAAAGAAACACAGGTCTGGAAAAAGCTCCGTTCCTATTGAGAACAATTAATTAAGCCCAAAATCCCTAGCGAAGTAGACCCCTCAAATGAAATACTGAAGAATTGTACTTCTGTGGTCTTATTTCGACAGATCTACACTACATAGGATGTTTTAAAGATAGTGACCCGAGGGATCTCCCTCAACGTGTTCACACACCAAAGTTGAATGCTAGGACATGTGTTAAAAAGTGCAAAGAACTAGAATTTAAATACGCTGGACTTCAATTTTCTTATCTTTGTTTCTGTGGAAACACTTACGGAAGATATGGAGAACTTCCGGAAGACAAGTGCTCCAGCGAATGCAAGAGTAAACGAGATTCGTTTTGTGGAGGTCACTGGAGTAATTCGGTTTACAAGACAGGTGAGTTTTAGGCCGTACGTTCGCATTTGGCACCCCAGCACGCTACCAGAGCATGGTGCTCACTGGGCACTTATGTGAACACGCCCTTATTTGAAAAACCAAAGCTAGAATTCGGGCACTAGTGAGTTTAACTGAAGCAGCGACGTTTTGGAGCAACGCACGACAACCAGAAGTGAGCCTTTTTCTCTTAAAATATGTCTTGACGATAAAATTTGTATTGATAAGTGTGTTTACTCTTATAGAGACGATCTGCCCAAAAATGTCTGATCAATTATGGTTTCTGGGAAACTGGCCAACTACCCCTCCCTTAAGCCAACATTAACACTAACTTCTCACTAAGGGCAAAATGTTGACTTAGGGGAGGGGTAGGTGGGCAGTTTCCCAGGAACCTAAATTAATCCAAGATTTGTTCAAAATCACGGCTCAAGTGAGCAAAAATTCCACTTCCGGTTGACGTTCGTCGCTCAAAAACATCGCTTTTTAAACTTCCTATTCTGTTGGCCCAAGTGGAAGTTAAGGCCTTGCACTGGGGCACTAAATGGGCCCCGGGACGTGCTCAGGTTTTCTGTTCGCACATAGCCATATGCTACGCTCAGGTTTCAAAAATATTGCGTCTGATGAAGCAAATATTGTACGTACACAGTTTCATCTTGGGTACGCTCTGTGTGAACACAACAGCATTTGTGACGATACCCCTACTACAGTTTAGTATGGTAGAAAATTTAGGGTTAATGCGAGTCTTCGTTGGTGCTAAATATATATAGAGTTTGATCCTTCTTAAGTTCGACTTGCAAGAGGGTCGTAAAGGCCAAAACTATGAAATATATAAACACCTTACGCACTAGGCAGCTTCTTTGATGCGCAATGAAATGATTTTTGCAACAAAGGCGGAAGTGTAAGGGTTTTTCTTAAATGATATTACAACCGAATATATCAGCCAGCTACGCAAACTGAAGCGAAAACATTTCTTTCCATGATTTAAAGAGGGAACAGAGCAATCCTTACATGAGGCATTTTCACAAATCTTTAATTTGTACAAAGGCTGTGTCTCTAATTATCTAACTAGAAAAGAGGCAGCGAGAACAAGCGCAGCAAAGCTCTTTAAGAAGTAAATTAGTTTTCTACCTCGCAGGCAGTTATTGTTGGAAGCACAATCAAGTTGTCAACAACACAGTTTTTTTCTGACAATGTATCGTCTGCATTTTGCTTATTTAGGATACAAGCCTCCCTCAAAGAGACACAAGAAATCTCACAAACAAGTTAAAAGGGATGAGGTGGTTTTATTTGATAATGTTAAAGAATATAACCATAGGCCTGGTGAGTGAAAAAATCATTTTTGTTTGTAAATCAGCAGCAATTAACACCAGTTACAATTAGCTCAAATTCATACACCTGTAACCTTTATATTAGAAGGGTAGCCTGAGAAAACAGCCGAGATTTCTCAACGCCACCACTGAGAAAAGAGCGCAGAAATCCATACTGATGACGCTTCACTACCCGAAACCGGGTAGTGCTGCTGATTGGTTAAAGCAAATTTCCCACGGGGCATGACCAATCAGAAGCACTACCCAGTTCAGAGTAGTGACACGTCATCAGTTTGGAATTTCTGCGCTCGTTTCTCAGACGTCACAGCTGACGTCATTTCGCTGGAAAACCATGGTGGTGTCGAGAGATGTCGGCTGTTTTCTCAAGCTAGTATAGAAGGGCGGCAATTTCAATTGTTCATTCCATAATCAGCTTATGAAAAAGACCGGACTAAGGCAGAAGTAGATGTTGCATTACATCCGCCGCACTCCTGCTTTCCTCTATAAGGCCAATTGCATCAAAATCTTTTCTTCAGTCTTCAGTAATACATTGTGTTCAGTGCCCTAGCCATTGAATAGAGGCGAGGTTGGAGTTGACCTTGTTTTGTTAAAAACCGTCCTGTTTTTCACATGTTAATAATCATGTTCACAGGTTTATGAGCATGGGAGTAACACGATTGGCACGTGAAAGCAGGAAGGTTTGTCAACAAAGTCACCTTCAGCCTTGGTCCTTTCATATGCCAGGGTACTGAGCAAACAATTGTGAACTGGCCCGTTAAAAATACTGACTGATTCAAGGACTAATCTCATGGCTGTTGGGTTGTTGTGGAGGCAATGAAAAGAATTACAAATTATCATAAAAATTTGATTTTGTTTTTTTTCAACAGAGGATCGGACGGTAACAATTGACGTAAACCCATCCGAATACTCTTATATTCCACGACCTGCACAGGAGCAATCAAATACCAGGACACAAAGATCAGCTGTATATGACGCGAATTCGTACTATAATTATGCAGACAATAGTTACGGGACAAATCCCGAGAACAACAGTGTAACTCCCGCGGCTTACGGGACAAACAACGGACAAGAGCAAGTAGCAACGGCTTATGGTCAAGATAGCAACAGTTATTATTATTCAACGGCACAGCAAACTGTGAATAGAAACACAAGTGCGGATTCTTATTATTCGACTCAAAGCAATGCATCCACAGGGTCATATAATACCCCTGAAATGTCAACAACATCATATAATAATCCTGAGGTGTCTCAGACTCAATCTCAGTACGAGTCACAATCTGCAAACACAACTAATTCTTCGTTCTATTCATCAGAGCAACAACAAGCCCAACAGGAAAATAGATTTACTACAAATAATAACCCGGAACTGTCATCAACATCATATTATAATGCTGAAAAATCAAATTCATATACTAATTCTGAAGTGTCTCAGAATCAATCTCAGTACGCATCACAGCCTGCAAACACAACTTACTCGGATGCCTTGAGTGTCTCACAAACATCATCATGGAGCAAGGAAAGTAACGCTGCCTATCCATATGGATCCCAAACTGCTAATAATAGTGGAATTAATGAAACGGCGCAAGAGTATAGCGCATCTCAGTTGAATAACACACAGAATACCGCTGATTACCTCTCGAATAGCACACAATTTTCGAATCAGCAGCCAGCCGGATACACATACTCAGACCAGGAACCGTGGCCAGCTCAGACCCCTTCCCCATCCCCTGCACCATATCCGACATACGCTCCTTACCCAGCTCCTTATCCGTCACCATACCCTTCTCCCTCTTATGCACCATATCCTGCTCCTTATCCGGCCTATGCCCCATATCCTTATCCTTCTCCTGCCCCCTATCCATATCCCTCTCCGGCTTCTTATTCGTCTTATCCAGCTCCATCCCCAGCTCCATCTCCTGCGCCCGCTAAAGAGAGCAACGATCAGAGTGAGTAAAACAGATAGAAAAATACCATTAAAATTATAAGTGCCAATAAATTTTAGTGTTGTCTTATAAATAATTACTTACTTACTACATTTGAGCTATGTCCAGAAAACAAGATTTTGGTGTTTGGTTTGCTTTCGAAATATTCCTACAAACGCCAGCCCCACACTCGTCTAGATTATAATAGGAGTACTGCAGGCGACACTCGTCAGGGAAACGGCACTTTTTAAATTTAAACCTAAGATGTAGAACGGGACACAGCTTTCGTGGTTCTGATTATAGTAGTACATTCATAGAATTCTTGTTCTGGGATATTAACTGAAGATGCTCGGATTTTCAAGAGGTCACAATTTAGGGACAACGCTTCGCGTTTTCTTCAGCGGGTCTTTCTATCTGAGGAGCCTGGTCACTCTATATTCTCTACCGGGCCTACACGGGTTCCTTCTAGAACCCTTTGCAATAGCCTTACAAAGAGATGTGACCATGCATAACTTGGCATCCATGGGAAATTTTAATTACATCCGACTGACTCATTTGCTCAAATTAGATCAATTACCCCAAACGTACTGCACTGCAAACTACTCAGCAGGGTGCAACTAAATAATTAACGGCATGACCATGTTAAAATGTCATTGCCGATTACAGTGTTAGTTCATAATACGATAATGACGCACATTTCTTTTCTTTAGCATAGAACAGCTTTTAAAGTTATTGTCAACTCTTGCAGAAACATCCTGTCAGCTGGAGCGGCAGATGGCAAAGACAATGGAAGACGCCTTTGTACCTGAATGCAGTTCAGATGGTAGCTACGCCGATGTGCAGTGCTTTGAACACGAGGGATTTGCCAAACAGTGCTGGTGTGTCACCAAAGACGGACAGGAAATTCAGGGAACCCGTATGTCAGACGGGCAAACACCCAACTGTGCTATTGTGGCTGACAAGGTGGAAGAAAATAAGCAGGAACCAAAGCAGCATGATGGGCCAAAGAAGATTAACATGGCAGTACCATCTGGGAATGGAACAAAATTTGAAGTCGAAGTTGAAGTAACTCTCAATGACACGATAAAAGGTGAAGTTATTTTCGAAAAAATCTTTGCGTCACCAGTTGTTATTACTTTAACGGATACATACAGGGGGGTGGCCAGCCCATAGATCTGTAGGCCCGGGCCTACAAAGTTTTGGTTCGATAATTCTACCGCTCAGTAATTAATTTATGCGTTATTGGGGTGAGATAAAAAGCTGAAGGGCTCAGAGTGATGGTACGTTAGGTCAGTGCATACTAGTCATGTGTGCAACTTTCAGGATGTGTGGAAATGAAGTCAGCCTGGCCTACAACTAGTCGAAAAGCTGACTACGCCCCTGACATATAGTAACACATTTTGATAACAAAGGGACGTAAATCATTTGTGACAGCAGTTTTTCATAATAACCAGGGGCAAACCATTTGATCGCATTCGAAATTTCGAATTGACTGAAAAGGAAGGACTTTTAATCGTCATATTGGCTAACTTCGGGAATCATATTCAGTTAACACTAATACCAGTTAAATGATACTAAAAACTTCCGAAGGTGAAATAGTTTTGATGGAAGGTTAATTAGAGATTACCTGCTGTAAATATAACCCTTCAATTAATCCAGTGGGAAAGTCCGTTAGGGCGACGAATTAAACCTCCAATTTTTTTAAGAACGTTTAAAAATATAATATATTCACTTTAAAACTTCATTCACAGAAATAGTAAGAACCCAGTGTCAAAAGGAAAGAGACATTGCTAAGTCGCCTCTCATCACTGACATCTTTGTGCCTGCGTGCGACAAGGAAGGGAACTATGTTCCCCATCAGTGTTTTGAACACAACACTTACGGAAAACAGTGTTGGTGTGTGGACTCTTCAGGCCAGGAGATTAAAGGAACAAGGGTAAACGACGGAACGACACCAAAATGCGGTAAGTGTAGAAGATCTGTTGTCTTTGTTTAGCAGTTGCATATTATTCTGCTCTAGCTAATTCAATGCTGTTACTCAGGCAACCATGCTGTTTTCGGGAGAATCAGAACTCCACTCAACGCAAATTGTAATCCAAACCTTTCTCGTGATTAGCGTTCTTCTACACTGCATAATGAGGGCTGATTCACTGATTTTTAAATTTAAAAGTATTGCAGCGAGAAAACGTCCTGCGCTAGTGTTTTACAGTTCCACAACGTTATATAACACCCCTTGTTATGGAATGGCATTATAACATGCACGCACCCTGTCCGTTTAAGTAATTCCTGGCAAATCTAGTAGAACTTCGTTGGTTCTTAGTCTTGATAAATGAGCATCTCAGTCAAATTTCACTAAAATTAAGATAGTGCTCAATGTCCAATACTTCACAAGGCATTTAATCACTGCAATATCCAGTTCGAAGATACTATTACGACTTTACCTCATAGCCATACCTTTCAAAATCATTGAATCCGTCACAACAACGATTACATGTTCCTAGCTTCCAGTACATGTTTTCTTTCTTCAGACAAAGTTCACGCCGACGTTTCAAACGTTCCCAACTGTAACATGGGTCCTTATGGTTGTTGTGAGGACAAGACAACATTCGCTAAAGGTCCCAATATGGAAGGCTGCCCACCTCAAACCAACCAGAATCCACTGCAGACGGCTGTCTTAGAGTCGCCCGCTTACGCTCAGAGTAAATGTCAACAGGAACAGCAGAAACCGAAAGCAATGGGAGCCATGGACATGTTTGTTCCTGAATGTGAGCCCTCTGGTCTTTTTAAAGCTCTTCAGTGTTATACTTACCCTTCCAGTGGAAAGGAAGACTGCTGGTGCGTGGACCAGAACACCGGCCAAGAAATTCCAGGAACAAGAATCACTGGAAGCAGGCCAAATTGTGAAGGTATTTACTTGATTATTACATACGTTTAACGGTTGACCTTTTCTTACCTTGGACCAGCAGGACAATACACCAATCCGAAGTCTATTTTACATTTAACTGTTCTTTTATTTGCTACTCTGCTTTTTTCCGCAGCAAATGCCACTCAAGGCCCTCCCACCACAACCACCCCAGCAGCTACCACTCAACCCACACCGCCTCCTTCCGTGTATCATGTCTACTGCCAAGTTACTGTGTATGGATGTTGTCCCGACAATCGAACGGCGGCAAGTGGGCCGAACCAGTACGGATGTGCATCACAGCCTCAGCTACAGCCACCACCACAACCGAATCCAATACAACCATCACAGCTCCTGCCACAACCGCAGCTGCTACCGAAACCACCAACTCAACCACAGCCGAACCCTCAACCACCATCTCAGCCGCAGCCACAGCCGAACCCTCAACCACCATCTCAGCCGCAGCCACAGCCGCAACCGAAACCACCAGCTCAGCCACAGCCAAAACCTCAACCACCTTCTCAACCGCAGCCACAGCCACAGCCGCAACCGAAACCACCAACTCAGCCTCAGCCGAAGCCTCAGCCACCATCACAGCCGCAGCCGAAGCCGCAGCCACAACCGCACCCTCCGCTACTGCCGCAACCACAGCCTACAGTCAAACCTACAAGACCGCTTGGACCTACGTTTCCCACAGGTACATGGAGAGATAAAGTATTAAAAATACCCAGAACGAAAAAGGGTTGGTTTGGTAGCACTTTTGGGTTTGATTTTGATTTGAGTTTTATTTCGCTAAAGGCAATAAACTTACTGTGATTCATGTGTGGACTGAGAATGTTTTCGGCCAAGGTGCGCCACCAAATAAAACTTCAATTCATTTCCCGACATTTAACCAAAGAAACTCCTTTTTATTTTCTGAATACCAGCATTTACCAAAGACGCTTGTGCATCGCTGTTGTTGGGACAGGTTTGGTACGAACAATTGACTGATAAATCCCTCGTTTACCTCAGGCAACTTAACAAGGAGATCGTGGAAGGGGTAAGTGGTAGTTTAATTAGATTGTACAACAATGGTATTTGTAATTTCTGTGTCACATCACTGTCCCCCTACTTTATTTAAACCAGACTGGCACGCTAACATTGTGTCTTACCTGTCAACTAAATATATGGCGTAACTAAAATTAAATGCTGAAAAGAAAGGAAAAATTGGAAGTCTATTTGCAAAAAATGTTTGAGACATTAGGTTGGGAAAACGGGGACAAAAGTAAACTGTTTCAGTCTGGCGAACAACGAATGCACCGTCCTCAGTATATATGCCTCCTTTTGTGGTCTGCCATGGCCAAAGTCACCGGAGCCACATATGCTTCTATAAAGGATTGTAGTTCACCTTTTCCCTTCGAGAAGTTTAGAAAAGTGATCCTGAATTTTGGTCGAAAATAATTTTAACTTCATCATCTACCAGCATCTTTATCCCCATCATCGTCATATTCATCGTCAACAACGATAGTCATCATGCAGAGGATCTTCCTGATTACCCAGTCTCTTAAACATCCTTATATACAAATAAAAAATTCCACTCTGTATCTGCGTATATAGTGTTCCTAAAGGTATAGGTTACCGGTGAAAAACATTTTTAAATAGTTTACTACGTTTACAATTACTTTGCAGCTCAACAGTATCTACAAAGGAGTACATCCAGACTTTGTTTCAGCTCGTCTAACTGGAATCCGGTATGGAATCCACATACTCAGTATAACAACTATGACTGATTAGTTAGCCACAGCAGGAAATTATAATACCACTACACCTGATACTAAAAAATAAAGGTATCGAGGGAAATAAGTGAAACTGTAACGTATTGAACTTTCTTGACGAATAAATGCAACACTGATATAGTTTTCATTTAACAAAGTATCGCTCGAATAGGGTACATCGCATTATTTATCTTGAAATTGCAAAAGCCTCCAAAATAATTTTAAGAGTACAAATTTTATCATTTGTTTATGTTGAATGGTATTTTTTGCAGGAAAGCAAAGAATCCTTACGTGCTAAAAGGTCCTTATATCATCAACATTTACTTCATCGTTTCGTTCCGCAAACCGGTTGCTGATCCGCTTGCTACGTTAAGAGACCATTTGGTATCCAAGAAAATGGTCAAAAAACGACAAGTCATTCCTCAATCTTTACACTTGATTGGTAAGGACGATAATTTATTTTTGCTAGTGTAACAAAAGTTCGGTGCTAATTTGCCTGGGGATACTCAACCTGAAAGAAGTTTTTTCTTCTTATCACAGTTGGCAAAAGGTTAACAATAAAATAGAGTCAGTATTAGAAGAAATGCATGGCAATAGCTAAAGCGACGTTCCAGTGGCTCTTTCATAGAAACCACTTGTGCCTTGTATAGTCACGTGCACCCTGCATTCATCAAAAGATAGTTTAAAAATCCATATTACGCCAACGCTTCAAAGGCGAGAAACAAAGCGTCTAAGCCACGCGAGCCGAAAGAAGTGGGAGAGGACAGGGGATGGTATTCTGTAAGAATAGAGGGGTGGGGGAGAGGGAAGTGGATGAGGGAGGAGCGGGAGGTAGGAGAAATATAGGGAAATTACGCAACAATGCATAATTTGGAAGCAAAGAAGACAGGGGCGCTGCTCAAAGGGATCGCAAAACTCAAACTTCGGTATTCGTATGCATTGGCCTGAAGGTGCAAAATGCCACTGGTACCCGTATGCACCAATGCATCGTTAGCACGTTCCTCAGTGCAAGTTAATTTTGGGAAACTTATCTCGCTTTATCATCTGTTATTACTCCTTGTTTCTTTTTATCCCTTAGTTCCTTACGACGCAAAGACCAATAAATGTCCACCAAAGGGCTATAAGCCAGCTCCTTTACCAAAGCCTGTCCATCCTCCAGTGATACCACCTCGGCCCACGAAAGTGCCGCAAGTTGGTCCGCCTGTGGCAGCCCTCCTAGCTCTACACTTGCCCTTTGATCGCCATTCGGGCATACACGTGTTAGATACTTCCAAACACGCAAACAACGGGATACTTAACAACGTGGACGTATCGCGATTACCTCAGGCCTGTGGCTTAGCTGGAATATTTTCCTCTGGCAATGTGTCGTTTAACGGCAAGAAATTCTTTCCAAAGCCCAGTGTCGCGGTGACCATTGCTATGTGGGTAAAACTGGCCTCAACAAAGGGACGACAGTCATTATTTGATACGGTCACTGCTCCTGGGAAGCCAGGAAGCTATCATTTTGAGCTAATCGATGGAAAAGTGAGGTGGTTTGTAAGGGGCTCAGACGAAAGTGTGATATTTAATGTGACTACGGATCGTGTGGTGGTGCCACCAAATCAGTGGACACATCTAGTTGGAACATATGATAATAAACAAGGTCAGCCTTTGTTAAACATGCGTGACAGCGTCATTTTTTGTAGTTTTTTCCTTCGTATTCAAAATTATCATTGTAAAAGAAAGTATTATTTACAAGGTACAGGGTACAATCTACGATTCCCTTAATATTTCTCGTAGACGGTCGCCATTTTAGGCACTCAAAAATACCAAAAAACTGCGAGGATGACACTAACATAAACTTGGTTTAATACGTGGTAGTCCAGTTTTGCTTGTAGGGGAATTTCCTTAAACTTATTTTACACTGTAGGTCTACAGACCTACTATAAGCGCATCCTACCTCTTTTTCAGTTTTCGAGTGATTCAGAGTTAAGATTTTTTCTTGTACCTCCTCCTCAGCCCAACCAAAAAAATATTCATACCATTGGTCAACTTTATGGTTATTTTCCTGATACAAGACAGACAACAAAAGTGTCATATTTTTCTTTCCATTTCTAGGATTAGCAAGGGTATACGTCAATACACAGCTGGCAAGTGAAGGAAAAGGTTCCGGAATATTGCCGCAGGACTGGAGCGAGACAGTAGGAATAGGCAGTCACAAGGGTCAGAGGTTCCTTGGTGGAGCACTGGATGAAGTATATATTTACACGTCAGCTTTGACTCAAAAGCAAATACGAGAACTAGCTTGTATATGCGAGGACAGCACAGGTAATCGAGACTTGTCTCACTTGTCTTCTACGCCGGGTTCGCGGTGAGTTTTCTCTAATACGCCATTTTCACATCTCCCATAACACACCTTGTTCGCCCCCCTTGTTTCTCTAGGGACGACAGTAATACCCAGTAGAAATAAAAGAACAAAGGTTATGCAAAGTGTTGGGAGGCAAACAAGGTGTATTAGCTTGTATTATTGGAGATGTGATTCCATCTCTTCTGCGAATTTTCCCGCGTCTGCGCCATTCTAACGCCTGCAAGCCAATCGGATTGCGGTAATTCGTAGCAAACATAATGGCGGCGGCGGCAGTCGCTTGTTTTGAGGTAAAGATACTTGAAATGTGTTGCGTTTCTCTGCAATGATTTTTTTACATAGTAATCGCTAGCTATTATTGTGTAACTATTGCTGTTTTTAGGAATGAATGTTGTGAATTTTGAGAAAGATGACGGCTTTCAAGGCATGCGAGAGTAGACAGCTGTTTAGACAGCTGTTTAGATCATCCAGTTCCATGTGATTTCTCTTCTTTTGGAGTTCCTATTTTAGCTTGACTATTTTAAGTTGATGACATTTATATCTGTTTTTATTATTGAAGTGGCAGATTACCAAGTTTAATTCACAGATCTGGTTCTTGCATGCATAATCAAAGGTAGAATTAATTGGCACACTGTCACGCCACCAATTCTTGCCATACTGGCACATGTACTATGTGATTTGAGTCTTATTCGATATTTGCTTTTTTGTTTAGGTGTGCATATACCCAAGCCAGGATCATGGCCGGAATGTATGCGAGGGAATTATGGGACAATAGCAACTAGCAAACCAACTCTATTTCCAACAACCAAACAACCGTGTGTACCTTGTGTCATTCCCCCAAACTGCCCTGTTCCACAGCCATGCCCAACACAGTGTCCAGCACCATGCCCTCCAGTGGCTACTACCCTAGCAACAACAGCATTGCCGGCTACAACCATAACATCAGCGCCTCCGCCTACCACAACATCAACATCTGCAGCTCCGCCTACCACAACATCAACAACAAATTCAACTACTACCCCATCACCTCCACCACCAACATCCACCCAGAAACCATGTGTTCCTTGTGTCATTCCTCCAAACTGCCCTGTTCCACAGCCATGCCCGGCACAGTGCCCAGCACCATGTCCTCCAACAACAACAACCATCCCAACAACAGAAGCATCTCTAACAACAGAGAAACCTCCCCCTTCTACCACAAAACCGCCCCCTCCAGTCACACAACCAAAGCCTCCTTCCACTACGAAGCCGCCACAGACAACAGAAAAGCCAAGTCCGGTTGTATTGACAACAACTCCAACGCCAAAGGTTGTCTTAACAACAACCCCAAAGCCTCCTCTTGTTTTTACAAGTAAGTTAATGCAGTGCCATTTTTTGTGGGATTTTGCTCTGACTGTGCAAAATTGAGAAATCTAGGATTTTTTTCAGAAGAATTTAAAAATTGGGAGTGGTTTTGACGGTTGTCATTCCTGCAAGGAAATGATTGAACTACCACAAGTGACTAAATCATCAGATATTAAAATGTAATTTTGCACTTGTCTCCATTACATTGCTGTTGAGTTAATACCAACCTTGTGTTGTTTGTCGTTATTTCATCATGTTGAGCTGTTTTAAGGCTTTGTCACCTGTCAGAAATTTAACCCTGACTGGCTTCAGTTCTTCATCAAGGGTTAAAAAATCATTATTATTGATGTTTTGATGAAACACTGGCTAATAATTTCTTTTGTAATTTTTTAATCATAGCTCCAAAGCCTCCAGGTAAGAAAACTAATACCTAATACTCCAAAATGTTTTCTTAGTATTATAATTATTTTTGTGTTTTTCCTAATTTGTATGTTCTTGCTGTTTAATTGAGCTTTCAAATTGGATAATATTATTGCAACATTATTTTTGACTGAAATGCACATGTTGTTATTCCATGCAAAATTCTAAAATTTTCTTATTTTCTTTTTGCACTCCATGAAAACCCCGTATAAGTCATGTTTGACATAATTTTGATAAGTACATTGTATCTTAGTACAATTTTGAGATTCTAAAGTAAGAGTTAGTGCACTGCAATGTACATGTATGTTATATGAATTGAACTTCACAAGTCTTGCAATGACATGTTCCAAACTCCAGCTCATACTCAGAACCAAAATGTAATTAGAATTTGATCAACTGATGTTTTATTTACAAGAGATGGACAAACTCTGTGGGTAAATGGAGAGATCATTATAACATCATTTGTTATTGTTTTACTTTTACGTATTACACATACTAGTAAATGGCAACTACACTGCGTGGAGTGCATGGGAGGAATGTTCAGCTACTTGTGGTGGTGGAATACAGCAACGAGTGAGAACATGCACTTATCCATCACCTGCAAATGGAGGAAAGGACTGCACAGCACTGGGACCTGCAGTGGAGACAAAGGATTGTAATTCACAGCCTTGCCCAAGTGAGTATTCAGGGCTGTACATGTGCTCAGAGACAAATTACACGTACACGAAGCCCCATGCTTTGACCTGGGGAATTTAGGGTACCCAGAATAATTATGATATCTTGTGAAAAAAAAAAACAAGATTTCCAAGTCGTCCAAGATCAAAAATAAGGTGCAAGGAACCATGAGGACAATAACATAGTAAACTATAATGGGTTGGTGGCTCAAATGATAAAAATAATGTCTACAGTATTACATAATGTTAGTGTTTTAAATTATCAAAACTTATAGATAAAAGAGGCAGTGACTGTGCATGTTTGTCAGTATGTCATGTATTTGTTTTATAAAATTTGTTGCCTGCTTATGGTCATGTTGTGCCATTTCAGTTGATGGTGGGTACAGCAACTGGGGCTCCTATACATCCTGCAGTGCAACTTGTGGGGGAGGGGAACAGGTTAGAACAAGACAGTGTAACAACCCCACCCCACTGTACAAGGGAAAAGACTGTAAATGGATTGGACCAGCAAATGAAACAAGAGCCTGTAATACCTTCTACTGTCCAAGTGAGTTAGTAACTAGTGTTTGTTGAAATAACTGTCATTGTTGTAACACTGGACTGGAGGCTTATGACTTTTACGTCTTGTCAGCTTAAGAGAGATCATGGTTCATAATGAATAAAATGTTGCCATCACTTTTCTTCTGGTCATACTAGCGCAGCTTACAAGACCTAATTTTTTTCTGATGTTTTTTGCATCATCCTAAACTTGCCAACCTTACAGACACTGCAGTTACATTGAATGTGTTCTGCAATTCATAAGCAAACTCTTTTTTCAGTTAAACCAGTATTTCCTCTGTCTCCTACAGTTTGTATGAATAATAATTAGGGCTAGAAGACAAAAGAAATTTTGAATCAAACCAGGTTAATAACTGGCTTAAAGGGAGAGTGGATTTAACCTACAACATAATTATTAAATAATAATTATAATTTAATTATGTAAAGTATGCAAAATGTTACTGTAAATGCACTTTTGATTACTTCCTTGTTAAGAACAAGCCTTATTCATAATGATTATTATCTTAAGGCACAATCCTGGGCTTCTCTCTTTTCATATTCACCTCTGTCGATCTTTCATCAGAAACTTGTGGCAACAAATCCAATACAACTTTTGTTGAGTCCCTCCTTCGCAGACCATGGATTCTGTAATCAACAGGGTTTTTAATAATTTAATGTTACAATGTAGCAACTTATTCTTTTGTTACAATGTTTTTTTCAGTTGATGGAAATTACACCGAATGGTCAGAATTCCAGGCTTGCAGTGTGACTTGCGGCAAAGGAATTCAGGCTCGCTCAAGAAGTTGCACCAATCCACCTCCTCAGCATGGGGGAAAGAATTGCTCGGCTTATGGGCGCCCTGTGGAAACAAAGGAGTGCAACTTAAGAGAATGTCCAAGTATGGATATTAGCAAGTTTTTGCTTTCTGTTAATATGTAGCATCCACTCCCAAAAAATATAGTTGATTTTTTTTAAACTTGGAAGTTTATTAGCAGTTCCTTTAAGTTTCACTCACTGAAAGATCTCTCAACCTTGGAGACAAAGATACAGGGTATGTTGTGGATAAAATGCAGAAATAATGTTCACTTATTATAATTTTACATGTATAAATCATGGCTGAATTAGACACGGACAGGAGGAATCCTGTGTTTTACAAGTAGTTGGCTACCACAGTGGGGTAAGATGGACCCATATCACCCACTTGGAATTTCCTGCGTTGGTCCTGCAGTAAAAAGTTCTCTTTGTGGCCATAATAATGATCCCTTTTTGACCAAGCTTGTTTGGTCAAAATGGCTAGATAATATTATTTGACCTCACACTAGATTAATAACATAATATAACCAAGGAATATATGATCATGATTTTGCTACTTTGTTTTCTTCAGTTGATGGTGGTTACTCTCCATTTACCAACTGGTCTGACTGCACTGAAACTTGCGGAGGAGGAGAACAAATAAGAACTCGGACATGTACCAACCCTCCTCCTCAACACTTTGGTAAGGATTGCTCCAAGGATGGACCTGATTATGAAAAAAGGAAATGTAACACTCAAGAGTGTCCAGGTAAGCTGGAGTTTATATAAGTTCAATGGCGCAGAATGATCCCAACACAAACTTAGGGCAAAAGAGTTTTTTTTTTTTTACTAGAGTGTGTGGAGATCATGGTACCCTGGTACGTGAAAGTTAGTAAACTGTTTACATCTACAATTAACCATGATCCATACACATCCATGGGAACTGTAGAACTAAAATGAAAAATCAAGGATCACGCTTTAACCCTTTAAGCCCCAAGATCCACATACAAATTCTCCAGACTGATCTCCATACATTTCCATGGGAATTTGGTTTAGAACTAAAAATGTAATTCTAAAATCTTGATGATCAGAAAATGGATGTTGGTCACTCTTGGGACCTAAAGGGTTAATGCTACTCAACGTGGTTTTCAATTCAAAAGACATTAAAGTTTTTGTAAGGTGAAAATAATTACATTAAAAAAGCATGTAATTATAAAACACACTCTACAAATGACATCTGATGATTGCTAATTGCCAACGTCAAGTCTGGTACATTAACATTGCATAATTATGTTACAGGTCAGCAAAACCTTTTCCTTGTGGTGCATTATTCAGTATGATAAAATTAATGTTTTTTTTCTTTCTCTTTCAGTGGATGGTGGTTTTACACCCTACTCCAACTTCTCTGCTTGTAGCAAGACCTGTGGAGGTGGAATCCAGTCGCGCATGCGATCCTGCTCCAACCCTCAACCACGTTATGGTGGGAAGAACTGTACTGGAGACTACAAAGAGGCACGCGAGTGCAATACACAGCCTTGCCCAAGTAAGTTTGTTTTATGAGGCACATAATGAATTGGATCTAATGATTCAAAAGTCTGGGAGGTCAAAATATCTTGCGTTCTCATTGTGGGTAGGGGTGGGGTATCTGGAAAAATACACCAACGCCACATGGACTGGACAACAACATAACTGTGTCTGGATTTGTACTCTTTAGTGACTGACTTGCACACATGCCTGGGCCCAGTTGTTCGAACACCAGTTAGCGCTAACCCGGAGTTAAATTTTAACCCAGGTTTCTCTATGTATTTATCAAAAGCACTCTCTTGGATAATTTTTTCTATTCTTTTTAGAGTAACCAGTCGTCAAATTGTAGGCAAAGAGAATTAACCTGAATTTCTTTATGAATACAGGCTGTAGCTAATGAATAGCTGACAACTTGGCATTATTTGATTATTGGTTTTGATTTCTGTGTCTTAAAGTTGATGGAGGCTATGATGAATGGGGAAACTATTCTGAATGTTCTGCAACTTGTGGTGTTGGAAATCAGGTGCGGATGCGTACTTGCACCAATCCGGTACCACAGCATGGAGGAAAGCCTTGTATGGGCTCACATTCTGAGTCCAGAGAATGCAATACACAGCCCTGCCCAGGTACTACTGTAATACTATACTGATGTTTTACCTTACAGATTTTTTTTAAGTGAAGTAGGGTTATTGAAGTCTTTTTTTGAATACTTACAGTATTACTAACTAAGAAATGAATTATATAGGTTAATTTGTTGAGACTTTTTTCTAGACGCTTCCCCCATCAAATTGAAGAGTATTCGCAATAACAGATTTCTGGTGTTGCTCTTGTTTATGGGACTTATTTGAACTGTATACTAAGTCTCATAAATCAAACCCAACATTCTTTTAATGGTTAAAGTGGATCATTCTGATTATATCTGGGCTTCTGATATTTCACGCGGTTACGAAGCTGCGAAATTCACAAAAACACCCAAAATGCCACGAAATTCAATAAAAAATCTTATCAAATACATGTCTGTACAACATTTTGAAACTTATTTCAGCTATTGGGGCTATTTACTTGCTTTAAACTTGCAAATTTATCTTGAAACTTCGTCACTGAAACAGGAAAACAACGTCCTGAAACTACCAGATGTGATTAGGTTGCGAAAAACTGGGCACTTGCCTGATGTTAAAGGCTTTGCCATTGGTTCATTTCCTGAGCGTATTGTTGTTGAAAGAGCAAATGATAACCTCTGTTAAAAAAATGTTGAAAACACTGGCCTGATCAGCACAAAACCAATTGATTTCCAGCGAAATTTGCCGTCAAAATAAGCACAAAATCGGCCATTTACCGATTGCTTTTTGGGGAAGTTTGCCCTGAAATTTCAGGCGAAATTCCTGTGAAATCGCCCGATTTTTTTGCGAATTTGTCCCTAAAAATCCCTCGAAATTTGACTTTTTTCTCCGCAACCTATCAGAAGCCCTGTTATATGATAATACAGGTAGACAAGGAGAAATTATATCAACTCAAAAAAATTCGCATCTGTAACTCCCTGATTGCCAGATTGATGTTATTTGTAATTTGGAAACATTAGTTTACATCTTAAGTGTTAAATTTTGGGGCCCAAAATTTATACAGTCATGTCTCTCCCACAAAATGCCCCAGTACTGAGGAGCAGGGAGATACAGTGTATGACTGAATTCACTGGATGCTAAAAGAATTTTAAAAGATCAGAATTTTAATCCTAGTCAATCCTGAATTTTTCAGGTTTTTTGGATGGTTTAGGTTATTTATTTAACAAAAAGGAACAGCGTAAAAAACCTTTTAGGTTGTGACTGGTCTTTCTTCATTTTTAGGTAATGGTGGGTATACGCAATGGACAGAGTTTTCTTCATGTAGTGTAACATGTGGTGGTGGAATGCAACAAAGAACAAGAGAATGTACCAATCCTGCACCATCAAATGGCGGCAAAGATTGTAACCTGCTTGGACCGGCATTTGAGTCAAGAAACTGCAGTTCTAACCCTTGCCCAAGTAAGAGTCTGTTTAATTTTTTACCTTGGTCAACGGTACAAAAGAATGAGTTAAAATGTTCCATGGGTGTCTTTGTTACTTTATAGTTTTACTAACCAAAACTGAAGTATGCCTGGTCAAAATTAGTAAATTAATGAAATGTGGCAAGCATCACATGGATTCCAGCTTACATTCACAGTTGTTGGTTTGGATCTAAAGAAGTTGATTAACTGGTCATATCTACGTGTAACACTGCAGTAAAAACAGTGTGAAAGTGATAAAAAATCACGTAACGGTAACAACAAACTGTACTTCTTGAAGGCCACAGTGGTAAAATGTGCATGCATTGGGTTGAAAAATTTTAGGTGTTTTTACTTTAATAGTTAACATTATCCTTGATAATGACTGGCTTGTACTTCAATATAGTCAATGGTGGATATACAGAGTGGTCTAAGTGGTCATCTTGTAGTGTTACTTGTGGAGGAGGAACAATAAAGAGGCAAAGAAATTGCACCAATCCTTCACCCCAGTTTGGTGGCAAAGACTGCTCTGGGAGTGGACCAGAACTCCTCACCCAGCAATGCAATCCACAGAAATGCCCAGGTAAGATAATAATTATGTCCCATGCAATTGTCTCTAGAGGCCGGTTGGGTGTCTCTTACAGTATACCTTAAAATTCCGCAAATAAGCCCCTCCAAATATAAGCCCCCCAGGGACTTGTACTTGGAAAATTGCCCTCAAATACAAAGTAAAACAGAGCAAAAATGGTAAATTTACCTGTAACCATAAGGCTAGCCCAATCGATTTTGAAACACAAATTTCCTTCCATAGATAAGCCCCTCCGAATGTAAGCCCCTTAAAAAGGGCCTTTGAAAAATATAAGCCCTGGGGCTTATTTTCGGAATTTTACGGTAATTTGAAAATCCCCTGCTTTTGGACTGTAAGTGAGGACAGTAGAAGTTTGCCGATATGCCATTTCTGCACATGAAGTAGGATGAAAACATGTTCCGCTATTGGCTACAAAAGCTCATATTTGCTAGTTGTAGCTTGATTAGGCTTTACAATGATAGTAAGAGCTATAAACATTTGATCAAAAAGCAACATTCATTACTATGAATGTTTTGATTGTTAGTGTATTATTGATTAAATTAATTTTTTTAAAGTCTGCTCGGGAGTAGCATCACTTAAGAGGTACTCTTCCATTAAAGAATAACATGATCAACAACATGATGCTTTACAATAATAGTTACAGTAACTGTGATTTGTATTCAATCACTATGTTCTTCTTGTAGTTAATGGTGCTTACTCACCATGGAGTGATTGGACCCCATGCACGGTGACTTGTGGTGGTGGTGAATCAATGAGGACTCGTCAGTGCACGAATCCCAGCCCAGAGTTTGGTGGTAAAGACTGTTCTTCCCTTGGCAAGTCTACAGAGATAATGAAATGCAAGAATGATCCATGCCCTGGTAATAGTCTAAATTTTGTAGCCCCAAATGTAGTTTTACATGTACTTTTATGACAAGTTTACTAGTTACTACTACCGTGTAACATGAAAATTTTGTGGGAGTTTTATTTTGCGGATTGGTGATTTTTTGTGGTTTGCAGGAACAAATTTTTGCGGTTCGAGATGACTGAAATTTCTGGTGGGAACTAATTTTTGCGATTCTCTGTTCAAGTAGCAGAATATTTAAGTGGAAGAAACCTTAATATGGTATTTTCAACTTTTATTTTACGGTATGTTGAGTCAAAGTTCACTCTACTTACACATTTAATGGAGAATAATACAGTAATCACTGTAATATCTTACTGCACAAAGGGACTGAACAACAGCAAAGCAAAACCAAAGCCTATCCCTACCATACACAACAAGTCTGTTAAAAGCAGAGTTTTTAATTTGACTGAAGGGAGTTAATTTTTGCGGTGTTTTATTTTGTGGGTTTTTTTTTTCTGGGGGAACTAATTTTTGTGGATCGAGGTCAATCCGCAAAATTCGCGAAAATTAGAACCCGCAAAATTTTCCTGCTACATGGTACTCATAACACATTAAGTAATGGATCTGAAGAAAATCTGTATCAAAACTGAAAAGTATATTTATTTACTTTACTATTTGTATGTTGATCTGTATACCTTACTCTTGAGGTAGAGATGATTTCCTTGTCTGTTTCACATAATAATAATAATAATGATCCACTGGGTGGCTCTTCCCTGTTAAATTACATCAATTACAATAATTTTACAAAATAAATCAAATTAAGTTATTTACAAATTATACAGGTACAATATACAATTAAAAGTAGAAGCAGGATTAACAGAATCCAATTACAATAAAACTAACCAATCACTCTGTACTCTGTTACTTAAAAAATTCATATATTTATTGTTTAGTCAATGGTGGCTATTCACTGTGGGGAGAGTGGACTAAATGCAGTGTCACCTGTGGTAAAGGACAACAGAACAGGATCAGGGACTGCAGCAACCCAGCACCAAGGTTTGGAGGTGCTGATTGTTCTGCCTTAGGAGAACCTTTTGAGAGCAAAGAATGCTACCTTAAAGTGTGCCCACCAGGAGGTAACGGTAAGTATACTCATTTGTCTATGCAACTGTTAATTTCATATCTTTGTGAACTGTAAGTGACCATCAACACCTGGCTTTAGATAAAGAAGTTCCAAGTACTGTAAGCCATTTTAATAGTAAAGTACAGTAACTTTACATGGGGTCCATTACAGCACAGCTATTGAACAACAACACCATATCTTCCTTTCACACAAACCTTCTGGTGGAGAAGGAATAATGATATCAGTAGTTCACATTTACAAATGTACTGTCTGAAAAACCGAGGCTCGTTGATTTGCAAGCCCTGCTATTTTGTTAATATTTTCTCAACAATTTTCTAAAAAATTGATTTAGAAACTGGCTGGTCTGAATGTTCTAAGACATGTGGTGGTGGTGAAAGATTCAAGATGGTCAATAATGCCAAGCAAGTGTCACCATGTAACACATTGCCATGCCCAGGTTTGTGTTCTTTCAATTTTGTACGTACATGACGATTTATTTCACAATTTATGGAGGTAATTGGGCTGGTGATGTCCAGTTTGGTTTGTAGTCATATAAGTGATTTAATATAATTTGGTGAGTCCAAGTGGCACAATAACATTGTCTTACTGCAAAGTGTTTGCACCTGTAGATTGTAAGGAGATCAGTTACATGTAAACCTTAATTCAGAGGTCCCAGGTTGTTATACACTCCAGATAGTTTTGCATAGTACCCTTACTAGTAACACATTTTGTTGATAATGTTTCTTGCTCTCATTCTTGCCAGTGAATGGTGGCTTCACCCCCTGGAGCAACTGGACCGAGTGCACATCAAGTTGTGGCGGTGGAATCTCGTCAAGATCACGTACTTGCACAAACCCCATACCACTGTATGGTGGGAAGTCATGTGAAGGAAAACCTGTGGAAATTAAGGAATGTAACTCAGAGCCTTGTCCTAAACCTAAGAGTAAGTATCGTGGTGTTAAAAGTTTCTGACAAGTTTAACACACTTTAGGAAAATATCCCACCTTAAATTATTTACATCTGCTTGTTGCACTTTCAGATAATCATTGTTTAACTATTATTTCATCAAGGGGGTGAACAGTGCCCATCTTGGAAGGTCACAAAAATGTTTGTTTGATTGAGGCAATGGATGTCTTAACTTTTGCCAAGACACAAACCATCTTACAATGCGCGAACAGCTACAGTGTACAGGGGAAAATGTTTTGCGCGCATTCTGCAAGCAGAACCTAGTGGTATCCAGTTTTCTCAATTAATCAACTGGAACTTAGTTTATACCATAATGGTACTTTCAAAACATAGTAATATAAATTCTTTCTTTTCCTTTTTACTTTTCTTTTTAGTTCCAATTCGCTCATGTCGTGAGTTTGCAGAACGCTGCAACAGCAAAACAGACGGCTTGTACACCATCTTCTTGCAGAAGCCAAACTCAGCAGAAACAGTCAAGGTATTCTGCGATATGACACATGATGGTGGTGGATGGACACTGTTGGTCACCAGTGCCAGCAACAAGGGCTGGACAAAAGACAATGTCAAAAGCAGGTAAGAATGATCTTATCTTTTATGGATGACAGGTTTGTGGACGAGCTTATTTAAGATTCTGCGAGAAAAAAACTGCAAAAAGAGTGGTACTGAATCTGCTGACAAGAAGGAGAGAAACATAGAAATTGAAAAGGTTTTTTGTAGAATGATGCTAAAAAGACGAAACGAATTCATGAAACAGTGTCAAGTTGTTTTTCTGTCGTGATATTGTTTGGTCTAAATTAATTCGGCCTTTTTAGTTGTAGACGACAAAGTGTGGTTAGGACATTGGTGACCAACTCGCTTGTAGCTCTTTGGCCGCTTGTTCCGTTCGATGTCATTAATTTTGTGAAAACTTTCCAACAGTACTCTTTCCTTGTGACTGGTTTTTTTTTCGGAAAGAAACGATCTCACATGTTGGATTCTCTTTAATTTTTTATTTGATTCATAGAACCCGGCGAAAAGTGTATAAGAATTCACAGTATAGGAATCCTTATCTGCTAAATTGTTCACAATCCAAATATACAGAAGCTTTTCAATTTCACTTTTGTTCATGTTCTGCCGTGAAGAATGTGATATTTTTTTTCTTTAGAAACATAGCTGAGCCTTCTCTCACCAAGGACTACTCATTGTTGGACGAGGGTGATACAATCAAGTCCATTGCTATCAGTCCATACTTCCTTTATCGACTGGAGGCACGAGAAAGGGGTAGCAACGGTGCCATCTATCAGGCACCGGAAAGTTACAGGTTTGCTTGTTTGATTGCTTGCTTTTACTGCTTGGTGTGCCTGTGCGTTTCTCGACGGAAACACCCTAACTGTCCTTTAATATCTCAAAAGTTTTATTTTGAGACTAGTGGATAATACGTTGCCACACTATTCTTGTATTGATATTTTTCTTGTTTCCCCTTTTGTTAGCTTCACCTCCTCAAATTGCGCGCTCAATGATGTAAGCATTGTGCAGAAGTTTGGTTCGTGGTCCGAGGGCGACAAAGGTATTGGTAAGCGTATGCCATATCTGTCCACTGATGGTAACTTACTGCTTTCAACTTGCGACTGTAAAAGTGGCACCACATTTGGGACGGTGGTGTCTCAAGCCGCTGAATATCATCCAGCTCACTGGACAAGTGGTGATGCAGAGAACCCAGGCATTATCTGGTATTGGATTAAAGAGTCTACGACTATGCTGCAAGGTATGGTGTGCATACATGAAGAATTCGATTTGATAAGACGTTGTTGTAGCCTGTACTTGGGCTTCGCCACGGTTTTGTTTAGTTCGTGCAGCCAAAATCTAAGCATGCGCCTGTATAACAGGAGCAAAGTTCAGAATTCAACACTTGACTACTATTCTACAAGGCTAGGAAGATTTTGAATTGTTGTACCTGCGATAATTTAGTGGCACATTGAGAGGAGAATGCGAGACCGATGGCATCTTTGTGTTCAAATGACAAAGACGCTCTGCAGGTTTAGACTTGGACATCCCAGACTAAGCCTAAGTAATAAAACGATTGTATAGAGCAAACAGAAAACAGACCTTGTTTGGTTTTGTTTTCATTGATGTATCAGCAACTTTAAAGCATAGAAAGTAACCCAAAGTTTAGTGTTTCGCTTGGTGGATTATTTATTTTCTACACAACGAGTTTCAAATCTTTTCATATAATGAGCGGTATTTTTGGAATATAATGAAACAGGTTTCCAAAATACATGTAGCACGCATTGTGCTTTTCCCCCAGTTCCTTTGGCAGTCTGTCATATCAAGTTTCCACTGCATTTTCTTTCTGTTAATAGCATCCTTCAGTGGTGTTTGATATTGTTCATTTAATTTTTTCTTCACTTCCTTTTTCTCTTTATAGCTTCAGCTGGTGGGAAACCCGACCCCATGTGTCCCTCTCCAGGTATGCAATAAAATATATAAAAAACGTATAACAAAGAAGTCTTCCCCATCCGGTTTCATAATCATAGGAGTTTGTCAACTGTGCTGTGGACTAGACACTCTTCCGAATATTTTGAACATCAAATTTATTATTCGGAATTGGTCAGGTCGTCTTTGGCAATCCTGGTCTTTCCAAAAGAAAAATATCAAGGCTTCAATTGGTAAACGTTGACCTGTATACTTCCCAAAATGCATAGTGAACCAGACCGTAATTTCTTCTTCATTTTGCAGTTCCAGGAGGTTATAATGAATGGAGTCAGTGGTCTCCGTGTCCAGTGACTTGCGGAGGTGGTAATCAAGTAAGGACAAGAAACTGCACAAACCCTGAACCGCTCAATGGTGGTACAGACTGTTCTGCAATTGGGGGGAACCTGGAAAATAAGGTTTGCAACCCACAAGCGTGCCCAGGAGTGAAAGGTAACAGTTTTAGAATCATGCATACTATTGATCTAAAATGAGTGATTTGATACTTTGATACAATTTGATACGTAATTTTGCCTCAAGCACTTTGGCTTGGAAACAAGTGATCGCGTGGTGACTGTCTCACATTCGTTGCCTGCAGGCTCCTAACGGTTTAACCTGTTCGAATTAAATTATTAGAATTGTTGTCACCTATGATGTCCCCCAGTAATTTACTGCCAAGCACTGGCACTAAATTCATAGCCAATAGCCCTCATTAGAAGAAGTGTTCGTTTTTCAGGGATACAAAATATCTAAAGCAGTATATGTCTTAACCTACTTTCTTTAAAACGGACTAACAAAAGATGCCTGTCATCAGCTTCTCACATCCTGTACACATTTTTTTTTTGTAATCACTCACTTGACCATTGCACATGAGTTTTTTTTCTTTTGCGTGGTTTTCCTTGTCAGCCTTTTTCCAGGCTTGTGTTTGCTCATCTAGACAAACGTTTTCTTTGATAGTTGATGGAAAATACACCGAGTGGAGTCAGTGGTCAGAATGCACAGCAACTTGTGGAGGAGGAACCCAAACACGCCATCGCTCCTGCACTAATCCCCCACCTCAGAATGGCGGGAAATCCTGTCTTGATCAAGGACTTGGTCCAGCGATTGAGACCCAAAGCTGTAATGTCCAACCTTGTCCAAGTAAGTGACACCGTTGTTGAAAGTTATAGAACGTTTTCACTCAAGTGAATTAATTGCAGCAAAAGAAAGCGTTTACTTTCGAAAAGAGTTCAACTCCCAAAGGATTCGTTTTTAACATCAACATGGCCGCCGTTTCATTGGTTTGGGACACCAATATGGCCGCCGTGACGTCATGTGTGTGAAAAGGGTATATAAATATATAACTCAAGAATGCTTCAAGTGTCACATTTATGCCTTTATGCCTTCCTGCCTTCCAAGTCCGTTGTAGAGACATGTGACCTAGTTCTTTAACTCCTGAGTCTCTGGATGGAATCCTATATTGATACCCTTCAAATGAAACCTCTTCAGCATACTTTCACATGAACTATTTTGTAGGACGTACAGTGTGGTTCTAATTCGTCAGTCCGTGGATGAAATCCTGATATCTTCAATGGTACTTTCACGTGGTGCTCGTATTTTGCATTTTTTGAAGGAACTAACAATTTTCAAAGCTAATTGTTGCTTTCACTGATGGTATTTTCAGGGAGTTCTAACTCTTGACAAAATAGAGACTCTGCAAGAAGTAGCTTGATAAATACAGATTACCATAAAATTACACACCCTAAGAGCGTAATATGAACTCCTCGCCGGAAAATCCTGTCCGTAAAAAAACGCATGGCGACGAGCAATACTACACAGGAGATCTCGCTTTCCGAAGACTAGATTAGGATTGTGTGGTGCTGTAGTTTCGTGTTCACTTAAGCTCATGTTATATATTACTTTTATAGGCGTTTGTGTACCAGCTTGTCAAAATGGTGGCACTTGTGTAAATTCCAAGTGTCAGTGTAGTCAAGGGCTTTATGAAGGAAACTACTGTCAAACAGGTAAGAAGGTTTAAGACAATTTGCGAACTTTTACTATTATTTGTTTTGACTTCTGATAGGTTTATCTAAACGCCCTCGTTACAACAAGCTCAATTGAAAACGTTTCACTTAGGTACACCTTGCTATCCTAAACAATACTCTTAGTTCGGGCGATTCAAAATCCACACAAGTCCTTACCTATAGAAAAGAGATCGAATACAAGATGAATAATTTTTTAGCAATAGTTGCCATACACATGATAAGCTTAAGCGACAAGTGACAATGCCAAATCTAGAAAGGACTACGACTACGAGGCACTTCAGAGAACCGAAAGTTTACAATATCTCCAGTCCGTTAAGTCTTATGTTTGGTAGTGCGTTCTATTGCAGGTCTAAGATTATACAGACCATTGATTACCCCAGTTTTGAGACATAAGAATGACAATAGATGTGCATAACCCGCTGTTTTCTTATCTCATGCAGCCATTTGTAAGATCCCTTGTCAAAACGGTGGAACATGCGTTAAACCCAACCAGTGTCAATGCCCGCCCGGGTACAGGAATATTTCTTGTGGCCAACGTGAGTATACACTTCCGCTATTGGCACTGAGTACAGTGATTTTGTTACAAATTGCTATAGTGAGTCCTGGAACTCATTTCATGAAAAGTCGTGAGTCCCAGTGCAAAATCATTGAGTTCCAGTCGAAAACCGATGATTTTATTGGGATATTTTCGTGGGATCCCTCCATTTATTCCATCAGAAATTACTTCTGGACCTGCTTTTAACCGCAGATAACATTGCTCTCTCTCGACATAAAATACGTTTTTAGTACAAATTGAAAGTCACATACAGGATACTTCTTCAAAATCATCTTTAGGTCGCTCGATTGTTCTTAGCACCCTAGCGGACGGTGGCGTTAAATATTTTTGCGCCCTTGGAGACTTTTGCGTCAGGGACTTGGGACAGGAAATTAAAAAATCACTGCTGAGTTTTGCTTTATATATAATAAATTACTGACATATAATCGGTCACTTGCTTTGTCCATTTCTACAGCTGTTTGCCAGAAATTCTGTCAAAATGGTGGAAAATGCATTGGTCCAAACAAGTGCCAATGCCAACCGGGATATTCCGGACAGTGGTGTGAAATTTGTAAGTACCAACAGGTTATATACCAGCGGCATAATATTTCTTAAGAGTGGAGCTCTTTATAGCCCTATTCACGCAAGCAAGTCAGTATTTGTGTGGAAGTTTCACTTAAAGAGAAGCATACTGTTTTAATTTGCATACCATAAGAGCGCCATTTTTAAACTCCTTTGATTTGGCCATTTTTTACTATGGCGTCATTTTGCTACGACGACCATAGAATCCTTTTTGTTTTCTCTTTCGTATTTAAATTTGGTAATCCCAGCGAGGTTTAGATAACAAAAGCCCTAGTTTGCATAAGTAACCAAAACCCTGAAGGATTCTGGTCGCAGTAGTAAATGACGTCATCATGTCCTATTAACGATTCGTTGCCTAGGCCAGGTCATGTGGCGCTTTATGTCAATACCTCCTCTTTATCGTGCGGCGCGATTTAAGGGCATCATCTAAGCGTTATGAAATACCGCTGATTTAACTCCCTAGGATCGAAAAATATACTTCTGAAAACTGACACTTGATTGGTTTTGTTATTTTCCAGCTACCTGCAAACCAGACTGTCTTAATGGTGGCACCTGTGTTAATAGTCAGTGTCGGTGCGCTGGCGGTTATTCAGGACCTTACTGCGGCATAGGTAAGGCAGGAAAACTTCAATGGTCAAAAAACGTCCTTGGGACAATAATGCAAAGCCCCAGTCGCGTACGCAGCTCTTGGTTTGCTTGTCACGCATTGCTTCTTCCCAGCGGGGATGAAACCTTGCGTGACGACACAAAGAGTGCTTCGTAGAAGACGGCAATTTCAGCGTTTAACGTAATTTTTAAGAAAGAAAATTCAGAAAATATTTCACTAAATGTTTCCTTGAAAAACGCACGGCCAGTCAGTAGCGATGACTTCTTGATTGCGCAAATATCAAGTTAAAATTATTCTTTTACTTGTCACGCTGTCTCATCGCTTCGTCCCACGTGACGCCACAAAGAGCGCTGCGAAGGAGCTGAGCAATGCTCTCAATTATTTGAGAATTTCAGCGTTCACTGTAACTTTACAAAAAAAAAATCGGAACATATTGTACTGAATGTTCGCTCTAATAGTCAATAACTTCTTGATTGCGCAAATCTCGGGTCAAGACTAAGAGGTACCTGATTTCGTTTTGTCATGTGTTGGTGTCTTATGACAGTATCCCAATGCAACATTGGAAAGCCAGAAGGACCCTGTCAAATTGATGTTCAACAGGAAGTAAACAAAGCCTCTGTTAATGAGCAGAGCTCCCCATGTATAAGCTTCTTAAAGGAGGTCTTGGCTCACTGCAGCTACAGGAACTTGTCCCATTTCTATTCAAGAAAGAACTGCGAGCAAGTTTGTGGTAAGTTACTTGTATAGTCCAATCCATATCATAAGGACCCATTTTATTCTTTAAACCTCATTATCCACAAATAAATTCTCCACACTGATCTCCATACATTCCCTTAAAGAAAAGGTTGAGAGAATTTGATAGATCAGAGCATTTTCCCTTTGGTGATCATTTCATCAATAATCTTAACATTTTCTCTCGATTAAATATCGATATTTTTAGGATACTGTAAGAGAGACGACATAGATACTAAAAATACATTAGTTTGGCGGATATAACTATTTTCGATTAAATAGCCAAGAAGGGTCTAGTCGCTAGGAATTTATTCTCCGTTTTGTTTTTCTTTTTCAGAGCCAAATGTATGCCAAAATTTGTGGAATTCTGATCAGTGTATTAATGCAGAAGTGAGATACTACTTTGACGCCAATCTTAAACAATGCAGACCCTTCAAGTTTGGAGGTTGCCTTGGCAATGAAAACTTGTACGCTACAGGAATAGAATGTCAAACCAGATGTACAGGTTGGTGCTGCTGAAATTTACCGTGCTGTGGAAACCCCTTACGCTGCCGTTATTTGCGTCGCCACGCAACGCTCCCCCTCCCCCCACCCCTTTAGCGCGCCAACCCAATAATACGAACCTTAAAACGACGGTAGCGACGATGAAAACTTTACTACAAAAATGTATTTTGAAAACCACTAACTGAAGGAAATATTGGGAAACTGCCCACCTACCCCTCCCCTAAGCCAACATTAACACTTACTTCTCACTTGGGGCAAAATGTTGGCTTAGGGGAGGGGTAGGTGGGCAGTTTCCGGGGAAACGTGTAATGATCCAAAATTTTCATGTCACGACCCTTGAGCGAATCCAACTCAAGACCTCCTAGCTGCAGAAAGACCCATGACATGCTTGGCTCGGAGCATCTAAAGTCGAACTCGAGATTTCCTGAGCGTTAAGGCAATTAATAATGCTTTGAATAACTTATACAGTATCAATCATTAAGTGTGAGATTTTTTTGATTCGTCAGGATTAAGGCCGACAGCTGTCACTCCAACAGGTCCAGGGCCGAAAGGTGAGTGCAATACGTGATAGGTGACAAGGAATTTTAGTTCATTTTGCCGCCCCACATCTACGGCGTCAGTCAACTATCCCATTGTGTTAGTATCGCCAATCAGTAAAATTTGTATCATTCACTTATCTTTACTGTACATTCACCTGTGTTTGAAAAGAACGTTTTTAGCACCAGCTCATCCCCAAAAAGTGCCGACTCCTTCTGCCAAACAATCTAATAAGGGGCTTATTCGAACAAGGTCTCATTTTGTTAACGCTCACCACAGTTAATAAATGATTTCAACATGATCGTTTCCAAGGCCATGCACTAAGAAAACTCCTAGTTAGGTTAATGCTCTGACCTGTGAAATCCAGTGTGCGATTTCCAAGCAGACCAAGAACAAACGTAAGGCACCACGCGGCACCGGGTGCTGACAGGGTATAGCCCAGCCCTTGTATCTCACCGAAAGGTTGACACCATCCAGTGACTGTTGGACAGACGTTTTTTTAGTTGATTCCTGTCAATGTAAGTTTTATGTTTTCCCTGACTGTTTTGTGTTCTTTCTTCAGAGCCGCCCGTCCCTGCAAGTTACTACTGGTATTTCTTGTCCATCATAAAGAATCAGATAGTAGGCAGTCCCCCATTCGTTATCAACGGGAAAGCAACCCTTTTGAACATGGGCTTCCGATTGTTCAACACAACTTGGCTTTCTACCACAATTTCCACTCAAGACTGCCTCTTAAACCCAGACATTTGTCAGACGGGCTTTGCTATTGGGATCAAGATTCGCTTAGACTTGTCTGTGAAGTTTTGTAAAACGCCCAGGTATATTCTGGACACCGGTCCTGGAGCCAAGGCCCAAGGCGTCTCGCTCTATGTCGAGGGAGGCATACTGGTAGCTCAGGTGACGTCCTCAAGAGGAACTTGGCAGGTAAAAAGGTTCAAATTAAAAAGAAAAATGAGCTAGCATTAATGACCTATGGAAAGACTATTTCTACACCCTATTACTTGATTGGTTCATTTAAGTGGTGGTTTGGTATCAATTCTTCTCAACGAGTTCAGTGTATTACCATAATAAAGGCAGCCTGTGTCACGAGAGTGCTTTACTTAGCATCGAGACACTATGCACGCCCAGATTATGAGGCATTTTAGAGAAAAAAAATTGGAAAAAAGAAAACAGGAAAGAAAGGAAACTTGTCCCCCCCCAGTGCTGAACGCCTCCCTCTTCTCGTAGCTCAGCTCTCGTCCTCATAAAATATTTTCGCCTGTTTTTATTACTCAGTGAACTTGATTCAGGTGTTTGAAAGTTTGAAAGTAAGAGGCATGTAATGTTACAATGGTAAACCACCCAACTGGGTGTTCAGGTTTCTGTTGAATCTTACTCAATGACGGAGACCTTAATTCAATCATATTCATATTCATAGAAACTTTATTTGCGTAAAAAATGAATGTTAAAAAGAAGCATGGATGCAAAATGGGTGCCATCAGAGAGGAACTGAATCCTCTTCCAAGGTTGACGCTGCCCTTGTTCTCTGAGAGGTTTATTGATCCAGTTTTCTTGCCCCAACCTGTCGCCTTTGTTTTCCCATCGATATTTCAGTGTGACGGGTGTATGTTTGCGTGGGGGTTTGGTGGTTTTTGGGGTTGTGCCAGGTATGAACGCATTGGTAAGTCCAGGGGCTGTCTACCAAAAGTGGAGGCCACTGTTTTCTACAAGTACCCATCCTCCATCGAGCAATGCAGTCGTTAATAACAGTTTTGATCAGTATTTTATAACGATTCTTTTCCCAGGTGAAAATTCCAGCTGCCTTCGATTTCTGGTGCTATGTTCTTCTCACCTGGCATCCAAAAATCGGTCTACAGGTATATGGCAACAGTAACCTGAAAGGAAGCATTGCAGCACCTCAGAGCAATGGCGCGCCCACGTCTGTGTACAATGCTAAGCCTAATTTTGCTGTTGGACGTGGACTTGCTGAGGCACCGGAGAAAATGTGTGGTTTAGTTTACGTGTCATCTCTTGCCGTCTTTAAGCAGTTTCTCACACAGGAGTTGGTCAACAAGGTTTTTGGTTTCTTCTGGAAGAACAGTGAGTAGAAGTTGATAATGAAGTGACTTTGTTTTAAACTAAGGGGCCCTTTTCCTTGAAAAAAAAATTATCAAAGTTAAGATGTGGAATGGTCGGAAAAGTGTTAATAGGTAGGCCGGGCTTTTATAGCGATAGTGAATAGAGTTGTTTATCAGACGATTGCACAATAATCGCCTGCTGAGAGATGCAAGATATGATGAAGATGATGATGGTGTTGATTTCAATGTCGGTCTTTAACTTCTGTGTATAGAAAGCCTCTTGTAGGCAACTCGTGTAACTTCCTGTAACGCTTCCTTTGCAACTCTTGTAATCTTGGCACCAAATGCCGTGTCAACACCGCACATAGCTTTCTGCACAATGCTGACGTAAAAACTTACTTCCAGCCACGTCTGATGTTATAACTCGACTGAAGAGTCGATTTCCATGTTTTTAACTAGCTGGTTTTGTTGTTTTCAGTTGTGTCCAAGCAGCCGTTAGTGGACTATTTCATAAAGATGAAGATCACCAATTTGTCGGGCAAAAAGGTTATTCTTATACCAGGCGATAACGACCCTGCCAGCGGCATGCCAATCAATGCCAATGTTATTGCAATTATCACAAAGGATGTTCCAGTGGTGGAACCCAGTGTCCCAGCATTGCAGTTTGCCGTTGTTGATGCCGAGACCAGAAAGGAGTTCCTCTTGATCAATGGATCGCAGCTTATAACTTTAAGACCCGTCCGGAATAAAAACGTGATTCCCATCAACTTGATCATTGCTAAACCAAGTATGTCACTGACTTATCTGGATTATTGTTGTTATCAGACTTATGCAGTTAAGGTAGACCGTTTAAAGGGGCTGTGTCACGGCAGTCCAGTTCATTTTGTTTAATTTTGCCAATTACTCGCCCTCAATTACTATGTAAATTAAAGTAACGAAAGAAATTACAGGAATATGAGAAAATCAGAGATCCGAGACAAACAAATATGCCTCCTGAACATTATTTTTGAAGTTGCAAGCAGAGGGGATCAACTTTGAAAAACTGTTAGGCTGAACAGTTTTCAAAAACCCTAATTTCAATCCGTTTCAATCTTCTTCAGTTTTGCCCATCCGTGGCATCTGTTGTTACTGTTATGTTATTTTAACTGTCCTTTAAAGTTTTCAGCTGTTGTTTTTATGTTTCTATTAATTTAACGGGCATTTTGTAATTTCCTAATTTGCGGAATTTCGTGACACAGCTCCTTTAACGCCCTTGTGAACTGAAAACTCAGCAAAACACGTAACCGTAAGTGATCACGGGCATTTTTGCCGTGCATGATTTTTGTCTTTATCGATAGCTACTTTTGCACTAAAGGATTTAACCGGTATATGTCCAATTAATTCACTGATTAATTCAAGTTGACCAGTTTTAACAAACAATAGGTTCATGATGACTGTCACAAGTTCAAGTTCTTCTACATGCGGGCGTTCTCCTTGTGTCCACCGATCCCCTATACCACTAGTGTGCGCTTACTAAGTTCGTATCAATACGTTTTCACTTTTGGCTTTCCGTCGAACATTATCCACTTACGAGAGCTTTTACTGTACTATAAAATACGAAGAGGTTACTTCCAAAAGAAACTGTGCCTCTGTTGGTGTGAAAGTGAAACAAAAAGTCTTATCAACGGAGTTGGTATGGTCAATTTGCCCCCGTACTAACCTTCTGTAGAGCGAATCGAGGGATTATGGATCGTATGGTTTACATACCGCTTCATGGAGCCAGAATATAAAATGTATCTGTTACCCGCTATTAACTTTCGTTCTTTTTTTTTTTTTTTTCGCAGTTTCCAACCAGTGGTATTATCTCGTGCTGCGAGTCGTCAACATGGCCGACGATGATATTTTACTGACAACCTCAGACGGAGATCCTAAAGGTGGTTTTGTTATCCTTAAAAAACTTATCGTGGTTATCACAAAGAAGACCCGATCGCCATTACCAGTCCGTTTCACAACTTGCCTCAAGAATGACAGCAGCAAGACGTTTTTCATCAACTCCAAACCAATGGTAGAGCTGAAACCGATCCTGACCAAAGATACAAGTTCTCCGATAACTCTCACAGTGACAAAATATGGTTAGTAAATTCTTCAGGTGAAAGGTGTTCTTTGAAGTTATATTTCTTTTTTATGTTGTTGTTATAGACGTCTAAGTGAGCGCCGAAAGTGATTTGGTTGCACAGAAGAAGAACTACTTGCAGTTCTGCAAGCCGCCAGTGAAAATGGAAAGAATGGTGTTGCAGTTTGTAAGCACCCTGACCATCCACAATCTGTTCTTTTCGTTGTTTTGCTCCTCCACCGCCCCCCCCCCCACAAGAAAAAAAAAAAAAAAAAAACGAGTAACTCAGAATTATAGGAATGCTATTGAACAATGTGCAAGATCAAGTCCTAAAAAGCACTCGAAAACGGATAACAGAGAAGTATGACGGGCTTCGCGACCATCCTATGGTGGGATGTTGTATGGGTTTTGTGTCTTCCCATGAGGAAGCCGCTTGTCATCCACTCACGTTGATATTCACATTAAGTGTTAGTATGTTTGTGTTTTCAGCCTCCGCGGTTAAATTATTCTACCTAAGCATACGTTTCGCAAACTACGGAACTCAGAATGTTCAGATCACAACAAGCGACAAGAACCCCTCGGCAGGATTTGTGATCAAACCACGAACCATCGTGCAAATTACGAAGAACGTTACCAACATGGATCCCGTGACTTTCTGGGCCAAAGCTTCTGATCACTCCTGTGTGCTGAACAATCAACCCAGTTTAATTGTCATCCCAGTAGAAAAAATGGGAATTTGGAAAGTGGTCAACATCACTGACAAATGTAAGTTAGTCAGCAGCTTTTAAAACGGCCATGGCAAATTTCCTTAAAGTACATGTAGCTATTGTAAGAGCTTTACCGTCATCTGAACGTTGATGTTTCAGAATTTCATCGACAGGCTCAAAAATAGGCGTGTAAAACACATAACAGCATCATGTACAAGTTATGCTCATGATGGCTGTCATGTCGGTATAAAGACTTAACAAAACTTAACTTAAGAAGCAAGGGTGACACAGGTATTGGTGATCAGTTCAATATCTCGTTGAGGCGAAAATCGCTCAAAAACTCAGAACTTTTTTTCCGATGGTGTCCCCTAGACAGCGGGTTTACCCCTGTTCATCCGCTTTGCACAAACGTGCTATCTATTTATCTATCTGTCATTAAATTGCCTCCAGCAATCTGATGATTCTTGCAAATTGGCCAGCGGTCAATAGATAAATAAATAAATAAATAAATAAAAGTAGCCAGATAATATCATAAATTAAAGGCAGTTTCTAAATGCCTTCAAAGAAGCGGCGTTAACAGTCTCATTATTGGCATAATGTTCCGCTCTCTTATTGTTCTTGGAAATTAGGAGTATTTTTAATAATCAGTGAGAGCAAATGGAACCTCGCCTCATAAGCTTGGTTATTAACATGACGGCTAACTCGACCCAACGGCTTCAGATATTTGCCAGTGTCTATCACTTTAGTCATTGTGAATTTAATGTGCTGAGCGAACTCGTCATTTTTTGGGGGTGTCTCAATTCTCATAGTAGGTCTTCACCTTTTTTATTGATTGCCACTTGATATTTTGCCCAGATGTACCGCCAGTTATCCCAGGATCCCAACGGTTCTCTTTCCTGTTGCAAATAACCAACAACGCCGGCGTGAGAGTCACGCTGGTGTCTAACGACGCCAAACCACTAAATGGTGAAAACATCGAACCAAGCAGCATGATGACCATCAACAAAGTCACCAGACAAATGAGAGCAATTAAATTTGCGGCTGTGGAGTCGGACACGGAGAGGCGAATGCAAATTAATGGCATGGACTCTGTGAGTGTTTCGCCGAGTGACAAACAGGTGGTGATGCCCTTAGTAATATCAGGTGGGTTTTAGACTCTTTGGGCCCGGAGTTTAACCATTGTGTTTAGCAAAACCGCGTTCTAAGTCATTTTCAGTTTGCCGAACGCTTTTATCTAAGCACCATTTGTAGTGAACAGCTTCATTAATAATGGTAATTGAACTGAGTGGAGTGCAATTTGGTCTGAAATCATACGCGTGATTTCAAAATCGAACAAGCGCGCAGCGCGAGTTCGATTTGAAATCACAAGTATGATTTCAGACCAAAATTGCCCGATACGAAGTTCAATTACCACTTTATTACTTCCATTTTGAAATCGCAGAATTTAGTCAGTACTAATATTTTATTGATCGAGTAGCCGGTTTGTTAAAAAGCCGAAACAAAAAGGCTTTTACATCTCACTTTGTATTCGAAACAGAAATGATGCGATATATAGAACAAAAATAGTGCGATTTAAAACAGAAATGATGCGATTTAGAACATGCCAATGACGCGATTTGGAACAGATGCGATTTAGAGCAAAAAATGATGCAATTTAGGAATAAATCACACTGCTGAGAGCCAATCAGATTGCACGGATAGCCAGTGATTTCAAAGTGGATGTAATAAAAGCATATAGTATAGACTAGAAAAACATTTTTCTTCTTAATTTAACCGACGAAAGAAGAGATATGGAGGTCCAAAGATTTCTTAAACCGAGGTCTAAGTTAGACTTCGTTTAAATAACCGACCCTTTGTCGGTGACCTTTTTAAGGTACTCGTGTCAAGCATACATCTCGAGAATCATGATGTCATAATTAAGCCGGATGAAGCATACCCTTATACATTTTAAAATTTGAATCATTTAGTTGAACAAAGTTTGAAAATTGAATCATTTATATATTCTGTATTCCTGCATGTGTAATAAGCAGTCAATTGACACACGCGAGCACAGTTCAAGCGAAAAACCTACAAATCAGTAATTTCAAATATTACATTACTGACGGCCTATGCATGAGCAAATAGTCTCGCTGCGCACATTTTTGAAGTTAAATTAAGTTTCTTTTTTTATCTCCTTTAAACAGATGGAGCTGGAGAGAGACCAGGTAAGTATATTTCACTCTCTGCGTCACCCTGTTAATTAGGCTGATTCGTCAACTGACATTACCGTTTTATTGCTAAATCAGAGTCTGTTAAGGGAAGGGCATAAAATACGATCAAAGAGAGTATGTTCAGCATAATCGAGACTCCTAAAACTACGACTCCATGAGCGGCATATACCCAAAAGTATTTTTTGGGGAGCAACCACGGATCCTCTCCCAATTTCCTCTACAATGAACGTTCACGAACTTCATTGATTAATTAACATTTGGAAACTTGTGTCAAAGAAAGCGTAAACACTTGAGAGAAACATAGTTAACTCGTTTGCCGAGGGACCAGCCGCTAAGTGATTTCTCATTATATAGGAGAACGCGAAAACGTAGTGAGATCCAATATGAACGCGTAGTAGCGTTCAACATTTGCAATAATAATGGCATTTATTTATACACAATTGAAAAGTACAGCAGAGCTGATGTGGTCGTAAACTCTTGCTCGCTCAGATACAAGACAGGAAAAGGTTTTCAACCGCCGCCTGTTAGCTCTCTTGGAAGAGCGCTGGTCTGCTGACTGGGAGGTCGCGGGTTCAACCCACGGCCGGACCAACACTCAGGGTCGTAAATAACTGAGACGAAAGTGCTGCCTTTGTAATTACTTTCTAGTTTTCTCGGATAAGGAAGAAAAACCGTAGGACCCGTGTCACAGAGCTTTCACTTACCTGATTCTTGTGGGACGTAAAAGAACCCACAACACTGTTCGAAAAGAGTAGGTCACGTAGACCCCGGTAGTGTAGTCAATCTTTCCTGGGTAGGATGGGCTATCTGTTAGGAGAGATCTTAATCGTTGACAGCGCGCGAACTTGGAGGCAAATTCCAGTTTGGCAACACTATACCCTTTTTTTTCTTTTCTCTTTTCAGCAATGCCACCACTTTCCCCAAGCGAATACTGGTCGTTCTTTGTCGTATCAAACGGTTTCATTCTCGGTAAGACCAGTCTTAAAGTGACTGGCAACTGTGAAACAGTAGAAGGAGGTCTCCTACTGGATGGCTCCACTGGTTATCTCAGCTCTCATCTGAGCAGCCAGAATGCGCTGGCAAACCCTGGACGCTTCTTGGATGGATTCACATTTGCCATGAAGTTGAAATTTCCTTCTGCCGTTCTGCAGTATAGCGACATCAGGTATATTTTGGATACAGGAGAAAAGAGCGTTAATTCGCCTGGAGTATCATTGTATCTGTTAAATAAGAAGATGGTCATGGAGTTGGCAACCTACAATACTCGCTGGAAGGTATTTTCTTCTTAACTCAGTTATTTATTTTTATTCTCGCTGCCTGCTTGTGCAACAGTCGATTGGCGTATTAAAATTTTGAAAAAAATATAACTTTTGATGATAACAATAGACCCGTTTATCTTGTCTGTTTTGTTTCTTTTATGTGGGTCATATGTTACACCAGAGAACTGCTTCTTTCAATTGTAACCTTATCTGGGTGCATTTGTACGGATAATTACAAAAAGACAAGGGCAGTTTTCCTTGAGAACATTGTTTGTTTGTTTAGTTTATTAGTTTGTTGCCTGCTTGTTTTTCTTTCTGGTTTGGCCAAAGGAGCACCATTCTAATGAGAACCATTCTCTTTTCTACTAAAGAACCATGTCAGCCCGTTGCCGAATGTTGCCGAAAGTCAGGCGTTTTTGAGATTCATGCGGGTTATCATACTTCCCTTTGTTTCAATTGGTTCATTTGATCCAAATGCCAAATAATTATAATCGGTCTCTAAACTTTTTTTTTTGTTAATGATATGGTCTTCCTCAGGCGGAGACAGACGCCATCACAGATCAGTGGTTCTACCTAGTTGCCACGTGGCGTATGAAGAATGGCCTCACCATGTACATTAATGGCAAGCAACTGGCACAAGACAAGGGAGGAGTGGGTGTACAGAACATGAAGGACTGGACACAACACGAGAACTTCTTCATTGGACGCAATGTGGGAGGGGCCGGACAGGTTTTTGCAAACTTCTACATCGCGTCTTTTGTGATGTTCAACAGTTACTTGGAAGCACCAGCTGTGTATTCCGTGGCCAAGTATTATAGCAGAGATGGTGAGTTGTTTCAACCTATCGCTTCCGCCTTAGTTTACATGTGGCTGGTATGATTCATAGTTAGATTGTGGGGGTGTTTCAAGTTCTCTCTCTGTGGATGACACTATAATTCCCATGGGGATATTTCAAACATCGAAGACAAGATAACAAAAAAATGAGGGAGAAAAACTAATTACTGATACCATCGGGAACAGAGCGTTTTCGCTCACGTCGCCAGCATCTAGGCAAATTCGTTGGAACAAAAGAAACCGTTTTACATAAGAAAGGAGTTCAACTCCCACACCAATATGCCCGTCGTTGCGTCATATGAAGACGCTCTTTAGTCAACAGAAAGTGCATATTTTCAAACACCCTCCTCCACCTTAACCCTAATGAAGAAGGGGCAGGAACGGGGCCCACATGGCCCAACGTCTACCATAAACCTCCGAAAATGAGAAGGTCTTTCATTGGAAAAAGCTTGCCTGATTCAATACCTTTTTGGTTCTTTTTCTGATTGAATTGATTTGGTTTTTCCTTTTTGTAGTTTCAATCCAACCGGCCAAGTTGTATACCATCAACCTTCTTGTAAACAACACGGAAGCAGAGGACATCGTTCTGGCACCAAGCGACAGTCAACCAGCTAACGGCTTCGTCCTCAAGGGTCAAACGTGCAAAAGACTCGTGAAAAGACTTAGAATACCTTCCCCTGTAAATTTCCGTGTTTGGGGCATCACAACTAACAAACCTTTCTTATTAAATGGACAGAGGGAGATCTCTGTCACTCCCAGCGATTATGAGCAGGATTTGACCGAGGTGTCCATAAAGATGGTGAAGCCTGGGGGTGAGTATGTTGTCTTGGACTCATGTCTGTTGTGGCACAGTTCGCTGGTCATGCAGAGTGCTAATGAAACATGTCATAAAGACAACTCCCGTTTGACGCAATACCCTTCTAATCACCCTTACAGTGCAATGAGCTCAACAGGCATCACCCGACATATTGGCCATCATTCTTTGGCCGATCGTTCGCCACAAAAAAGTCTGGGTCAGTAGTTTGTTTGGCAGTAAAGTCAATGACCACGGATTTCGTACGTTTTACATTGCAAAATATATTGCTTATGTCAGAAATGTCGGAAGTTAGGGAGCAAAGTTACTCTGATTAACTGCCAAAGAATTTTGTTAATGCTAAAGAATACCCTTTGTGTTACCTTCTCTACCATATTTGGCGTAAGTAAACTGATTTAATTGTTGACGTAACGTTGCTGAATATTTGTTAAATAAAAGTACCGTAAAATATATTTGCTTTTCAAAGGCCCTTTTTGAGGGGCTTATTTTTGGAGGGAAATTTGCGTTTCAAAATCGATTGGGCTAGCCTGATAGTTGGAAGGAAATTTACCGTTTTTGCTTTGTTTTACTTTGTATTAGAGGGCAATTTCCAAGTACACGCCCCTGGGGGGGCTTATATTTGGAGTGGCGATTTAACGGAGGGTTTTTTGCGTTACGAGTTTGGGGGGCTTATACATGGAGGGGCTTATTTTCGGAATTTTACGGTATCGTTTGATAGCGCCGGACCTAAATCATCATTTAGCTTCGGCACATGATTGGCGCGGCATTTCAACTGGGCCTAAGCCAATGTTGCAATGTGATTCTTCTGTAGATGACGTGTCTCCAGCCTCGAGATTCTACTTGTCTTTCTTAGTGGAGAATAATGCTGGGGTGGAACTAAGGTTCACCACGAGCGATAATGACCCGCCTGATGGCTTCAGAATGGCACCCGAGATGACGAGCATAATCACAAAGGAAATTAGCGATCCTAGCGACTTGTCTATCCACGCAGTTATCCCAGGGGAGGAGAAGACTTTAGATGTTAACGGACAGCCGAGTATTGTGGTTGCACCAAGAAAAGCGGCCGGAGATCCCATTCCGTTAAAAATTACAGGCAAAGGAGGTAAGAGCCTCGATTGTTTTGTTAGGATAAGTACACTGATTTGTCTTGTCCATCATTTTCGTAATCATTTTCTGTGCAGTGACTTCACCAAGAACATAACTACCCCTGAGTGCAGTTGAATAGATTTAATTTGTGTTAACAACAGGGGCGATGTTTGCTAAGTTGGTAGAGCGCTGGTCCTTCGAGCCGGAGTTTCTTAGCTAGATCCCAAGGTTCAAACTCGTACTCGTAGTCTCCAAACAACTTTGGAAGAAGTTACTGCCTTTGCCCTGCAGTCGGCTAGTCCTTCGGGTGGCTCGGATGACCACTTAAAATGGCGGTCCCATGTTCAGTCTCTTCAACTAAAACTTCAAGAAAACACTAACACTTTAACAATCCTGTTAGAATCCTGACAAAGACTGATCCAAAGTTCCGAGAGGGCGGTTATTGTCTTTCTCCAAATCAATGATACATTGTGACCCTCTCCTCTCTGAGTAATATTGTAATAGATTTAATGCTGTACCATTTTTCCTGTACATAAATTTTCTGTTTAAGTTTTGCCAGCCTTATATTACATTGGTTTGAAGAAATATAATAAACGAAAAAATAATAATAATTGCTCAGGTGAATAAACTATAACTATTTTGTGCTTTAAGGAGATGCTCCAGATGGCGGAATTATAGTAAACAGCCCACCAGGTAAGCCAAAATGGGTCAGCTCTATATGTGCTGCTAAGTTGACTTTTTATGAAGTAAGAACGGCTGTGAAATGTCGTATTGTTCAATTTTATGAATTAATAGTCATTTTCTTCACAATTTTTTTTAAAATAATAACACTCCTACAATAAAACGAGAAATGTAACCAGCCATGAAAAATCGCCCTCTAACCCCGATAATACCTCCAAATTTGTATGGCTCGCTCGTAAACGGAGTTTTACTGTTAGTAGTAAAGTCCTTAGTTAAATATAGCTGATTCACTAAAGGTTGCTTTGGTAATTGTGCTCTGGGAATCTCCTTTTTTGTCGTGACTCGAGCAAATCATCGCACTCTTCTGTATGCCCAAATGCCCAATGCCCAGTTACCAACGACTAATTACCAAAGCAACCTTTTTTGAATTAGGTATATGTCTAGGAAAAATTCTTAATGAAGTTAAATCATTTCTTCATTTCTTCATTTTCATTTCATTTCCGCAGTTCAAATATGATTTATTTCATATATCATTAACACTCATTTCTTTCACGGGAACATATGAACCCACAATTGACCTGCTCCCAACGTCAGTGGCTTCATAGCTCAGTTGGTAGAGCATCGCACTGGTATCGCGAGGTCACGGGTTCAAACCCCGTTGAAGTCCTGAATTTTTTTTAGGCTTCTTTACGCAATTGGATAAATTGCGTTCACTGCGACGATCATTTCTTCATTTTCATGAAATTTACTGAACTTAGTTAACAACTAGGAGCGCAGGCGCGTGTTGTCGATCAGCGGTCTGTCGTTTGGCTCAAGCGCGGTCAGCCTTGCTTACATCATCTCCATGTGCTTAGAACAACGTTTCCGTGGCGGCCACTCTTTTCGTTTAGCCTTTGGATCGTTCTTTTACCCCCATCTCTTCCCTTCCCTCCCCTCCCCCTTTATTCTTCTACTGAATAGATAAATCAGTGTGACAGGTGCCTGGTTCCACTGGCAAGGGGCTCATGGCTGGAGGGCGCGGTTTACCAGTCATGGGGTGTAAGTCTGTCTACGGACTGGCTTTGTCAAAATTGGAAGCCCCTGGACATTCCGCGCACCCACCTCCACAAGCGCAGCAGTTGTTAATTCACTGGTGCCCGCTCGACTCTTCTTCTTCGCACAATAACACACAAAACACCCTGCAGGGCGTTACTAATGTTATCCATGCATTTGTCCTCGCAGTACCCAGTATTTACTTTTGGCGGATGAAAACCGTCACCCCACAAGGCTTCATCGAAGGAACCCCGGCCTTCAGCGTACACGGCAACATTCAGGCGAGTGATGGTGGAGTGTCGCTTGACGGTCAGTCAGGCTTCCTTACAACTGACATGTCCATGACAGACTGCCTTAGTGATCCGGCTCTCTGTTCCAAGGGGTTGTCACTAGGAATGACTGTAAAGTTTGACCAATCAGTGAAGGAGTACAAGGAGCCTAGGTATTTGCTTGACACCGGCGCTCAGAGCTCGCAGACTCGTGGAGTGTCATTGTATGTCAAGGATGGCAAGGTTTTCTTCAATTTGGCTATTTCGCAGAAGACCTGGCAGGTAAGAAGCGAATAACTTTAAATGGCAGTCTAGCGCATCCGTATCTCTCCGATTAGACTCCCCTGGTTAAGTCAGAAAAGCACCAGTTTACAGAGTAAGAGGTCTTTGGTTAAAAAGATCGATTGGACGACGAACTAGAGTCTCACCCTTCACTTCAAGTATTGGCCCAAAGGATATTAATTTTTTTGTCGTGAGATTACTTAATAGGCAAAAATACCATGCAACAGTACTAGCAAAGTGATTTGATTTAAATTGTCAAACCACTGGATTTCGGCCACACACACACACAAAAAGAAATTACACACTTGCAAATTACAGTTGCAAAAGTTTTATTAAAGTGACCCCAGAACGCGGTGTACTTAGTTTCCTGTGTCACGTTTGGCAAAATAAAATGACGATATAATAAGCTCCTTGATTGCTCATATATAGAACAGGCCTCCCACATTTTTCCACCGGTCTCTATTTTATTTCAATAAGCCTTGCAGCTCTTGTGTTCAATCCTAAATATTAGTCACCCCAAAACCTTAAGTTGAAAGTTTGTAGTTGGCCGATGTTATTATCAAGTCAGTTAAAGTCAAATATGTTTTCCCTGTTTAAAGAACATTCGTCATAACTGCTTATAAGTATACAGATGTCGCGTTTTCCCCTCACCTTTTCTCGAAATCATTTCTACACAGACCTCTGCCCCGATAATATTTGACAAATGGTTTTACCTTATTGGAACCTGGAGTGAATCAGAAGGTTTGTCCTTGTACGAGAACGACGTCCTCAAAGCATCAGATGCTCTGGGTAAAACAGAAGCATCCCGACCAGTAAACGCTGCCCAGACAAACCTCTGTATCGGTGGACGGGTACCTAATGTATTCGGCTCTGACTTTGCAAAATTTTCTATCAAATCCCTGGCTGTTTTTGACGAGTGCATTCCATCTGCAGAGGCGGGCCGCGTGGCTTTGTTCTATCGCGATTATGATGGATCGGGTGAGTTTACCTTGGCTAGACGTTGATACAATTGTCTTTAAATATCTCCTTACGTTCCTACTATAGAAGTAACCGTCAAGTTAATTTACGAGCAAAAGGAAGGTTGCCCGTGAAAGGCTTCCAGAGCACGAGAGGTCTGAGATTCCAGTGGTTGGCATTCGCAGTTGTCTGAACGGCAGTGACGCAAAGTTTCTTTTGCTGGATTTTGACTGAACGCCTGTAAGACAAAATCCGTACCAGCAGGAACTATAATTACCTCTAGGCTTTGCGTGAAGAAGAATAGAAGTCCCTTCTCTTCTGTGCGTGCGACAAATGGCATTACTATTTAAATTTGAAATTAAATATGCTAGAGTTAAATCCTTTGCACATCTCCTCCCCCCTTTCTCTCTTACTTGTCTTTCTCCTCTGCCAAACAACCTAAGGGACCTTTTCAAAGGCTAAAGCAATTACTGAAAGCTAACAGTTCTATTAATTTGACAGAAACAACGTCAAGCAAAAGACTATAAAAAAAAGAGTATTGAACTATGCATAAATGAATGTTCTTTTTCTCTTGGTTTAGGAGCCTCAGCGAAATTTTACATGGTCCTAGAGGTGACAAACCTTTCGAAGAAGAAATTAACTTTGTTATCTTCAGACCACTATCCAACGCAAGGGTTCTCGATCAAATCAGGCGCTGTAGTCAAGATCAAGAAAGCTGTGTCCAGACCCTCCGCGGTTATCTTTAATGCACAAGACGATGGTAGTAAAGAGCCTCTGTATTTGAATGGCCTTCACAAGATTTCAGTCACTCCTTCTTTATCTCCGCTTCAAGTAGTCAAACTAATCGTAACGGGAGAAGGTTGGTATGGTCATTTTTTGCTGTCTTTTCATTGCTTTTCTTTTCCCCATTCCATTTTATTCCACTTCTAACCATTCCATTCCAATCCGTTCTATTTCTTTCCACTCCCTTCGTTTAATTGTGTCCAATCCTATTCCTTCATGTTTATTTGTTTCCATTCGTTTCTCTCATTTTCGTTTTATTGGCAAGTCCATAACAACCAACATGCAAATCAAAACAGGTTTTAGTCAATGAAGGAATCAATAACCCAAATTACACTCAATCTCGACAGAACAGTGGCGATTCATGTCACCAGGCGGGCAGCCCTTCACATCAGGGTTCGTACAGAGTCTTGAACTCTTGAAAAAGTCTTGAAATTTGCCCAGCAATTTTCGAGACCTGGAAAAAGTCTTGAAGAATGGTAGAAAGTCTTGAATTTTGGATCCAAAAATCTGTACGAACTCTGTTACATGGTCTTTTATTTCGTCACATCTTCTCTCCTGCTGTTGTGTAACGTTTGCTTCTGTTTGATAACCCAATAAAGCTGTTAAGCACTAAAAAACGTGCAGTTTAATATACTTGAGTTAAATTTGATTCACCAAACCTATCGATACTAAATAGCGTGCATTTGCCAATTTCAGGGCAATCATCGACAGAACCCGTCATATCAGCCGGTAAGTTTGATTTCTTTCCTGTTTGGTTTATGTTTATGTTTTACTTTCTTTTTTCTTAAAGGTTTTCTCAAGGCCCGTCTTTTAAATGCAATTAACATTGCTCCTTTATACTTTCTTTCTTCAGATGGAACAACAGAGGAGTCAAGTATTTCAGGTAAATTGTATATGCTGTTTCCCTTTTAGGCCTGTAAAATTAAGAGGTTAACGCCAACAATATGAACATTTAAAACAGAGAAAAAAAAACAGCCCTTTTTTCCGTGAAACTTATGGCCGAAATGGGCAGGTGAACTTGATTCCGTGAAGCGAATGAAATGAGTGGGAGTGTAAGTTACTCGTCGGATTCGTCCCTAAACCCCACGTCTCCTTTGGTAGTTTTTCCCTTGTCTTTACTTTGTCTATGTTAGGTGTGATCAAAAACTGTGTTGAAATTTGTCGGAAATGAGAGAACAGGTGCCCGAAAATTGAAAGCTTATTTTTTTTGCTGGTATTGTACTCTCGGAGGGAGGTTGACTCGGGCAGTTTGGGCGAATCTTCATTCTTATCAACTTGACGTTCCTTCGAAACCCTGGGATTGATCTCTACAGTTGCACGGCAATATAGGTTTCTGTGGAGAGTCTGTTTACATCATGCTATTTGTATTTTTTCCTATTAGCTCCGCCAGTCAATCCATCCTTTAACTGGATCCTCTGCGCAATGAATGACAACCAAGTCCCCGGGGATCCGCCGCTGCTGTCCCATGGCAGCCTTCAGCCAATCCCAGGAGGTCTAAGTTTCGATGGTACCGAAACATCACTTATCGGAAAGCTTCCTAGCTCAGCTTGCATAGTGGACCCAGATAAGTGTCTAAGCGGGTTCGCCCTGAGTGCAAAGCTACGATTTGACGAGCTTTCGTTAACTTCTAACGCACCTCAGTATGTGATGGACACAGGTGCCAGCAACAATGGCAAGGGGGTCGGTGTCTATGTACAGCTGAATTCACTGTACTTCAAGGTCGCTACCTCCAATGCAGTCTACCAGGCAAGTTTTGTTCAAGTGTGAATGTTTTTGTGTCAATCATTTCATAAGAACTGACAAACTGGTCATTTCACTCTCAGTCGCTATCCACCATGGAGGCACTATGGGAGAGTGCTGCAGGGTCTCCGCTGGTTCAAAGCCTTCTCTGGCCTTTAGCCGGGGTTGTGCTCGTTTAACTCCGGCTATTTACCGAGCTACCTACTTCCTTCATACATGCTGCCTATCTACCTACCTACCTACCTACCTGCCATACCCATCTACTTACTTTTCCAAATTCTTACCTACCCCATCTACTTGTCTTTTCCCCTACGTACCGGCCTTCGTTCTCACCTTCTTAGTCAAATTAACATCTTAAATTTCACCTTTGCAGACCTCCATTCCCATCTCCGCCAACAGATGGTTTTATGTCATGGCAGATTTTAGCGGGAAGACTGGGCTCATGGTCTATTGTGATGGTGAGCTGGTCGACGGCGATAGAAAAGGAACAAATGGAAACCATGAAGCGTTTCAGCAAGACGAGAACTTCTTTGTTGGTAGCAGCGTGGATAAAGGCTCTCATGGAAGGTTCCAAATGGCCTCTGTTTCCACTTTTAAAGGGGCTCTGTCTCCATGGACGATCTCTCGTATTTACAGTTACTTCTGGAGACAAGGTGAGCTGTCTTAACTTCCGCACACTATATTTTGTTAATTCTTACACTTATAGAAGTACGAAACAACCAAACAACCAAACAGGGCTTGACTCTGTTACCCACTCATGTAAAATTGTGTACCACTGGACAGTACTACTCAGTAGTTTGCAATTGAGTGCTTACAACTTGTTACTTAGGATTTGAAATCCACACTTAAACGTTAAGCCGGCTTGTGCAGTTGAAACAGTACTACAGAAGGCAAATCCTAGTGAGCTTTTATCCGAATAGCGAAACAGTGAGACTACTATCACAGGCTCAATAAATCTAACTACCTTACACGAGTACTACTTCTAATGAACAGATAACTAGTCCTACATGAAAGTAGTCATGTACTCATGCTTAATAGCCTGACGCTGACGTTGCAGTTGACTTACAGTCTCTCCCTCCTTAGACGCCAGGCCCCAGTTGCTCTAAATCTCTATCCAACGGTAATTTCTTTTCCTAATACTTATCCACTGGATAGTGATTTATCCGGTGGTTGGTGCTATCCAGCATTTGAGCAACTGGGGCCAGGAGCTTCGTGTGCAACATAAAAACCGGTACTACATCAGAGTGCTTCGCAATATTTTTTACATGTATTGAAACTGAATTTTGCTTTCTAGGATCGGAGGGAAAAGACAAGAAATACTTTGTAATACTGAAAGTAACCAACAACATTGGACAGGACGCCGTGCTTTTTTCTAGTGACAATCAAGCACCGAACGGTATGACAGTCAAGACAGGATCATCCCTGATGATTTTAAAGACGATGGTTTCAAGTTCACCCGTCAGTTTCACTGCTCTAGATGCCACTACTAAAGCTAGAATCTACCTCAACAACATGGGAAAATTCAAAGTTCAACCATCGCATTCCCATCACGATGTCACTGATGTTACCCTCATGCCTTCAGGTAAGTACTTGAGGTGCAGATGAATACGAATGTTTAAAGTCGGTGGTCACGCTCGCCACCTGAATTTGTATCATATTTAATGATGTCACCTCCATCAGGAATAGGTGATTATGCAATAGCAGACGTCACGCACACTATCTTAAGATACACACATCTTTCATACTCCAAGATGTCACGAAATTTAGTCTTACGCCTTCAGCTGAGTACCGTAAATCCTCTATTAAGCCCCCTCTCTCAAATAAGCCCCCCCTTTTTTTCAGGGAAGAAAGTTAAAAAGACCCCCCTCTCCCCTCCCCCTTATTATTCTTCACTAATAAATGATAGACTGTATGTATAAATCAATCACGACTGTAAAACTTCATTTTGACTGATCCAGGATGGTTTATTCACGTGTTGGAAGGTCGGATTTGTTGTTGATCCTCGGCTGCCTGAACTCCAACTTCCCGTATTGAGCTTTTGCACTTTGCATTCTAGTTCTTTATGGAGAGCTGATACCACCATCTTCGCTAAATTAAATAAGCCCTCCCTCTCTAGTATGCCCCTCTCAAATGTGTTTGAAATAAATTAGCTCTCCCCGGGTGGTGAGGGGGGTGGTTAATAGAGGATTTACGGTACCTTACCAGAGATCGCCCAGGTTTTAAAATCTTAATGCAGTTATGGACTGACTCGACATGCATGGGCGCTTATTCCATGTGATCTTCACATTTAGTATACTTTTGCGCTAAATTTTAATTGTTGTATTTCTGGTTTTGATTATTTATAGGCGTAAACAACGATGATTCATCGGGAATACCAGCTGTCGCCATCATTCCAGGTCTGACATTTAACTTTGATTTACCTCGTTCAATTATGGAGTTCAAATTGTTTTGAAAATTTGAAAGGCTCTGTCCCTGACCCAATGCTCATTCGGGCATTTGCTAAGGTAGTACGTGATTTCCTAATGTTAAGCAAGGCTAGTTATTTCCTGTTGACTCTGCTAATTGTTTTATCCACTTGCGGATAGTCCAGTTATTTTTCATGAACTCTTCATGTTTCTTAGAAGACTAGATTTGGTATTTTGTCCAGTGACTACTGATGAAGTCAGCACGGCTCTTAGAAACTTTCTGTTTGCTTTACCCCTACAGCTAGTCCAGTGAGTCCATTCCACTCCTGGTCCTTCATCTTCAAAACGCATGACAAGTTAATTGGCACTCCCCCCTTGAACCTGTTCGGCACTAGTCTCATTCAAGACAAAGGCATGATATTCGACGGTGTTGGTACATTTGCCACCGCTGATTTACCAAGGAGCGATTGTTTGAGAGACCCAGGCTTGTGTGTGAACGGCTTTTCCATTGGTTGTAGAATCAAGTTCGATCAAGCGGATATGGCGTATGCCATGCCCAAATACATCTTTGACAGCGGCGCGCGCAGCTTGTCGACGCGTGGGGTGTCTGTGTACATTGTGAAAGGCAGTCTGTTCTTTGAACTGGCCACCGCTACCAGAGCTTGGAAGGTATGTTAAAGATTTTAATTTCAGAATACAACTCTCTCTATAAGACGGACACCTCGCTAAAACTCAGAATTGGCCCCTAGCCTTTCTTTACTCCTGTTTTAACTCGTGGATTACGCGTAGCGTAAGAAACTGTTCCAATTCACCAGGAATTAGTAGACGAAGAACCAATTCGTGGATGTGCGACCTCCAAATCATTAGGTATTATTTACTGGAAAAGAACACCTGACAGCTATAATGTTGACAGAATCTTCGGCTCTAACACAGTATTCACAGTTTTCAAGTTCAAGGTTCAACTCTTCTCGTCGCGAGGGCGAACCTTCTTTTTGAGCGTACAACTTTGAGCTCGGTGAATGCTTCGACAGCGTGCACCGATGGACAGATAGTCAACGGGTACTTGACCGAGCAGATTGCGCGCTTTACTTTATTTTGTTTTAAAAAGTCGCACAACGAGACCCACGACAATAACAGTATTTTCTTCTTGACGGTTAGGTCGAGACCAAGATATCACCAGGTGACTGGGTTTACGCCGGCATGACTTGGAGAAACAATTTTGGCCTTAAGCTCTACATGGATGGCAAAGAAGTAGCGTCTGATGATAAAGGAAAAGAAATCAATCTTGAGCTCAGCACGAACAAGCCGAACCTGTGCTTTGGACGTGACGTACAAGGCGCTGGCCACTTTGCTAAATTTTCCATAGGTTCTTTCTCCACGTTCAACACATTTTTGACTCCGTCTATGATGTCCAATGTCTACACTTTCTTCTTCAGAAGCGGTAAGTACCACATAATTGTTACCTGGGTTCGAATCCTAGGGATGATGCTCGATATACCCAGTCAATATATGCACTATTGTGTCGTTATATTGTGTGAAGTTTACTGTGTTATTGTGTAAAGGCCAGGGATCATTGTTGTGTTCTATGTGACGTATCTTGAGACTTGCTATTCACTCGGTACATGGTGCACCAGCTAATCCTAGAGGCGTCGCCTTATGTGGTTTGAGTTTGTTGTCGGTTCTCTCGTCCTTGCTCCAAGAGGTTCTTCTCCAGGTACTCCAGTTTCCCCTCTCTTTAAAGGAGCTGTGTCAAGAAGTTTATCCAAATTCAAACTGCGAGAGCTGTCACCAAATTGAGTGAAACATTAAAATAACCGATCAAAACATTGAAAGAAGGTATAAATAACACAGCAAATTAATGCAAAAGAAGGCACTGATGTACAAAACCTGAAGAAAATTAAAACGGATTGCTGTTGTAGTTTTTTAAAAACTTGTTAGCCTAACAGTTTTTCAAAGTTCATTTTTTGTTGTTTGTAACGTTTGATATAATGCTTTGGCAGAGATATTTGTTTGATACGAAGCTGTGTTTTTTGTCATTTACGAGTAAATTTCACGGCAATGTTAACCCAATGAACTAGAAAGCCGTGACACTTGCAGTTAAGACAAACAGTCCCAAATTCGAATTCGAAACGGAATGGTAGACGGAGAACCAAATTGTGAATGTACTGGCCCTGAGTATTTATGAATTATTTTATCATCGTCATTATCGTTATCACAATTCAGGTTGTTGTTGAACTAGCTACTGTTGTGTTTGTTTAAGGTATGCCTTCCTGGGTGCCCAGTGTAATCAAACTCAGAGTAAAGAACACTTATGACAAGGATGTACAGCTCATGTCCAGCGATGATAAACCCGCCAACGGCATGCAGGTAAATATTGTTTTCCACATGAATGCTAAGATCGGTGAAAAAGGCTCAACAATCAGAACAATACAGTGCAATACGATACAATAACTTTTATTTCAACACGATGGTGATTAAAGCGTTGCCGCTTATGGGGTCGTGTATTTAAGTTAACTAAACTTAAGCAATAAAAGTGTATTAAAATCGTTTTAGTAATAAAATTATCGTTATCTTTGTGAGGCATTTTTGGTGGAGATTCAGCCCGTAAGTCTACTCCAGACATCAACGTAATATTTGTTTTGTTGCTTAACAGATCCCTAAAAAATACACCTCTGAAATCCGAAAAGACGTTTTTGCGGGACAGCCATTGACCTTCACCGCTAAGGCGGGCGGTCTTCTTCTGCTGATGAACAATCAAAAGGACCTCACAATTTCACCTGAGTTGACAAGCAAGGGCTCGTTTGTCGTTGTCATTTCCAAGGAGAAAATCCAAGGCGGAGGAGGTAAAATAGTTAAAGGCAATTTTGTAAGCAGTCACCATCTTTTTAAGGATCACTGACCAAAGTCTTGGGTAATGGTTCGCAGTGATCGGAAGTTAATTTCCGTGATTGTTTAGCTGAAGGAGAGATAGAAAGCTCTTCGATGTTATTTTGTCTTGTATCGGATAATGGAACGATTTACCTCTGGAAATTAGAATGGCCAAATCTGTGGACACCATGAAAAAATTTTTAAAGACGCATCTTTTTAACACCACTATGTAATTTTATTTACTTTTTAGCAAACCGTTTAAAGACATACCTTTTAGTAAAGATTTTTATTCTTAGTTAAGTTTTTTTTAGTATTATACTCAACCAATGACGTAATTCTTATTGATCATTTAGTTATTTTTATTCCATCCATTTTGTAATGCGCAGTTGTTTATCACGTCATGGAAACTGCGCAATATAAATTCTTAATTATTATTATTATTATTATTATTATTATTATTAAAATTAATAGACATAGCTGATGATAAAAAATTATTGGACAAGGGTGAGCGAATAACTGAGATTCGTCCGTAAAACACTATTGATTCCATATTTATTTTAGGTTAAACGTTTCTAGGATTACTGGCCCCAAAGACAAGAATTAATTAAACTGCGCATGATCAGAACTTTGTCGGCAGCGTAACAACTTCTTTTCTATTGTGCATTGTTTATGGGCAGTTATCAATATCTACAGTTACCTAGACTAGCCAAAACTCAGCTAAAGATAATGTAATAATTTCTTGTAGGTGGATCCGCGGTTGGAACCTACTACGTATCACTGAAGATTTTGAACAAGTCCGGTAAAAACATCGTCATTGTACCAAGTGATAACAATCCCCCGCAGGGATTCCAAGTTAAGAAGGGCTTCATGATGAGCTTTACCAAACCGACCAAGGGCAATTCTCCAATCACCTTTAAAGCCATGGATCCTTCTACGCAGGAAATTATGAAGATCAACGGGAAGGATACGGTTGAGTGTGTTCCCACTGAAGTCAAAGGAGTACCTGTAACTGTGGAGATTTTTGCTCCAGGGAAGCCATCGGGTTCGTGATCACTTTTTTAATGCTGTCCTTCATAAAATTTTTACTTGCAATCTATGCTCGTCGTCAGGGAGTTTAAGCAACAACAACGGCGACGCCTACGAAAACGTTACTTAAAAAGTGACGTCGCGCTGCTTCAAACTTTATCGCGTTTATTCCACCTCGCTCAATTCGTAAAATCTTGACAATTTTTTTTCTGGAGTTGAATTCTAAAAGACTGTATCAAAGTTCAGAAAAAGACAAAGAAAGTCGTTGCCTTTTGTTCACGTCCTCCACAAAAGGTGAAATTACGCATTTTCACGTCGTGGTCGTCCAGTGACGGCAAAGAAATGTACAAAAAAAACGTGATGCACGTGCAAAGTTGTTGTTTTGCTCGTCTAAACCCATTGCTTTTATGCCGTTCTCGTTGACGTCGCCGTCGTCGTTGCTTAAGCTCCCCGTTGACGAGTTTGCTGCCTTGAGCACATTCTAAAGTAGTACTTTTGCCAAACCTAAGCTTAGCTCGTGAACCGTTGGGCTAAAATAGTACTCTTTTGTCTAAACACCATGGTCTTCTTTAGACCAGTCTTGGTGCTAACGCCCTTGTCAAAACTGACCTCTTCTATACCGAGTTGTTAATTTTGAAAATGAATCTACGTAAAAAACAGGCTTGTAGCGCAAAATGCGTATTTCTTCTTAGCCTTGACTCCACGAACTCGTAGCATTCAATTCTAAATGCTCCCACTCGTAATCCTAATATTCATTATTGGTTTTTCTTGTCAACACCAGACTTACAGCTGTAATGCGTATGCAGCCTGACTTGGAGTTTTCTCAAGGCGGCCATGTAGTATAAAATGTTGTCGTGTCTATTTTGAAACGAGGAACTCAGTGTTTAGCAATGTCACACTAATTCCTGGGATTCCACGTGTACGGTGTTTGTTCATTATTGTTTTTGTTTTGCAGGAGGACAACAGTATTACGTCGCTGTTAAGTTCAAGAACTTGGCCGGCCGCAACGCAGTAATCAAGAGTAGCGACCATAACCCTGCCAAGGGATGGACGGTAAAAAATAGATACATAATGTCCATCACCAAGGGAACCATGTCTGCGCAACCCATCACGCTCGTTGCACTTGATGAAAACGGCAAACCGTTGACTCTTAATGGCAAGATGGAATATCCTTGTACTCCACAGACGTCCAAAGACAAGCCAGTAGAGCTCGTGATTGGTACACAAGGTAAGTAGTTAACACTGTGGTCGTGAGAAGAAGGGGAAGGAGCAAAGGCGTGGTACCACGAGAAAATGGGTCCCTGCTTGTTTTCTAAAGAGTATAGTATAATATTCGTCCCTGCGAAGATACCACCTTAAGGAATGCGGGATAATCCTAAACCGAGCCTAGTAGATTGTAGAGGCTGCAAACCCAGCCATTCACCTCGATACTGCGGCCTAGGGTTAAATACATAAGAGTCAAACCTATCACAAGTAGACATCCTGCGCGAGGAATAATCCTCGTAAGTGGCCACTTTCAACGGAGTTTTATCTAAGCAGTAGAGTTGTTTACTTCGAGACTTTACCTCAAGTCACTTATTTGTCATGTTATCATTTCAGTTTCAGAGAAGAAAAAATCTAGCGTTCCTTCTCCTAGGCAACGTATCAGAGGAAAGCCGTCTCTTTTCTATGTAACCTTGAAAGTTAAGAACCGAGCGGGTAAAAAGTCTGTCATCGCTCCAAGCTACAAGGGACTAGATCAGGGCTTCCATATTAACACTGGCTCCATAATGAAGATCACACGGGAGTTCCAGAGTTCGGAGCCCCTCATCTTGAAGGCTTTTGATCCAGACTCGCACTCTGCGATGATGATTAACAACCGTAAGAGTATTATCGTTAAGCCGGGAAAATTCAAGGAAAAGGTCGTCGACGTTGTGATATCCCCACTAAGTAAGTTTTCGATTGTTCCTTTAATTTGCGGTATAGTTAAATAAGTAAAAAAGATTAAATCTTTTAGCGGATTATAAAAAATAAGGTTGAAGCGGCGTAGTGTAAAGCGTACTGCTCCACCAAGCCTCGTCGCTCGAGGTGCTAACAATTTTACGAATTTCCGCGGTAGCCAATTTCGGGAACTTTGACTGTACATGTGATGACGACGACGATGATTTTGATGGTGATGACCAATGTGAATGTGGTGATGATGATAGCGACGGCGACGATGATGAAAAAGAATGATGGTGACGACGATGATAAATGGGTATTAACGACGATTATGATGATTTTTTGTGATGGAGATGTTGTTATCGTTGTTGTTATTGTTGTTGATGATGATGGTGATGATGATAATGATGATGAGGAGGAGGATGATGATGATGAAGATGGCGTGGCGATGGTTATGGTATTGACGTCGGCGAAGAAGATGACGGTGATGATGACGATGATGTTGATGATAACGATGATGCGGAAGATGTCAATAAGAATGGTTATTTGAACCAATTTTTTAGGTGGACGGCAAAGAGAGCCTGCTTATTTACTAATAGCGTTTTTTCTTCACTGTTTACTTTAGATGGGCCTTTAGGACCGGAGGAACGCTATATAACCCTGCTTCTACATAACAAGGTAGGCCGTCCCGTCAGGGTTGAACCATCCAGAGGCCGCAAGGGTGGCTACGTCGTCCCGGAAAACGCGTTCCTGAAAGTCTCTATGATATTCCCTAAAACAAGTGGGATGCCTCCTCCTGTTACTTTCGACGCCAAGGACCTGAAAACCTTGAATGACCTTGAGATTAATGGTGACGTCAGGAAGGTGTCAATCAAACCTGGGGAGTTCCCGGATGAAGAAATCAACATGACTATTACTGCGCCTGGTGAGTAGGACAAGTGATGCAACTGATTTGGACGTTTGCATTTTTAAACGGACGAATTTTTTATCGGTGCGACCCATTTACACCGAACAGTCCAAATTCTGGTACAGTACTATTTACACAAATCATACAAATTTTTCCCGGTGTCAGCATTGGAATGGCTTTTTTTCAAATCAAAGGCGCTTAACTGGGCTCTAGGCTTTCACCGGGTAATCTGTGCCAGCAGTAACATGTTTAATTTAGATTTTGAAAAAACTATTCCCTCGATAATCGTCACATCATCTTCAGTGATGCAATAAAATAATTACGTTAAACCAATCAGTTAAGTCACGAATATATCTTGACAAAGTTGTGCACCATGCTTCTCTCTCAGCTCCTGTGATTAAGCCAGTTCACTCTTGGTCAATGTTGTCTGTAAAAGACAGCCGTATACCAGGCGATCATCCCCCACCAGTCGACAAACTTTCCGACAGCAGTATTATATTCCACGCCCGCCATCCACATTCCCAAGAAATCCCAGGGAATCCGGACTTGACGTCTCACGGGGAAATGACTTTAATAGACGGAGGTTTGGCTTTCGATGCACAAGACACCCATGCCGTGGCTCAAATCGCCCCTGATGACTGCGTTATTAACACCGAGAAGTGCTCAGATGGGCTCTCTTTCGGCACAAAGCTTAAGTTTGAGAAGCTAGAGGAGGAAACGACACCGCGATACATTGTGGACACAGGTGCACACGACAAAGGCATGCGCGGATTTTCATTGTACACGAAGCAAGATAAACTGGTTACCGTGCTGAGAACTGCTGATAGGGAGTGGAAGGTATGGAGAATGGATATGAAAGAACGTTTTTTTTTTTTTAATTGGTTGTTTTATAATAATGTTATTATGAACGGGGGGGGTGGGGGTGGGGCTAAAATTTCTGAGAATGAGCACAATTCCGCGAGACAAACTCATTCGATTTAGATTCCTATGAATAGTTGGCGCGTCTTAACTCTACAGTTTGTCAGATTTTGAAGACACGCTCTCAAGAGTTTTGCCAACCATTCGTCTCGAACCTACCCTATGCTATGTTGAATTAGAGTGGTTCCACACAAGTGTAACCTCTGGTCCTTACCCAACTGCTTCCAACTTCCCCCCATAACGGTCACCTCTTTACAGCGGGCCGTCAGTTATCTTTGGCCTTTTGAAGGGGAGGGGGGAGGGGGCTATTGTTGAAACGGTTCAACTGTATTTCATGATGACGCATACAGTAAAACCCCCCGACTAAGAACCTGGATTTTTCCAAGTTAGCCTAAACAGGTTCTTATATGAATGGCAGTTAGCACAAGTTTAGGTTATTAAGATTCTTAATTAGGTTCTTATTTTCTGAAATATATATTATTGAAGAGTCAATACTGGTAATTCTTGCTCATAGAGTTTTTATACAGTATTTCATTTGTAATTGTATTAATAACAATTTTATTTGATTTTAAACATTGGCATTTACGTTACAGTTGGGCAGCTATGTTTCCAAAGAGGATTCTGAATTTTGAGTCTGTATCTTATTTGCCCAAGTATACAGAATTTTTTCATAGATTTTAGAAAATAGGAACCTCTTTCAAATTTTAGGCTAAACGGGTTTGTATATAGAGGGGGCTTAACCGGCAAATTTTAGCCCAACAGGTTCTTCTTTGCGGGATTTTACTGTATTGGCAGAGTAAATGACATTGTTTGGCCCTCATTTTTCCACCTTCAGGTTGAAAGTCCCGTTATTTTGAACAAATGGTTGTACGTGATGGCAACGTGGAATAAACACGAGGGTATGAAAATGTACTATGACGCACAGCTACGAGCGCATGATATCACAGGGACACCAGTGCTAACCACCACAGTCAATCCCAACAAGAATAACTTTGTGATTGGTCGAGAGGTGGGAAATAACGGACCATTCCACCCTGGAAAGTTTGATATGGCATCTTTTACGACCTTTGCTGGTCGGTTGTCACAAGACGATGTTAATGCTGCTTATATCTTCTTTTGGAGTGGCCGTAAGTTTTTATCTGTTGTTTTACATGACGTGAAAAGTGAGTGGTGAACGCTTCACTGGGTACTTAGCATGTACAGGAGAAAACCGGAGATTCCGGTTGGAAAATCAAATGGTTCGCGCTATTCCGTTAGGACCGTTAGGCAAGGTTCAGAAAATAATTTATCGGCTGTGATTTGTGGCGATGCATTTTTTTTTAATCTTTTTAGGCTTTTCAGCACATTTAGATGTAACTTTTGTTCCCAGCCATTCTCCCACCATGTCAAATTTTATAGTTTTATGTTTGTGAATAAGATTCTCACCCGATTGGTTTGTGTGAATGGTAAGCCCTCTTTGTAACTGTCTTAAACGGTCGGTGAAAAAGAGGACAACTTCGCCCTATATATTCCTGACAATTTCTCTCTTGGCTCTCTTTATCCTCCGCAGTGTCTGCCAAAATCTACTACGCTTCTCTATGTGTCACAAACGAAGTTGGACGGACAGTCCTTCTCAGACCAGACAAGGGGAACCCCAAAGGGTTTGAAATCTCGCCCGACTCAACCCTGGAGGTGACGTTGATGTCTATGTCTACCGACGGCGCTCCTATTAAGCCCGTGAACTTCATTGCTGAGGACAAGGAAACCAAAACACATCTGAGGATTAATGATTTTGACAAAGCGTACCCGGTCACGCCCAGAGATGGGCGCAAGCCTTGTAAAATGCTGATTGTCACGGTTTCTCGTAAGTTGCAATAATGATGCAAATACCAATATCTTGTTATCCTTTCTCTACGGGCTTTCCGGAATAATACTGAATGAAAGATTTGCTTTTGTGAGCTCGCAAGAAGATGAAATTTGGCTTCTAACCGCTGCCCGGATAACTCAATTGAATAATCTTTCGGATCTTGTTCAATGGGATCAACACTTTCCACTCTAACTAGTACTAACCAAAGGTTACTAGGGAGTGCTGGCCTGCGTGCAAACTCTCCATTTGGGAAAGTTGCTAGAAGTCACGCGAGAGGAGCACGTGAATGGAGTCGCGAGTGCTCCAGCTCGCTCGTTCTCCCAAGGATCGCTTCGCTCGCCATATCAAATGGAGAGCTTGCTCGCAGGCTAAGGGAGTGCAGGCCAGATCGATCGAAGGTCAAAACGCTGTTGCTCCAACGCTGTGCATTGTGTAAGTTTCACGTCGTTGAAGGTGAAAACGCGCGTAATCAGGTTACGACTGATAAAAGGTTTAAACGCTCGTCATCAGAATTCATTCTATGTATTTCGCTCACTCTTAGCAGAAGTCTAAACGAATGCTGGCTACATAGCAACCACGCGAGCGTAACAATAACCTGGAGATTAGGATTGTACGCAATCATAATAACCACTATTAACTTGTAATGGGGCTTCTCACAAGGCAACTAAAACCATTAATTTTATATTCATTCAATAGCTCCGAAGTTACGTTACAAGAAAATGTGGTCACTTCGCAAGGTGGAGAACGGTCATTTGGTTGGTGACGATCCTAACCCAGAAGCCCACGGGGCCGTAGTACCTTTGGAAGGAGGGTTGCTGCTGAACGGCAATGACTCTTGGTTGGATTTGGGAAACTTTGAAGGTTTGGACATTAAATACTTTCTTATAGACGTAAAATACTTATACGTATACTTTAAGGGGTTGCCACGGTTTGTGAATGTCGGGGAAATATGAAATTTCTCAAGGTGAGGAACGAGTCTAGGAAAATTGTATTTCTTGCCAAATTTAATGAAAAGTCAACCATGGAACTGTATATTTAGGCTCTCCGCGACGTCGTAAATGTTATGAAAATACGAAGAAATTTTTATCCTGAAAACCATTCCGTAAGTTGAGTTTGATTCTCCAAATTGCTGAAGAACAGAAGGATAGAAATGTCACTGGAAATACCGAGATTTACCTGACATTTTTACAGCTAATCCGAGCAATTCCGACAAAAAACGCTGGTCTGTCCAATCTCATTAGTGAAGTTACACAAGAAGACAGCAAAGGTAAGAGAAACGCAAACCTTGTGTGACAAGCGTGACAATGATTATTTTGGAAAAAGCTTCACCTTCCTTTAAACTGATGTTTTTGTAAAGAAATAGAGCCCAGTAATATTAAGCGAAAATCACGACAACACACGCGAGTAATAACCTTGTCTCGTCTGTCACACAAACGTTTGCCGTCCTCTTCATTCTACCTTCCTGTTGCGTAAGCTCACTATTACCTGGTAATGGCATTGCAGAGAACTTTGCCGGATTGTATTTACCCGTACACCTGCAAACCTGTTTAACCAGTCTTTTGTTGGATTTCAGGTGAATGCCTGAGTAACCCTGAGAAGTGTACCGCTGGACTGACATTTGGGCTCAGATTTAAGCTGGATGACGCTGCTAAGAATTACAAGGATGAGCCTCATTACATCGTGGACAGTGGTGGTTCAAGTAGAGAGTCTCGTGGCTTCACACTTTTCATAAAAGACAGTAAACTTTATGCGGTCGTCTCGGTTCCTGATGAAGTTTGGCGGGTGAGTAAAGTCTTTTGAATATAATCACTGAAATGATTTCCCGAGGGACCAATGATAACGTGTTTTTCTCTATAAAGCTTTGCAAAGCTATGATGTGGATAGATACACGTGCAATGGCGGCCGTCGGTCAACGGTTCGCAGATAACAGTGCATTCTTATCCTCTGACGTCATACACTTTGTGGGGGTGACCGCTTAGAGAGTGAACGCGGGGAAATGTTTCATACGTAACCTCGAAGTAACCAATGTGATTTCCCACTGTTGAAGAAATCAATTCAACAGGACGACAAAGAATGCCATTCACTCGACGATAACGCTTTTTATAGTTTATATACCGGTATGATTCTGTTCAACAGACATCAACATCTTACTCGTAATGTAGCGGCCGTTGTCAATCCATTTCTGTGCGCCCCATCAATTGTATATGGGCAAGGTAGTCAAAATTTATGGCAATTACTCCCCTACTCTATTTTGGTCAATCACAGTTTCGCTTATAAGCATGGGCTTTATTTTCCGTAACAGGTTGAATCAGACTTCACGCTCAACGACTGGCAATACGTAATGGTAACTTGGGCACGAGAAAATGGCCTGGCCTTGTATATTAACGGTACAGAAATTGCGCGTGCGCGAGGCTACATGCCTCAAGAAGGGGACCATGACAAGGACACATACACAAGGCTCATCTTGGGACGTAATGCTGCAGGAACACCTTACGGTTACACCAGGATGGTCGCTTCTTCCCTAGTGTTCTTTGAGGCAGAGGTGCCAAAGGAGAGCGCTAAGGACGTTTTCCTGTACTTTTCCAGCAATGGTTAGACTTGATTTCTATTTTCTTCCTTTCGTTCCTTGGCTTTAGTTAATGCGCTCATAATACTCGGAATTCCAAGTGATACACTTAATTTTCAGGAATGAATACAACTTGGACCATGGTTACTAAATATTACACACAACGATTTGTACTTTCGATACGGTTTCATGTGAGACAGAATTGCTTACGTCAAGGAAAGAATTAAGGCTATGGGAAACCTCTTGATTTCTATAGTGAAGAGCGCATGGATCTCATTTCTGGACGTAACTAAACCAATGCTGCACTAAAATATCTTACAACTTACAAACGCTAGCTAATGAACACCTTTCTATTGGGTGGTAACTTTCAGTATCAACTGCATACAGTTATACTTTACACCAAATTCTAGTACGAATTTATTCAGATGGTCAACCTTTCTACCCTTTATTCATGCTATATAATTTCCTCTTTACAACAGCTTCTTTCGTAGGGTTTCCTTTTTTATGCTGATGAGTGGTGGTAAGGGATCTGAGTCTCCATGTAAAGCACTTCCAATTTCAAATCACGAGAGGCCTAATGTGCGCGTTTTGGTATTTTTTTGTATAGTCAGGCAAGAGCATTTCTAATAAGCTAAAAAAGTAAAACTGCTGGCTGCAATTTGGTGGCTCTCGGGAGATTGGAAAGTGTGCATTAAGGGCTAGAAGCAGCTTGTACACGGCTATAAAACCTAAACAACCGCCTCCTTTCTCCTACAGTTGATTCTTCCTCATCGACCCGTTTCGTGAAAGTTCGCTTTGACAACAAGGCCGGCACTCAAGTTAAAGTGATTCCTAGCAAAGGACAGAACAAGAATGAGGGATACACTGTGCAAGCCCACATGACTTTGGATCTCAATTTTGAAGAAAAAGGTCAACAAAATGACATCCCAATAAGTTTTAAAGTTGATAACCCGTGGTCTTCGTCAGACAAGCTTCTTATGAATGGCCAGCAAGGTTCTGTGACAGTAGTACCCAGTCCTAATAAGGATGACATTAAACTTGTCACCATTACTGCAGCATGTAAGTATTTGTTACTGAATAGTCCAGTTTCCAGTTCGCTATGATCGCTGCATAAAAGAAGTGAAGACGCGTTTTTTACAGACTTTACCTTCATCTGAAGTAAATATATTCACAAATTCCATCGAGGAGAAGACCTGTTTATTACTGTGTCTTTTGTTTATTTTCAAATGTCAAACACTTATTTACTTGCAGGAATTTGTGAATATTTTACTTCACGTTGACGCTAAACCTGTATGATTCTGTCGTTAATGTTTGTAATCAACGGTAATTTTTAATTCGAAACTGAACTATTCGTTACTTTAGAGAAACAACAACAAAGGCAACCCACATACGGCGTCGACCCCGAGATTTAAACCAGGGCCACCTTTGTTGGAGGCGAGTGCCCTCTCCACTGCCGCACCCTTGCTCCCCATAAATGCTCCCCTTTCCCTAATTTCCGAGGCCCTAAGCTGTTCTTTCTTCAGCTGATAGTTGTCAGTGTCTCAATGCCTTTTTATCCTTTACGTAATCGGAGAAATCTTACGTCTGCTTTATACTCTCTGATTTTCAGTCCGTTGTCTTCAACCAGAAGGTCTTTTTAAAGATGCTACAGACAAAACCAGCTACATTCACTGCCACAAAGGCGAGCCGCACACCATGGTGTGTCCAGATGAGATGACCTGGGACGATTCAAAGAAATCATGCTTTGGTGCAGGTTTGTGTCCTGATCAGTGAGGTACTGGGGAAGAAGGGAGAAATCAGTGCTGACACTTCTTTGGTAGTTCTCGATCCTTTACGTTCTTTCACTACCAGATGTCATGAAATATTATGAAATTACCCGTTTCAGTCCACCGAGGAAAACAAGTGACACGTTTTTTAAAACTTTTGTTACGTTACGCCTTTCCCAATGTTGATTATTATAACCCGATGGCAAATAAAGGCGAATCTCAACACTGAGGAAGGAGAAAAGAAGTACAAACGGGGTAAAGTTAGACAAATTGGTCGAGAATGCGTGATATGAAAAATCGTTTATTTCTATTCAGTTTTTCAAAGAAATTTGATGAGTATTTTAGTTCCCTCTGCCTTATTTTCATAAGCTCCAACCGACTTAGTGAAAGTATTATTAAAGGAGTTGTTGTGCAGCCTGTAACCATGAATAACTTAGTGAGAAAGACCTTATCAATTAAACAGGAATGAGCAAGAGTTCTGTTGAGGTACATTTTAGGAATTTTGAACTAATGCCTAATACCTGCTTACCTGTTTATCGTTGCATCTGAAGGTTGCTATCTCTCGACCTGCTCCGGCTGAAGCGATAACTTCTCAATACCAAAGACTGAAGTATCTTCTATAATTTGTCAACAGGTCGGGAATCGACATTGAACGAAACGGTGTACTACTTCTACATCAAGTTCACAAACAACGCTGGCAAAGATGCCGAAATTTTTATTCCAGGCACCAAAAAGTCAAACGCCATTCCTTCCGGTAAATCTCTCTCATTGAAGTTCTCCAAGTTCAAGATGGAGCCAGCGAATTTCGTGGCGCTTTCCAAACCATTTGAGCGATCTCTCTTGCTGAACGATATGCCGGTATTAAACATAAAACCTGATTTGGACGCTGACAAGATAGTACCTGTCACTATCACAAATCCACGTAAGTGTAAAGTGAAAAGTATAGGAGACGTTGAATTCCAGTTTGCATCTTTCCCCCCTTTTTGTGTTTGAAGTTTGGCACACAGTAGGCCGCGATGTTTTGTAGCGACAAAAAATGCTGATGCTTCGACCCAAAACATGGGTCACTTTGTTTCCGCGATAAATTCAGCGTCAATACTTTTGCGATCTGTCGCGGCAACCAAATTTCGTCTCCTCAACACCTTCATTGGTTATTTCACCGCTACAAATCAAACTAGAAGGGACAGCTACAATTTAGGCTACAAATGGGCTGATTTTATATTTTGAACCATAAGCGATATAGCTTGCCTCCGAACTATGTCGGTGGCTTTGTTAGCAATTTCAAAGGCACTTGGATTTTGTCATGAAATAAAATCCGCCGCCCTTCCTTGTTGCTGTTAAGTAGAGCTGTTATTATCAATTGTTAGCGTTCCCAAGACCGAGAAGGAGTCTTAGATTGTCATAGTTTTACCATTTGCTCAGACTAAATAAAATGAACATATTTCTTTCAGCATACTACTATACAATTTCAACCAAGACGGGAGCTGTGTATGGCGGAGGTACAGACGGCAAAGTATTTGTGCGTCTTACCGGTGACCGGGGATCAACGGACAAGGTGCCGCTTGCTTCTAATCTTCCTTCCGGCGTTCGTCATTTCAAGGCTGGACAGTAAGTAATGATTGTAGCCATTCGGATTAATTCAATAAAACTTTTATTATATCAATATACAGGTGTAGCTATTGTTTTCAAACTCTAAAACAATAGCTTGACTTGTAAATTACACTTAGAAACGTTTTCGTGAAATGACCTCTAGTTCAAGCCCTCTCTCTCCTTACCTTTGTCGTTCCTTCTTTGGGAAGGAGAACTTTTTCCTTTTTCGTAAATTAAGTACGAAACTCCTGATCCCGGATAAGGAAGGTTTTGGTTTTATCCTTAACTAAGTCGACTGAATCAGAGTGTTGGTTGTTCGCTCTCATTGCTAAAAGCCTCCTTTGGAAATTATTGCATCCGTGTTATTCTTTTGCAGAGCTGTAATGACTCTCGCTTGTTAGGTCTCTGTATGTAGCTGACGGTTGCCTCATTTTTCTAGGCTTGACTCATTCAGAGTGGCCTCTTCTGATATTGGACTGGTCACTAACGTGTTTCTAGAGATGTACAATTCTGGACAGGAATCAAAGAAATGGTTCTTGGACGAGGTAATGTATGCGCACGACAAAAAACTGGGCAAATGTGCGTCAGTATATTTAACAATTATTCTTTGAAATCGAGGTGAATAGTGGCAAAATATTTACCGAGCCGCGAAAGCGGCGAGGTAAATATTCCCAAAGCCACTATTCACCGAGATTGAGAAGAATAATTGTTTTAGTATATACACACGAAGTGATCTCAACAAAATCAGAAAGGAAACCATTCAAAAGTAGGATTTGATTGACAGATCAAATCACGCGTAAGTTTAAAAATAGATCTTTGCAGAATTTTCAAACATGGCAATTCACAAGTTTACTCATTTCGCAAACAACAGCGTAATGGCTTCAATGGAATCGCTAAAAGTTTGAACTGTTTCCTTACCTGAAAAAAAAGTAGAGCTGTGTTGTTTTCTGTTGACTCGCCAAGTTTATAGCCAAAAGGGCATGTTGTGTCGTTCTTCGCATGAAGTGCTGACAAAAATGGCGGCTCGGTTGCTCGAGGTAAGATGTCGGTATCATTCTTTTTCCTGTTTACTTGAAATGTAGAATTTCTGCAAACATTTCCTTTTAAATTTGTTTGTCATAAATAAACTTCGATTTTTGAGCCAAAATTTTCTTCTTAGAAAACGCTGAGTTCACGAAACGGCTTCTTCTACGCGAATACACGGGAGTTGTAAACAATCCATCGAGCACAAAACTCCTGCTACAGTAAATTGAAAAACGCCGTATTGAATCCTTCCACGTCTTTTCTTGCCTTAAAAAAAGTCAGCCCTAGGATTTTGTCGACTTTTAAAAGATCGTTCTCTAAAAAAAACGGGAAAAACACCGAGCTCACACATTATCCACTCGCTAGGAGGTGAATATTGTTGAATAGTCCGAGATAGCGAACCAATCAGATTGCTTAAATCACCAAGATCACTGAGTGTGTACATACTAAGTCCCATTAGCGATCGCGTGCTATAATTACGTATACAAATGCGTATATGAGTAATGTTAGCCTGTTCTCAGACCCGTTAATTTCTCTTTAGAGATCGTCGAGTGCGCGCATGAAAACTGCGGGGCATTTATTGATGTCAAGTGCAAGGGGATGTCTTGCGCGCTCGCCGATTTTCCAAAAGAGAAAGAAAACAACGTCTGTGTACAGGCTAGAGTAATGTATGCAGAGAGAAGTAACGTTTGTATTTCACGCGAGATTTTTGTTTGTTTGTAGGTATTAAAGTATTATGCCTATACAATAGCAGTAACCTTTCTTGACTCGTGCAGGAACTTATGAGCGCGAAAACGATGTATTCACACACATATAAAATTTGTGCACCACTAAGAATGGGTTTGACTTTCATGCTCTTCTAAAGAAGTACTTCTTCTTTCTCTTTAGATTTCAATTAAGGACATGAAACGACGCACATTCAACTTTCCAGTCCACGACTGGATAGATACCAAAGAGGGACTTGTTGCTCAAAAGGAACTATCCCTCTCTTCTAATGGATTTCACGACGATCCTGTGAAATCTCTCCCTACATCAAGCCAGTCTGGTACGAGTAGCATTACTTAGTATTTTTTAGTATTTCTTAAAAAATCTTCCTTTCGTTCACGTCTTTGTTAAATGAATGGAAGTGATCAGTTGGAGTTCTCACTTTAAAGAACGTGATAGTTATTGCAAAGGAAGACAATTATTCTAGAACAATTTTAAAGGAGGCCATGGAAGTCTAATGCCACGCCCTTTCCTCAAGAAACCCCTCGGCATAGAACTTCCGATCTTGTTCTTGTTGTAAAATTTGTCACGTGGTTGGACTGTCTTGACTGTGAACGTTTCGTGAAATTCTAGCTTTCACGGTGCCAAGTAACATATTTCCTGAATTTATTTGCGATTTATCTGTATTCCAAAAAGACAGTGCCTCGAAGTGTCAGTGCAATCGTTTTTAACTTTTCCGACCAATTGTAACGTTCTTTTTCTGTGCCGTAGATGACTGCACTAATCCATGCCAGCATGGTGGGATCTGCGTTCACGGGCAATGCTTCTGTCCTTTGAATTACGAGGGAGAACATTGTGAAAACGGTAACTTGTTAAACTTGTTGTCATTCCTTAACCCTTTAAGGTGGTGTTACACGAGACGATTCGCAACTACGATTTTTAGCGCAACACAGCGTTGCAACATTGTTGCAATATTGTTTTTAATGGTTGGAACGTTGTTCCAATATTAACCCTTATGTCCCAAGAATGATCAGCATCTATTTTCTCCTAACAACATCAATACATAACCAAGAGTAATGGTAATGAGAATTAAGAGAATAATCACCAAAGGGAAAATGCTCTGATCTTTTATCAAATTCTCTCCAGAAATTCCTCAAAGAAATGTATGGAAATCAGTTTGGAGAAATTGTGTGGTCAAAGGGTTACAGTAACGTTCTAATATTTGTGGCTTTCTCCGTTTACGAAACTTACTGGGTGCAAAAAGACAGAATCTGGGAACAAGTTTACCCTGCAGTTTAGAACCTTCGTAAAACTTCGCAAAAATTGAAGACATAGTTAAAATAGAAGTAGACATACGAGAGCCTTTGCACCGTCTTCAGTACGCTCAATTTTCATTTTATCTTTTTGTGTTTCATCTTTTCCAGCTGTGTGTTCATCGACTTGTTTTAATGGGGGTACATGCCCAGACCCCACAATCAACAACTGCACGTGTCCACGAGGTTACACGGGTTCATTTTGTGAAACTGGTAAGTACTGACTTTTCCCGATACTAGGCGAGTGCAAATAGAATGCCATTAAACGACAGCGCCACACAACACATGTGGGAGCTGTTGTCTGCGCTGGGAAGGCGGATCAGCATAACAGACGATCTGTGTCTCTGGAGCTGTGTGTCTGTGAATGAAATAGGACGCTAGTTCAAATGCTTTGAAGTAATCTCCCTGTTTTTGGTTTGTATGTCATGCAAATTTTCTCGTCACTTTTATTGTTCACTTCCTATTAATAATTAGTTACTTATCTTACGTTTGAATTTTGTTGGTACTTCCGTTAACTGTTACTTCTAAAGATGTATGTAGTAACATACCAAACGTCAACTAATTATATTTTTCCTGCTATGCGTATTTTTCTTCTGTTTATCACCGAAGTTTGCGTGTTATTTCTTATCAAACTACGATGACTAAAGAACAAGAGTATTTAGGACATAATCTCCCTTTTGTTATCCCTGATGTTGTGATTTTGTTTGTTACTCCAGCTATCTGTAACAACTACTGTTTACACAAAGGAGAATGTACTCAGCCTGAGAGTTGCACGTGTCCTCCGGGATACAGCGGGAAAAGATGTGAGATATGTAAGTATGCTCGCAAGGAGGAGAAAATTAGTCTCTGTTAAGCGGCCAATAATCAAAGTCCCGAAATAATTGTAGAAAAGATTGGGAAACTAAACCTCTATTAAGCGGCCGCGGCCACCTTTAGGCCGTCCCAACGAGAGTTCTCCCATTTTTCTGACCTCCATTAAGCAGCCATCAAGCGCTTGATATACTAACTTTGAAGAAGAAAATACAGTCAATAGATAAAAGATGAAGACCGATTGTGGACCAGTAATGATTACTCCCGTCGCGCGATTGTTTCAAAATAAACTGATGTTTCTGGTAAAGATTATGCAAATTTATGACAAACCACTATTAACCGGCCAAACTCCATTAAACGACCACTTGCCGGTACCCCGAGGATGGCCGCTTAATAGATGTTCAACTGTAATCATCTAATGAAACACTCTGGCTTATATTACACAGCTTCTTGTCAGCCTGATTGCTTAAACGGAGGAACATGTAACAATGGCACCTGTGAATGTGCTCCCGGCTACTCAGGACCCGGATGTAGTATTGGTACGTTTATACTTACTATAAAGTGTGACTCACGAGCGCCCGCCAGTCGCAGAAGCTGTAGACCTTTTTAGCTTGTATGTTTCTTTCCCCAATTATACTGTAGATAACTGTTTCATTCAAATTTCGTTTTATTTACGTGCATATGTACGCATACGTTATTGTGCAAAGGTGCAAATTCCTCTGAGACCTTAATTGCGAAAACAAAACATACAAGCCGAAGAGACCTATTGCCGCAAGTTTATTCGCGACATGTTATTTTTGCGCGCGCGCTTGTGTGCGCTGTTTTCTAATTAATGCACGCGTCCCAGTGTCCCCCCTTACTGCATTTCCCATGCCTTCAAATAAGTTGAAGACATGGGATTAGACTACGAGTAGTCCCCAATTTTTCCTCAGGGATAGTAGTTTCTCTCTCACCGCCGCGTCTCGCCTTTCTTGCGTGGGGTGATTTTCACGCGCGCTCGCATTTCGATCGCTCTACTATCTCTGAGGAAAAATGGGGACTACTCGTAGTCTAACGTGGGAGCCTTATTAGTGATAATTGGTTGATAAGCTCTAAACACAAGGCTTTGGCACAGTCACCTCATGTAAGGGAATCTAGGACAGTCTTGGATTCTGGATTCCACGTTGTGGATTCCGGATTTCAGATACTGGATTCCGGATTATTTGTCAAAGGAACTTGGATTTCGGATTTCAGTCGTTAGTGGGATTCCGGATTCCTTGAGCTGTATTCCGGATTCCAAAACCCAGGATTTCGGATTCCACAAGCAAGAATTTCCCCCATTCCCTTACGTAGGGCAAGCAAAGTTTACCAGCGGGAATTTTTCAAAGAAATATATTTAATAAGACTCGTCTTTGTATTTCTAGATTTATGAATTAATCACATTCAGCAAATATTTTTAATGCGGAGACGTCCCTCATTATTATTTCAGGGAGTCTTTGTACTCTTCCTCCGGATAATGGTCCATGTTTGTCGGAATTAGAAGATGCACTTTCGCCTTCCAAGAAATCTGGTCTAACTCCAGGCTGTCTCAATTACCTAACAGACATACAGAGAAGTTGCTCTGTTAGGAACACGTCATCCAACTTTGAAGACTGTACTTATGTTTGCAGTAAGTTTACACTTCCTTTTCCTTCCAGAGTCAATTATAATGCAGCTTCTGAGCTTTCCTTCTATTTTTCTGCGCTGAAACTCCTCGAGTCGTCTCTTTCGATCGTTCAGGCCGCCATCTTGGATGATTTAGCCAGCAAAAGTTGGGGAGAAGACATACCAAGCCTATTGTGGGTTTCGCGCGCCGTATAATCCAAAATGCCGTCTCCGTCGAAAATTCCCTGCCAGCAGAGGTCTCTCACGACGAGGCAAAGGAAGTCTCTCTCCTTCTGCTAGCAGGGAACATCGAAAACCTAATGAGCCACTGAAATTTACTGTAATTTTAACACGATCCGAGTATAGAGACATTAAATATTTCTCAAAGGTTTTTCCCTATTAAGTGACCGTTCAAACTAAAGATACGTAGTGGTACTTTCTCAGTTGGTTTTGTTTATTATATTGTACAAGGTGGTTCCAGCTTTTGAATCTGAAGTCCAATAATGTGCCCCCTTGAGCAATACATTCACAGGGTTCTATTTATTCAGTACCTAGATCTAACTTTGAGTAAGAGAACATTTAAGTCGGGGGATGAAATCCTTTGAAAGTGTAGTAGCTGATTCGAGGTGAACGCTAATCCCGGAGTTTAAGTTTATTTATGTTTCCCGAAAATTCTGTCACTAACTGGTTTAAGCCTGTTCTCGTCGCAGTAACCTGTTTTGCCTGTTTGGTGCCATGAAAGAGAATTCAACATCACATATAGATCTTGACCACAATCAAAACATGTGCAGGCTTTTTATACCACCACCCTCCCCCCCCCCCCCCCACCCAATCATCCCCTTTCGCTTTCAGGACTGTAGAAGGGAATTGTTAGGCGATATTCCAGGCCTTAAAGAAACCCTTGAACTCATCGTCTTGGGAAAACATGGATACAAGTTGGAAAATCCAAACGTGACTATTTCCGATGTACATGTCATGGTGACCGTGCTTCTTCTCATGTCTTCATGCTCAGAGCATTTTCATGCAAAAATGCACGGTTTTGAACGGGCACGAAATCCTAATACACACGTGGTCTCCGTGTGCAGGGCGCACTTTGGTCGTGTGGTTGCTGTCACATGACCAAACAACTTCAATGACGCAATAGCACCTTGGCTGCAAGACAAAAGCTCAAATATTTTGTTCATCTTTGCCGATTTAACCGTTTTTTTTTTTAGCAGTTGCATGATGTTTCGTTTAAAGCATACAAATAAGGCATAAGTAGGCTATCTCAAGTGCGGAAACTATTATCACCTTGATCTTTTTAGACCAAGCAGACTTTTTACCAACAACATGGGCTCCTGCCAACAAAGCAAAGGTTTTCACACCGGATGCGGTTTATTCTACGTCGACCTTGCTTGTAATAGTTACTGAATTTTTAATCATTTTGACAGAGCACAATACTCTGTTGTTTTTGGAGCAGTAAAACGTGCAAATGATCATGAATACTCTGTGGATTTTAATGAGTATTTTAATCAAATCTTCCCTACTGCTAACTTAGTGTGCTACCCCAAGGGTAAGTTAGCTGAGACCTCCCCTTGCATGATTGGACTTTGAAAAACGGAAACGCTTCTTTTGAGAATTTTTTTTTGTCATAAGATAGATGATTGTGTAACTTGTGTGCGTGTGTTTTTTTTTTTCCCTCGTTTGAACAGCCTCGGAAAATTAAAGGCGAAATACGCAATTTAAATTATAACGTTTTCAAGTTTACTATTCCACACAACAGGAATGAAGTATGGTGACATGGGAACCAGCCAAAACAAGAGACATAAGTAAACGAATTTTGTATATTCGCAGCATGTTGATTTGTCGTTTCGTTGTGAAACACATTGCTGTCATTCACTTTCGCATGTTTTCCTTTTATGACATGTTTACCGACCAAATGCTTTTTGTAAGATATTTTCGTGTTCCTTGTTTTCCTCCTCTCTTAGTTACTTCAGTATAGTGACACATAACGGTAAAAGAGTAGTGCCTATTTCTGATGTAATGTTCGTGTATTGTTGGCTGAAGTGATTGAATTTGTTTCGATGATCTCAATATGAACGCAAATGAGGACAACCGCTCTTACTTAACCTCCTTTAAACCCGAAACATGGTAAAAATTGAACACATCTTTTGCGAACTGGAAAGTAGTTTGAACTGAACGAAGTCCTATTTGTGGCCATTTAGATGGAAGCTATGTATGTATGTACTAGGGGCACCCAACGACTCCTTTCTGTAATGACAGTTCCATTCATGTACAATTTTCGAATTTTATCTAATAAATAAATGTCCTGCTATTTTCTTAACATTAGTTTTTCGGACTCAAAAATGTGTTGGAGAGAGATGTAAATGTAAATGTAAACATCATATTATCCACTCCCCTCAGGGCTTTTCAGGGATAATTTACAACACTGGTTGGGGGACTTTGCCAGACTGCTTAAGGTGTAGTTTACAAGTAATGAAGGAATGATTAACGATGCCCCCATACATGAGTGTGAAAGTGAGATAGACCACTACACCGGGTACTACGTACCCTACTCTTTACGAAGAGTGTGTGCATGGGTTCTTTAACGTCCCACAGATTTTTTATTACAAGTGCAAGGGCTTGTGAGACGGGGCTTACGGTTTATCGTCCTTATCCGAGAAGACTAGAAAGTCAAACCGTTTGCAGATGTTATTACAAAGGCAGCACTTTCTCCTCAGTTATTTAAAGACCCTGAGTATTGGTCCGGCGGGGGTTTGAACCTACGGCCTCCCGCTCAGCAGACCGGCGCTTATCCATTGAGCTAACCGGGCGGCGGCAGAGAAGTCTCTCTTTCGTAATACGTTAAATTGTATCTAAAATTTTCGGGATAATAAAACTAGTTAACTGAAGCCCTTGTAATTTCAAAAAGACTCAAGTTCCCCTAGGATGACCGAACAGATACAAATTTTACAGCGCCACTTAGAATGCATTTCTACAGCTCTAAAAGCACTCTGGACAGCCTAAAAATTGTTCTCAATGCAATGTATTAAGGAGGAAACCGTCGTTGGGTGCCCCTGATGTACTAAGTAGTCCGTTTCAGTGGCACTGTCTATCGTTTGAGGCTGAGGACAAAATCTATTGTGAGATCTTTGTTTAAACCTAACTGGGATTAAGTCGTCTTCCCGTTATGGAGTAATTCTAAAGGTTATCATCCGTTTTTATTTTAAACTATCAAATGTCCAACGATAGGGTTTTTTTTTTTTAATTCTACCCAGTTTCCGGCAATGTATAGATATTGATCCGTTGTGCTTAACGCTACTAGATACAGTAATATCATAATAGGCGCCGTGAAATTATGTGTATAGCCTGATCAGATTTTTGAATTGCTTCACGTCAAGCCGTGTATGGAACTGATCTGTTGTGATTACATCCTTTACCAAGTTAAACTTAATTGAATTTTTTAATAAGCCATGACATCTAAACGGTTTTGTCATTGCGTTTTCGTATACTTCCATCTCGCCTCACAAATTTGTAAGAAATATGTCAAATCCCTCAATAACAGCTCTCCAAGGACAATTCCTGACGAAGTTTTTCTCTAATTCGTATGCTTAACCATTCCAAAAAAACTTGTTGAAAACTTTACTCAATTTTCACAACTGATAAAATTTTTGAAGTGCCAATGCTCTCGAAATGATACTTTACCCTTTTGTGGTTGGGTGATTTGTGCATAAAGCTCTGGAATTTTGAATAAGCAAGAACAGGATAAGCTTTATGGCTTAAGCAAGAAAAACACTTTTGAGTGTTAAGGCATTCTTTTTTGTTGATCTTGTTGATCTTATGTTTCTAATGGGGTGTTAAGAGGATTATGATGTCATTGAGGACCTTATCCGACCCTCTGAGATTCTTTGAGTCTGCCGGGCAGACTACAAAATCTGCAGGTTCTTATAATATAAATGAACATTTTGGAGAAACAAGGACAAAACGAAATGTTAATAAGGAGTTGGTTGAGTAGTGTAGATTACTCTTTTGCAATAAATAGAGCAGTTGTCTTGTGAGAAGATGTGAATATTGAATGGCATTTTTCACATACGAAGTCGGTGATATTTTCATTCTAAACTCAATTTCGATTATTTTGTCTAATCTTCTTGATATTGAAGGGATACCTAGATATCGATGCTTTTGTGCCAAGGTAGTTGGTAACAAAACGTGCGATTTTTCACGAACCTTGTAGAACAGCGTGAACACCGTATCAGTATGGAAAAGAAATTTAAAAAGCCCAAGCTACTATCAAATCTGTAAGTTCATACGGTACTTTCTCAAAAAAAAAAAAAATTCAGTGGCTCCGTCTACAGAGTAAATACACGTTCATCCTTTATTCAGAACTTCATATCTCTGTGTGCATATGAGGTAACTCGTCATTGCGCAACAGAGTAGTAACCGGGCAAGTAAATTTGACTCAAAAGTCATAGGTAACTCGTCATCGCGCAAGAGACATATCAGAACTAATACAGTAATATATTTGAATTAAAACACACTGTAAATGAGTCGATGATACTAACACCTCAGGCTAGTAACTCTATATATTGCCTGTCTCTTGTTTGAATAGTCATTTATGTGCAATTACGTAACTGAGAACCGACAAATTTGGTGGTGAAAGTATGAACTGAGGACTTTAGAACACTTAGGATCAGGGGCACCCAACGGCAATTTTCGGGAAAATATCTGTTCGGAAGACGATTTGAGATCTAGAATTTTCGGAGCATTTGTTGTAAAATTTCTTGCTTTCCTTCCTCTCCTAGGATTTTCGAACATCGACAAAATGGTATAATTACCCATTTTTAACGGATTTTAACCCTGAAAAAGGCCACCTAGAATTTTCGGAAGCCTTTTCCTAGCTGAAGTTTTCGAGAAGGTAAGTTTTTATCCCTATAATATTCGGATCACTAGACTTTCAGCTAGGAAATCCGAACAGATGAAAAGTTTTTAGGGGATAAAAATATGCCTATATCTACCTTTTGAATACTAAACTACGTTCAACAATGCTATTTTTAAGTGGTTTTGAACTATATCCTCGTTGGGTGCCCCTGTTAGGATGTCAATTGAAGAACACAATGGCAGTCCTTCGACACGAAATTTGAATCATTCTGCGGTCACTAGAAATAAGTACATTCCTTCACTCAAACATTTCATTTTGATAATACAGAAGTGGTATTTCTTAAAGAGCTTTTTCTCCCAACAGCATTAAGGATTAAATTTGTTTTTGTTGGCTCGTATAAAGAACACTGCCGGCTTTTTTGTATAGTGATCCGTCGAGCGATTTTCTTGCACAAGCCCGTTGTGACACTGCTTGCACTTTGTGAAAAATACAGCCCACTTTCCGTAGTCTTCTAACTCTTTAAGTCTGTATTCCACCAATTTTTTTTTTCCGCGATCCCGCTCACAAGAAATGGCGGTATGAATTTAGGAAAGTATTTTAATTGGAATGAAGAAAAACGCTCAAGTTTTTAACTCGCAAGCTGCTCTTGATTCATCCAAGTTCTCCGCTCGCGCTTTTCTGTCTGCTATTGTGCCACAACAGCAATTTCTCTGTCTTTTCCGTTACGTACACAATGTCCCCTTGATGACACGTGTGGATATACTGCATACAGTGGACCATATTAAGTCATAGTGAAGCTAGAATTCTTTGCATGAGTGAACAGTACATTTTTCTATGTAAATTGGGTTAGTCTTAAAAGTAGCCCATAAATCTTTTACCAAATACACAACATAGTATGATGCAATGGAAAGCACCGCTTCGGGTGCCCATTCAGTTTCTGAAGAGTAGCGGTTACCGACTAAGAATGAAGTTAGGCAACCAGAAAATTGTCTACTTACGTAATGTGTGGTAAAATGTACAATGTTGCCTTTGCGTCATTCGGCTAACAACAAAAGAAATAAAACTCAAACAAACAAACGCGTCTGGAACTTACTGAACACACGCAACCTTTTGAACAATATCTATTTACTCTATTGAAGACCGCCGGTAATTGTGTGTATTGCGTAATATTAAAAGGGATTTTAAGGGGACTACAATTGCGTAGCTAAACCAACTATAAGTTAATACTTGTTCACGTACATGGACAAGTGACTTCTGTATGTACTTGTCGCGAGCGATCAATTTACTTGCAATGGAGCAGAACAAAAAAAGGGCTTCCGATACGAGCCTGAGCCATTTCGGTCGACCGAGGCTGCTCGTCTCGTACGAAATTGATACGAAAGCAGAGAAATTTTTACAAGGGAAATGGCAGTGTGGCGAGATTTCCAGTTTGAGACAAGATTAGAAGAGCGGAACAAGTAAACAAAATGTCGTCAATCAATAGAGGCCTGAAACAATATAGCAGAAATTCAACTTGTTGTTGCATTGCTGTTTGTCTCCTATTATTTGTTTGACAAATAAAGGAAATCCTAGCAGTCTTGGATAACGAACTAGAAAATGAAGCATTTCAAACTTTCACCTGACTGCAATAACAATAATTTTAGTGCAGGAAGCGCAACCACAAAGTGTCTATTTCCCAAATCCGGATCGGACCGTGGTCTCTGATAACCCTAGCTTAGCTGGTATGAGCTTCTCAGAAAGACTACTAAAACCCTTTATTGTTGTAAAGCAACTCACTGATTTCACTATTACAGGCTCTGGGTGGACGAAACACAAAAATCAGTGATGTTTTATAGAATGGCGCAAAGTAATTCGTCCGAAAATAATTTTGAGTTTAGGCAGGGCATTTCTTCTAGACGTAGTTATTTTTCTCTCGTCTATACCGTCAAAACATTTTTATTATTATCATTATCATAATCGCTAGTCAAAACGACTTTAATTATACTAATCATGATAGTTAATACCGTTTCTAAGGGTAAACAATACGTGCTAAACATTTGATAACGGGTCATTTTTAATGAACCGACGTGATGGCTTGCAGCGCGGTTGTGAAATCAAAGTGCAACATCAATTTTCGATAGCTCCGGAATTATTAAATATTGCCTTTATGGCTTTAATTGGCTGTCAGTTTGACTGTCAGTCACTAATATTGTATCTCCACTGACTTTTCGCTGTCGCGTCTGTGGACGAAATTGTATGTGGTGACGTTTTAAACCCATTTGATTGAAAAATTACAGTTAATTACTTGCTAGTGGTTCAATCTGTTCGTCTTTGTTTGTTTGCATGTAGGAATGGCGTGACTTTATAACATCTTTTTCGCCGGCAGAGACGCGAGGACATTCTCGGGGATTAAGTGACCTCGCCCACGCCAAGCGCCGAATGAGCTATCTTTTACTTCGTGCAGTATCTCACGGCCTTTCTTGATATTTCTTGCTTGGCAGTAGGTCTGAATCACGTATATCATAGCACAAAGGAACCACCGCGATCACAATAAAAGACTATTGACATTTCCTTTTTGCAATCAAAACATATCCAATTGAAACAGCATCTCTTCAGTGCTCCAATACAGTCTGAAGAGCCAGGGCTAATCTCTAAAATTCAGCCATCCTGTTTAGATATAGCACTCAATTCAAACCGCTAAAGACCGGTAACAGAAAAATATCTAGATTACAACCGGAAAGCATTTTAAAAGGTTCAGTATCTGGCATAGTTGTTTGGTTTAGGGTAATCTTTCGAAGTCGTAAAACAAATATTACACAATGTAAAAAATGATTTTGTAATAACTTGTTTGATCCTAGTATTGAAGTTTGTAATGAATCCTATACAGCTTCACACTCCAGTATTCGCAGGCTCGGCGTTCAAATAACTCCTTGTACAGTGGCAAAATGAAAAGGACTACGTGAAAGTACCGTGCTTGGTGGTTTATTTGACGGAAATCCGCACTGTCTATCATGTCCTCTTCTTGTGTTATAATGTGTACAGTGTTCCTAATTGCACTTTCTATTTCCTGTGGTTTAGGGACTTGAGATTGGAAAGACTTTCTCCTTTTTTTTTTCTTTTGTTACTTTGTTTTTATTTTTTTCAAAACGTTTAAAGCGTTTCCTGAAATAGGTTTACTTATTTTACTTGTATCATTTTCAATTTTTCTTTATTTGATTGTAACCTCTTTCTCGGAAAGCCGAAATGACTTGTGTCCTTATTTCTCTTCACTTTCGGCCAATCGATCAGTTAAATTTTCACAGTTTCACTTAAACTTTCTTCTCATTTCACAGGAAAAGCCGCGCCCGTTTGTGCAAATATCTGGAAGAACAGCAAATGCACCACCGAAGTTGTTAAGTATTATTTCGACGCTGCTTCCAACATGTGCCAAGCTTTCAAGTACTATAGCTGTCTGGGCAATGATAACAAGTTTGATTCATTACAACAATGTCAAGAAACTTGTGTTCAAAGTACGTGAGAGGCTTCTGTACAATAACTCTTTTGCTATTTTGCGTTAATAGATTGTAGTGCAAATCACCAAGTTCATAGTTGCAAGGGAACGTCTTAATAGAGAGCTTTAGATTCTGAGACGAGGACGACTACGACTACGAGATTTTCCAATACTAAGTAGTGCCGCGCGCGAACCAACGTCATTTTGGCGGTAAAATGTGGTAGCCGTCGTCATTCTACTACGCGTTTAGCGAGAATGTCGTAGTGGCGGGAACAAGTTATCAAATTTAAGAAGTTTTATCATTTTGTCATCGGGAGGGGGCTTAACCTCCTTCAGTATAAATAACCGGACCAACTTTTTCGGTGAAAGAAAGTAAAATGAAGCTTTCCGGGGAGTTTCAAAGAAACTTGTGTAATTTAATGCTTATCAAGTTAAATCTCGCACTCGTACTCGTTCTCGTCCTCAAATGTAAAGCTCTCTTTTTTGTCCTTAAAACAACCCTTCATGTGAAGTAACTCAGTACTTACCAGTACTATCATGGAACCCGAGGGAGGAGTTGATGAAGTTTAATACATGAAGGCTCCTTTTCGAGGTCTAACCCCTTACCCTTATATATACCATTTTGGCAGAAATTGAACCCTTCTTGGCGACCTTCTATTGACAAATGGTACCCCCTTTCACATAACCTTTGCATCCCTTTGAAATGCTGTTAATGGACCACCTTTTAAATATGAAGAAATCACTAAACCAGAAATTTCAAAGCCGTAAAATACGCCTGCTAACCCTTGTAGCTCTTTTTACCGACCGAAATAACCGATTTCCATACTGTTTCATATAATTCAACAAGTGAAATCCCTGCTCTTTCATATACCTGAAGCCTTAGAAAGGTACTCCCAGTCATGGAGTGGAATCACCTCCTTTCTCCCCCAGTCGTGGTTAAGCTTTTATTCTCTCTGCTTGCGATGTTCTGAATTGGTGTTTTTAATTTCACAGACGTAAAACAGAGGCGTGAAGTGATTAACAGAACTCGAGCATTCAGGAATAGTGGCCAACATTTTAAAACAGTACTACAGAAACTGCATCATACTGCGAGACATACGGCCAGATGAGAAAGAAAAGCGCCCGCGATCATGCAAACTTCATAGAGATCACAAGAATGATTACCCGTCTCATTCGCTTCGACAGAATTAAACTTTGTCCTGTTGTTTTGCATTAGATTCGTGCTACAAAAAATGGCAAGTGTAATTAGTTTACAAATCATTATTTTACTAAAGGAAAATTCCGCTCTATTAAATCGCGGCTTAAGTTGTTGGTCAGTTATAGCAGTGCTATTTTTCAGGGCTGTCTTGTAAGGATCAACTTCTCCTGAATTTAAAAAAACAGATATATAGCGCGAAGAAACTGGTGGCTTTGTAAGGAATTGATTGTGTTGATTGTGCAAGGAAGAAAAGATAGATTTTTTAGTAATATATTTATTATCGAATATATTTATGTACTGTTTAACTCGATTTTGTACATTTCAAGTTAGGTAGCCCTCATTTCCATTATCTAAATGAAAATTCTCCCGAGATGAACACGCCTACAGTCAGAATCACTATCGTGATCCATAAATGTTGCTGTAATCTTCCATGGAAAATTGAAGAATTGGTGATGTTTACAATTACACTACAGTGTCACTGGGTTCCTTATTCTCCTTTTTCTGATACTCGCGAATTTTGGAGATTTTCTCCTCATAGGGTGAATATGGATAAGAAATCAGTCACTAAATAGATGACATTTTATAAGTATTTGTAACGTCATAACTGTCTCATGTCCAATGGTTATTCAGTCCGATGTAACTCATTTGTAGACCGCCGAGTTTGTTTTGGTTAGTAACTCGGCGTTCAGTATCGTGTTCGTTCATAGTATTGTAGTTTGTTATATTCCTGCCAGAGGCGAGCTTTGAGTCATTAATAAACTTCAATATCATGCTAGTCCAACCTTGGGTACGTGTTCCCCATTTTAAGCTGCATTGCAAAGTCTCCTCCCCTTTATTCTTGATTAGGTTTGCCTCCCCTGTATATATCCTGCCTAGAAAACAAGCCTCTAGAAGTCCTCAGAATAACGAACGATTTTCTTTACCCCAGTTATATAGTTAGAGCGAACACATTTTGGTACGTAAGGTACGTCCGGTACGTGCAAGGCGCGTTGTTTGAGTAGATAATTTTAGTTCTATGTTCTAAAAATACATCAGACAACACCTTGTGTGAAATTAATTGCGAAAGACGTGGCATACCCTGGATAAATATACCAGATACACCATGCATGTATCCTTGTAGCCTGCGATCGTGTCCTTCAGGGAAGAAATCATACAAAACCTGTTTCCCAAAACGCTTGATTGCAAGTAACCATGCATGAAGCCTGTGCGCGATTGCTTGTAGCGGCTCCCATGCACGCCTCTTGCATGCATGTTCACAATTTCAACCCTTACCGGGGCAAAACACTTACAACAGCGGCCAGGCGTTGGAACAAACTGGGTGCAAGCTCCTCAGAGAGCCATGTCTATATATTACGTGTTTTAAAAAACACAGAATCGGGTGGTGTCCTCTAGAAAACCTTGAATTTAAACTCCCAGAAACTGAAAGAACCATTTCCTTGGAAAAGTCTGACCATCAGTGCGGAATCCGTGAAAACGGGTACTCATTTTCCTACCCTGCATCCTGCATGGAAGACGGCCGCTCGGGACGGGACGTCGGGCATAGTCGGTCTCGTTCTCAACCTCCTGGATAGAGTAAACCGCGTGTGCAAGGTCCTTTACAGCCGCTTTTATAAGTTTTTAATACAATATATATTTATTTCTATATCACACACACAAACACTAACTACACCGGTGAATTCACCGTTCTAGAAAATGGAATTTAAAAAGCCGCCAGGAGACAAGGATACACTTGCCCAGCCACTCACGTGTGTCTCGCGACGGGGAAGTAAACTCACGTTCTTCACTCGACACATCGGCAAGCATGTGACAACTCATTAGCATTTTTAGATCATCGCCGGACGCCAGGTTCAGGAATCACTCTTTTTAATGCCATCTTAAAACACTGATCCTACACTCCTACAGGCCGCCTGTTTCTCTAAACTTTCGTCCCATATTTCCCCAAATGCAGAGATCTCCAGCTTCAAGAAACCACTCAGCGATAGAAGGTAAGATTCTAAGTGCTGGTTAACATGGTACAAAAGCCATGTCCGATTGGTTCGTAAACAGAGCATCGATTTTGCATATACCAGGAGTTGAATAATTTGAAAAAGTAAATAATAGCAAATGGTAGACATTTTTAGGTAAGGTCTTGATAGTTTTTTTTTTTTTTTTTTGGCGCTGTTTCATACCCCCATGATCAGTTAAGTCTTAGTAGAGACGAATTGCTGGAGCTAGTTTTAGTTGCACGGCGTTCTCTCGCTAGTTACGTTAGAAACATTTTACCTATTGAAAGAAATAGCATTTATGAAATAATTTTAGTTAAAGTAAACTGGTGTGACCTTAGCATTTTTTTAATGATTTTGCTCCGAATCTGTCTGAGCTTGATCTTTGAGTTCAAAAACCAGAAAAACGGGTTGAAAGTAAGTCGCACTGTTCCTGGAAGGAATATATGAAGACTCGTGAGAAGGTCCCGGCATAACTTAGGCGGCTTCATAAAAAGAAAAAATATCGAAAAAATGCTTAACTCTAGAAGAGACTCTGAAAACTTCTCTTTCAGCGCTATTGGGCGCATATGTAATTATTCAAACCAGGTTATATGGTTTATAACAGGAGGAGCCCGGGAAATATTTTATCCTGTCTGCAGGCTGTTAGAACAACAAAACATGAGAGCCATCCAGATCGACGCACTTTGTACAGCCAATCAGTCCTGATAATTTACCTTGGCTTGGTAACTCATTGGAAGTACCTTAACAAGTTGTATTTGTTGTTGTTGACGATTTTTCAGATTGCGCAATTTCTTTTCAATCCACTTTATGCAAAATATCTGGAAGGGAATGCAAGGTAATTGTTGTATTTGTTGTTGTTGACGATTTTTTAGATTGCGCAATTTCTTTTCAATCCACTCTATGCAAAATATTTGGAAGCGAATGCAAGGTAAGATGAAATGATGTTTTAACTATTCACTATAAGCATACTGCATGACGCATTTTTCTTTTTTTATTTATTTTTTTTTCCAGTTCAACATGCCAGGTCTGCCAAGATAACCTGCGAGCTGGCCCACTCTAGTGAGTTCGGTGAAAACTTGCGATTGGGAGCCGAGAATCTCACGCGCTAACTGGAGCCTCCCGGCGCCGCCAAAACCTTTCCCCGAACTCGCACAATTGAGCCTGCTCGCAGGCTAGCTACTGTAGGATAGCCCGTCGCAATACGTACAGTAGGCTGAATTTGATATCTCCATAATCAGGCAATTCCTTGTTAGACTAAAAAGGCCAGAGCAATTTTTTCCAGTACTGTTTTATCTTCACTTCATTGAAGTCAGGGGTTAAAAATAAACTGTATATTGGGTCAGGACTACGAAAGCCATTTTATTCCCGGTATTTTTTAAAAAACAAGTGTTAATGTTACTGGAAGCCTGGGATAATATCAGTTGGTTACTTCTTAATTTTAATCATATGTAATAAGGCTCCCAGGTTTTTTGTTTTTTGTTTTCTTTTGTTTTCTTTTTATCTGCATCTATTGTAATTACTCATGATGTTTGTCGAGCTTCTCTGGACAATTTTCAAAGAAGCCGTTCTACAAATATGGAAATTTTTTAGTTATCCTCGCAATAATCTCTAGTTCAGTTGTTTTCATTTCCTTTGTTTATAGAAAACTGAAGTCAGCACGGGTGATAGTAAAACACTCCCTTTTTAAATAAATACAGTTTATTGTTACACCCACTTGTTGTCTAGGTCTCGTCCTTTTTCTTGAATTAATCAAATACCAACTCGAACTTGACGCTTTTGATTCCTCCGAGGGCAAATATCAATTTGTACAGATCTGTACCAATGTGTGGTCCAAAAAAGGAAAAGGGACTTGTGTATTATGATTTATTTATGAAACCAAGTTGGAAAATAAAATTCTAAAATATACAGACGGACCGATGGAAACTATATACACAGGTTCAGCGTTCATATCATGTAAATACTGTATATGTGCCTTCTAGCAAAGTTTATCCAAACTTAAGAATAGCGGCCATTATATGCCACTGATATATTGTAAACAATACAAGTAATCCTGCTTTTGTATTGGAGACGATGCCTTATTGCGTGTTAAACGTGAGATAGAACAGCTTTGCAAGTACGCCACGTGTGAGTATTCACGCATGCGTGGTCATTGGCCACTTGGTCAACTTGGCATTTTCTCTCCCATCGAATTTGTAGTAAACCATGACTATAGGTTGAAGTCATTAGTTAAGTTTATATGACGAATGAAACAAGGAAAGATTTAGTCTACTTTTTATAAGCCCAACATTGCATTTTTACCAGCCCTGTAGGTACATGTCTATCGGCCGTAATCGGCCATACTAACAGCGTTTCCGACAATTTTGTCGAACAATTAACACTTCCGCAAGTGATGAGTTTTTTAAAAAGAAAATAATTAAGTTTTAGTTGTCTTTTCTTCGATAAAAGAAAGGTTTGACATCCTATAAAATTAAGAAGCAAAGGATAAAAAATAGTTCCGCCCTTAATTTTAAGATAACTTTTTTTGCATATCTCATAAAATACACCATGTATCGAGCGAATGGTTTCCAGAGAATTAGAGACGATTTGTTGTTGTGGAAAATAAAAAATGACTTTTGTGGACCAAAAAAAAATTAAATGCAAAACTATTGAACCTCAGCAAAATACGGAGAGATAGTAATTGCCGTATTCCGGCGTTTCATCTTTTTTGAAGAAGTTCTTAATTGATATTCATGTTCAGTTTTTCTACGTGCCAGGGTAATTTGAAACGTGACAAACGAAAGAAAAAATCAATCAGTCTGAAAATTAATTGTTAATTGTTTAACACTTGGTACATAAGGCCGTTCTTTTGACCAAACAAAGGCGAGGCATTTTCGATTTAATAAACTGCGTGACAAATAAATATCATGTTTTCAATCGTTCTACCTTGTCTGAAACATCAGAAGGATTAATTAATTTTTTCTTCTATGATACAACAAAAGGTCAAAAACAACGTTTCGCTTTAAAAAGGCTAAGCAGCATGATAATATGACTGGGAAACCTCTCCGGAAAGCCAATTATACCGCGAGTTTTTAACCACTACCTTTCTTCAAATTATTTGATTATTCTCGTCGACAAAGGTTGAAGTACGCGGGGGAAGAACGTACGCTTAGCAAAGGGGATTCCTTTGTGTTTAAAATTTAAATTGCTTCCTTTTTACATTATTTTTTTCCTTTTTTCCTTTTTTCATGAAAATGAAGATGTACGTTCCTTGAATTGGAAGTGTTCCCGCTCGCGGTATCAAAGACCGTGTCCTTTCTTTTCTAAGTAAACTCAGTAGATCAGTAAAGCAGGTGTTTAAAATCGACTCGGCTGTTTACAAATAAAACTAAGGAAATTGCTGGTTTAAGACAGACCTATATAGCTGTATCATGGACTAGAAAATTTCTCCGGACGTTTTTAAGAGGTGCAAGGTGCAGAGTTAATATTCTTTAATCCCCTTTGGGTACAAAAATTATATTGTTCCTGAAAAGTTGACACCTCTAGTAGTCACCGGAAAACTTCATTGGTTGTGACTGATCTTATGACATTCAACCACATTAGCACCGGATTGCGCAAATACGTGACCCAGAGCAAACCTTCGAACTTTTATGATAATGTTTCGAAATTAATTTTTTTGTTTCCTGTGCCCCCTGGTTAAAACTAAATGAAATGTAGCATCAAACGAGGCAACGAATTCCTTTTCCTTCTGGATTTGAGGTGTTTTCTTTGAGACAAGTGGCACTCCTTCCCAGGTTAATTTTAATCTTCTTTAAGTCTAAATATATCTTATCAAGAATTTAGTGTTTTCCGGATAAATATCTGCTTTCACGTCGTTAGAAATCTTTCCACGGCTCAGCGAAAACAACCATCCTGTTACCATTAATACAGTTCTGCTAGTTGCAAATGCGGGTTTTTCATGCTCAAAAAAAGCTGCATTACAATTTTACTATTTTCGCGATGTTTTTGCACCACTTTAGCACTAAAGAGCTAAGTAGACTACTTATCATTTCATATGTGTCTCTAAGCACCATATCAGATATTAAGTTTGGCGGGTGTGACCTGTCTTCCGTCCAATTCGACTGGGGTAAACGCAAGATCATGGCCGGGATGAAGACGTGCGCCTTGGCACACTTCCTAGACCTGTAGACTTTTTTAAACGATTTACCAAACGCTAATATACTTTTCCCCTTTACTACTGAATTTTGGAGACGAGTTTTCTAGAAAGGTTTCTGAGAAACTTATAAACAAGTGAGTGTTTGCGACGCAAATCAACTCGTTCTGTGCAGTGTACTTTTGATTCCGGTTTGTTTACATTATACAACTCCGGTCCCTTATTGGCTCTCCGATCCGTGTCAATCGATCAAAAATCAAAAGGATTCATCCTTGAAATTTCTAATTGCAAAACCACATCAAATTATAAAAAAACTGCTTATCAAATTTCTAAGTTTTCTCTCCACTGACGTAGTCTTAAGGAGAGGGCAAATTACATTTCAAAGATTTCAAATATTAAATCCGGGTGAGCTTATTAGTGCAAGGGCCCGGCACAAAGCCTTCACATCAACAGAATAGACAATTTATCAAATGTCAATTTACAACAATGGCATGGTAGGCATATGATAAGAACCCTCACGAAGTCACGCTTCACAAACCGCAAATTGGTCCCGTGATAATAAGGCACGTCAGCAATATTTCGAAAATTCGAAATCACTGCAAAGTATTGTTAGCATGTTGGAACTAGTTTAAATATTCTGCTTTCACCATTGTCCCTGGAGAGTAAAATTTATTAGCAGAAAAATTGGATGACCTCTATTGATTATCGGGTCTTAGAATTGATATGTTGTTATCGTGTTCCATTGTTATTGGAATAAAGTAAATATCACGACCCATCAAGATGTCTCACTCTGATTGGCTAGCGGCCTCGCACGTTATGAATTATTAATTGTTATGTTGATATTGAATATCTAGTTAAAATTGTGAGCACGTACGCAGTAGAGGTGTAAAAAGAAACCTAATTGCATTGTGTGTTCAGTTGTTGTAGAGCAGTTGAAGTGGAAGGTTCTTCGGATTGAAACAGAAGAAAGTATCGAGAAAATGTGCAAAACAGAACCGTTTCAAGAGGATCCCTCGCCAGTAGTTATTCTTCACGATGGACCTCTATCAATGAAAGATTTCAACGCGGCTAAAGTCTACGATTTCGACTTCAAATATGGCCAGAAATCGGTCTTCGATTTTCGTGAAGATCTTGCAGCTATTGACCTTAGTATGATGCAGACCAAACCCGTTGTACGCCGTCGCCGGATTGTTAAAAAGCGAAAGTATCCCAAGTTTGGGTTTGTCCCAAGTCTAGAGGACATTAAGGAAAACGAACTTTTCGAAATTTCAGCTGCTGTTGCTGAAGAGGAGAAGAAAGATTTGGCGGCGATTCATCGCGAGCGAGCTCTCAGTTGTGGTATGTCAGTAAAGGAGCCTGAGGGCCGTCGCCATCGTCACAGACGACACTCGCGAAGATAAAGGAATTGAACACTGTTGTGTGGCAATCCTAAAAACGTTTCCAAACGTTCACTTGGGTCAGAAGAACAAGGACCGGCTCGCCAGTATTGCGAGCTTCAGCGCGACAGAACGTGCTGTTTGTCATGACTAGAAAATCCTTTGAGAAACTTTGCCATGACTCGGCAAAATGGAGCAGTATTAAGGATTTTAAAACGCGAGAAAATGTAGGAGAAATCCCTTGGAAACTGAGATGATGAAATGAAAAAGTCTTGTTGCAACAAGCTTGGAACTTAATTGGTTTCACCAGCTGTCAACATAGTGAATTCACGTGACGAAATTTCATACCATCAAGAACCGAAACACGTACCCAAAGACAGTGCTTTTGAAAGCGTAACTTTCATGAAGCATCGCAATTCGAACGAAGAAATTACTTCGAGTAGTGCCATGTAATGATTTTGTAATACAGTGCATTAGCCAAAGACTAGTCTTAAAAGGAGTTTGCCTGTATAAACACAAATTGTAAATTGCTTTTTTTTTCATGTTACAAATGACATTCTCTTCGCTTTGACGAACTGTAGGATGCCAAAAGGAAAGAAGGTTTACTGTAAACTTGTGTACTAGTATTTATTTTGACAAAACCGTCCGGCAATGTTAAATAGTTTCGCGATGGCTTTCGAAAGGTATTACGATAGTACATTATGGTATTTGAAAATATTAAAAATGTTTATAAATTTTACAAAGTTGTGGTCTTAGCCTGTGAATGGATTGAATCTCCTCTCACTGAGATAATGTAGCTCAGTTTCATTTCGCTGTTGCTAGATTATCCAAATACTCACAAGCATCTTGCTGTGCTTGTATATTAAAAAGAACAAGACCCAATCCAATATTGGTCCTACTTGAAAGCCTTTTATAGTAACAAACTAAATCCTTCCTTCCCGAAATTCCCTCCTAAAAATTCGTGGGATTGTACCTTGTTTATTTTCAAGAAACAACCTGTTCCGCGGTGAGCGCTTGACTTTCATGTGACTAGTTCAGTGCCTTGCAAAGGTACGGTATTCTCGAAGCGTAAATTGCTCCGTCTTCGCCTCACAATTAATCACGTTGAGATTAGGCAGTTTTCGAACACGTTGATAGTGTTCATGCTACCCCCATAGTAAATGATGTAAAACAAGAATTAAGCCTCTGGTGTGACAATTTTGGCTTTATTGAAAATTGGCGCAAATTGTTTGGTGCTTCTCTTATTTGATGGGGGATTCTTGACATTAGCTAGGTGCAAAATGGGAGTGGAAGGTTGCAAGGGTTTTACATAGATATCCTACTCATCTGGACCAGCGGGAGACCGCTTTTTTTAAGCAGGCGAAAATCGACTTCTCTTCTCTCCCTTGGCTCGCTGAGACTACTCGCTGATTCTCCAATGATTTTTGTCTTTTTGCCACTATGACAGAAAGCAAGTAAAGTGGTTGAAAAGGATGGACCCCTTACAACTGACGCAACCGAAAACACAAAAAACCGGGGGGGTGAATATGTTTTCTTTAATGATCACTGAACTATAACTGCTGTGAGGCGCCAGTAAAAAGAAATCAAATATGGTTGGGTTTTGCATGAAAGTGTGAGCGACATTTCTAGTCTTTAATACATTGCTTTCTAAAGTGACTTGCTCTGTAGAACTAGTAGAAACCAAAACAAGAAAACAAACCCAAAAGGTCACGTGAGATAGCACTTGACTCTGGCCAATTTTTAAAATGGATATCAATTCAGTTATAAGACGTCCTTGGATTCTTCAAAACTGGCTTTAAAGCTGTTTGGAGTTTGAAACTTGGAATTAAGCTCGATTCTTGTTATCAGGAAGCTCTCTATTCTATTTGTTAGGAGGCCCCCACCTTCTAAAATGTCACTTGATACCGCCCCCCCCCCCCCCCAACTCTTTCTCTTTGAACCCAAAGCGTGCAAAACTTCACAGACACGTAAAATGCAATTTCAATGTTTTTATTTCCACTGAGATTATAGAGGGATTGTGGAGCGAAGTCACGACCACTGAGCTTGGGATAAGAGATGTTCAAGTTAACTAAAAACGTAGCTCGCGCATGTACATGTCAGGGAGGTCATCCTAAAATCGGAAATGCAATCAAGCGAGTTCTGAATGAGTTGATATTGAATGTTTATGGCTAGTAGTTTCGTATCAGTTTTCAACGTGCTCGTTGGGATTGTTTTTCGCTTCGTTCACCGATGCATTCTTTTATATCTTATTTAGATGCAAGAGAGAGCTGTCTCTTTAGCCAATGGACAACCCATGATCAAAGAACTGGAGGCCTTTAAATTCTGCACGAACTCAGGGGAAGTCAATAAAGACTGAAATACTTTTAGCAGCACGGGTAGTTTGTGTTTTTTTTTACCTTATCCCCTCGAACCTCCCCAGCAACAGCTCCCCAGCCCTTTTTATGCCGCCGCTTCAGTGTAAACAGAAGTTAAAAGAGAATTTGTTCACGTACTTCGTATGGTAACTTAACTGCAGGAAACAGAAAGTAAACACAGTTTTGAACATTAAATTATACGGAAACTTTCGTGATTCCTGTTCATCCTGATTCATTTTCATAAAAAGGTATTTAACAGCTTGGCAAACAAGACAGACAAGAAAAGTATGTCAATCATCACCCAATGAATCAGCGATATTTTTAGGTTTGTGTTTTGACTTGCGCTTAGTTAAGAGCTAGATAGTCGTTGTTCCCCAGTGTTGTCATTCAGAAAAAAAAAAAGAAACTATAATTTTTTCCGTTTATTATTTACTTCTATCATTTCTTTAATGCGGGGCATCAACAAAAAATAATCTTCGAAAGCATTAGGCCTTTGTATTATATACTCGCTGCTGAATTGTTTGTTTACTGTTCCGCTTCAAGACCCGGGCTTCAAGAAATGTCACGTATATCGAATTTTGAGCCAGGCTCACTCCAACAGTGGATTAAATGAAAGCTTATCCTATCCTGAACAGGCGGTCAATGAAAAACCGTGATCATATTCATTAGTTTCTAGTGTTGTATTTTAAAGAACAACTTCAATGATTTAATTTAACATTTCAACTTCGAACTCTGCAAAGGCCAAAACAGCATCTGTCACCGTTGAGGGACTGGGAGGCAAGCTTGGTTACCAAGGCTTAGCGTTACTTGGCACAAAATACATGAAAATAGAAGATGACAAATGACCAGAAAAGAAAGAAAAGAGGAACGAATGGTCGGTGAGTAATCTGTCATATTAACCTAGCTTTGTTTGATGACAATCAAACATAAATGTGTAGAAATGAGTCTTCCCTATAGGCCATGACCCACTGAATTCATCGTTCCTGTGTTAAACCAGTTACACTTGTTGACAGAAAATTTCTCCTTTCAGTTTATTAGGCTTGTTACCCACTCTTTTAGTCACGGTCCATTCGAGTCTGGTGTACCGCTGCAGGTCAGGGATGTTTATATCATGGCCTGAGTGATTCAGAGTGTATCAAACCACCAGGATACCGTTGTAGTAATAATAATATATGTAGTCACGTTTTTCTGCAAATAAATGAACTCTTTAAACATATGATATTTCGACAACTGAAATCAATGCAAAGACTGATATTTGGCTTAATTGTCTTGGAAGTCAAGTTAAAGTGGGCTTTGAATTACTTTCGCTTGATATTATTTGTCAGTTTCATTACCAATCTGTCATTCATACTCTCTGTTCATAACGAATTATTAATTGAGGTAAACAACAAAAGAAGTTATAATTTCTTTTGGTTTTCTGTCGTCCTTGTTGTTACCGTGTAAATAAAAGCCATTTGTCTGAAGGGGTATACAAGTCATGTTTTTATAGCCTTACTTTGGTAACTTCAGTTTTTCAGACTTATTTTTAAGAATGTAAGGTTTATATTGATTCATTGAAAGTTCATACTTGAGTTAAAAGATCCTTCTTCCGAGATCTCAACCAAAAGGAAACTGTAATAAAATGAGGAAATTGTGGAGCTGAGCACCCTTTAACGTTTCTGGTAGTAAATATCTTAATCAACAACAACAATCCTATATGAAGACAACGTTGAAACAGGTTTGCATTTGCTGTCAGTCTCTAAAAATCTTGGACTGCTTACAAAACAACAAATCATATCACTAGCAAGAAATAACAGCTCACTTCAATTTCGCAGAACAGAATCTCCGGCACAGCGACAAATACCACCAGGGTATTGCTCTGAACTGATCATGCGTTCCCTTTACTTTCTATACTAGATGATTTCATTTTAGTTTACCGGTCAAAGACTCCAAAATGTCGACGAGTGCTGGCTACAAACTCTGATTGCATTGAATTTCTCCTATTTTGGCCTCTTTTGTCTTATCAACGCCATTATATGTAACTAAAGGGTATTTTCAAGACCAAAGACATATGTCAGTTCTCATAACAACAGCACAAGGGCCTGAAAATTTAAACGAAAAAATAGATTAGTAACTAGGCATAGGGGGGTGATCTCGTGATGTTTTCTTCAATCATCCAAAGCTAATATCAGACGTATGCCTAATTAATGAATCAAAACAAGACACAACAACATACGGACAGATATATTTAATTCTGGAAATAGAATTATCAGATTAAATCTGTAATGAAAAACCTTTTACGGTTATCGCTCAAAATCAAATCATTGCTAAAATGCTAAGATCCAAGAATCACATGACTCAGTAAAATATCCCGAACATTCCAAAAACACTTTATTTGTCAGTCATGCGAGCATGTGGTTTCTGCGGTTTTAAGAATGCCGCTAGATCCGGGAAGACCGCGTTTACTAACCAATCCATCCTAGCGCGGAGTTCAACAGGTGTTATATAAAGACAATTTTCTGGGAACTTTTTACCAGTAATTACTTACACGAACTACACAAAGATCTTGGCAGCGTTTTTCCCGCCTACAGTTGCTTGGGTGTGGTGCGCGCACGTTGATTCATTATGTTTTTCTCGAGGGCTGGTCAAACTGGAGAATAATAGCATGACAGTCCTGTAGCATTTTCCGCT